GATCGGCAAGTACCGAATTCGGCGTGATTACTCCTCACTCAGGAACGCCGATGGTCGGCAGGTGGCGGCCATGTCACGCTTGCCATCCCCAGTCGACAGCCTCGACCCGTCACTCGCGTCTCGTCCTGGCTCGGTCGACCCACGCTGCAATTCATGCGTTCTCGATTCATGACGAAGTCCATTCGTGTTCAACAGCTCGACAACCTTCCTGTATTTCCCGGACGGATTAACGCTGCGTACTTATACTCGACATGGCCGTCGTCGCGGCCCACCAAACGCCTTAGCATCGTTCAATTTCACCCGAAATTTTGATCTCATCGCTAATGACGCGTAACACGGACATCAACCTCGAGACGGCGAAGTGCCCGTTCTCTCAACAGCGGTGGAGCCCCACCGATGAACACTCGGACCGTGCCTCGCACACATCTGCCACGGATTCCTCCAGCACACCACTGCGTTCCGTCTCCACTGAGAGCACATCGTGTCCTGTCTTTACTCAAGAGGTCGACCCAGTCCTCATCAAGAATTCGCTCGAAGACCGAATCGCATACCTCACGGATTTCCTCAACTTCAGTTCGCGAGACCAGGACGTCATTACGAAGATCGGTCCTGCCGTCGGCGGCATGATTCCGTCCATAGTAGATGACCTCTACGCGAAACTTTTTGAGTTCGACATCACCAAGAAGGTCTTCATGACCCGGAATCATGTGCGCCACCGCCCCTTGGCTTTCTACTGGTTCTGTGCTGATACGGCTTAATGTGTATCAGGGGTTCGATGGGCCACTTCCCGAGAAGCTTGAGGACTTGACTTTGGATAGTGCGCAGATAAAGTTCCGTAAAGTAAGTGAACACCACGCGGCCACATCTGCCTCCGCTCATCGCACGTCCGCAGGTATTCATGAAGGCGTGGGCACGTCGTGTTCTCACGTCCGACTATACGAATGGCAAGACGTGGGCCTACATGGACAAAGTTGGCATAATGCATACCGGCATGTCACCATTCAAGCATCAACGCACTATGGGCATTAGCCCGCTTAATGTCCCATGTACGCCGATCTTCCCGCCCGTGCCTCCGCTGACCGGGCTGAAGGATTGCTGTGTCGCCTAGATCGTGACTGCGCCCTGACGCTTGGTCTGGTGCAAAACATTCTCCAGACCGCAGTTCTTCAATTGCCAGAAGATGCGGCCGACCTGCAAACAAAAATAGACGCGGTATCGGCCATCAATAAGGTTCGTGTCTACCGATCCCGCGACGCATTCATATGCTGATGTCCGATCCGACATAGGTTCTGTGGATTCAAAACGACCTGTTTTCCCGCCACTACATCAACGAATAGGCATGCAATGGATGCTGTATTCTTGTGTGTAACAGATCGATGGTTTTGTGTCTGCATGAAGGACCTGCACGGCTCGGTCTCTGTCATATGATGTCTGAGTAGTACCCCAAGCAGGGTACTTGTAATTACTATACCATACAACTCGTCGAATTGACATATGTATTTCCCCCGAACGCTATAGAAGTTTGTGTTTTGAGAAGCTTCGCGACATCGTCGCGCCCGATGAAATCTGATTCTATGAACGCAATTGTCTAGATCATGCTATCTATGTTCGCTGCCGTCTGTCATGGACGATGCGGAGCGCCCAGTCTTGTTCCGTGCCAGCGCAATTCGGTCATCATGCACAGCCACATACTTGCTCTGTCTCAGTAGTCAGTGCTTTCAGTGCTTTCGGCCCGTTCCGTCCCAAACCCCCGCAAAGCTATGCTCTCGGGTACCGCGATGAGTCAACAACTCGATCCTAGGCGGCGCTAGTATGTAGGACACAAGCAAGTGTCGTGCTAGGATCGACCGCAAACCTCCGCACGCGGGGCCGATCAGTGCCATGAACCGATTTCATGTGTTTTTCCATCATGTCTTCCTTGAGCGAAGCTTTCCCACACAACCATCCGCTTCAACCCGAAGTTCGGAGGATCCGCAGACCGGCGCCTATATCGGTGTAGCAGCAGGCCGCCATCCACTGACGTTTGTCTGTAGTAAATGCCGTCTCATACAAGCGCTCCTGCTCAGCCTCCTGCGCCCAACGCAAGAACTATGCCTAGGCATCGTTCACTGCCTGGATGTGCATGCTAATGCCGTACCTGCACTCACTGCGCGGTGCTCTCAAATGGTTCCCTCCGAGTCTCCGGAAACACACTGTAAAAGTCTTCTTTGACATCCTCCATGGCCACATAGCAACCGATCAGATCGACATCCGTTCAATTCGAATCCGATTTCAACGTCAACGCAGAGCTTTCAGTTGTACGATCTTCGCCTGGACTCTGAAAAGACATTTCCTCGCAAGCGCCGTCCAACGCAGCACTGCCACCACGCAGGGACTGACGGCATATTCGGCAGTCTACGGTCGAAACTGTTCTCGTCTGGCGTGTGCACGCGAAGACGAATCGGAGGATGTCGAGTTGCGTTACGAGAAGCAAGTGTAAGCGCCCGATTCCGCGCACAGCATTGGGTCCGAGCGCATATCCGACGAGGAAACTTGATCATGCGTGATCACGTGGCAAGCATTTGGGCTGTTCACGCTGTGACGTTCACCGCCACTCTACGCCGCTTCTGCCACAGGCCCGTAACCACCAACCTCGGTCCAGTTTATGCAGCGAGTACGCGATGCTTTGTGTGCCGGCGATCACAGACGACCGCCTGGACGGCCTCGTCCTACAAAACCCCTGGGAGGCAACCATGGGTGCCTCGAAGTCTCCGAGTCCAGAGGTCGGCTGCGATGGGCACTTGGAGAAACATCAACACCATCTCTGGCTTCGAGGGTAGACTTTTCCTGGGAACGTAAGTGCTTACACCGCCCTCTTGCCATATATATGCTAAGTGTTTCTATGGAACCGGGTAGTCTTGATGCAGCCATCTCACCCCGAACCCTGTCGGACCGGCGCATCACCCATATAGTGTCCCTTGGCACTGATCCAATCCCAGCCGATAACCCTGCGTCTGGTTTTCACCATCTGCGCATTCCTGTGGAAGATGTCAATCATGCCGATCTTTTGATACATTTGCCTGAGGCGTGCCAATTTATCCACGAGGCGCTGAATAGCAACGGCATTGTACTGGTTCACTGCGTGCAAGGGCTTTCTCGCAGTGCTGCTGTTGTTGCCGCATACTGTAAGCGCTATTTTTCTATGTACTATGTTCCGCTCGTACTAAGTTACAATTTTATAGTGATGTACGCGAAAAGAATAAAAGCAGTTGATGCCATTGAGGAAGTGCGAAGGAGTACGTATTTCTTCCTTTATTGGCGAAGATCGCTCGTAACAACGTTTTGACAGGTCGCGAGCAAATATGGATAAATCCGGGGTTTCATGTACGTTGATGTGTCAGAGCTCTGGAACGTTTCCTCACTAAGCTTTTACTTGCCTTTCAGGAACAACTAGTTCTTTTCGAGCTCTGCCGATATGCACCATCAGATAAGGAGGGTATTTACGTGAGCTGGCGTCGGCGGATCGAGCGCGGGCTCAAAGAGCAAGGTTCAGATTAAGATTAGCTTTCCATCAGGACTACATCCTTGGTCGATGAACTGTTCCCTTAGTCCTCTCAGCCAACCACGATTATTTCCCATCCCCCGCTTCCGCCATGTAACGAGTAGTCTAGACATGCTTCTGCCTCCTGTGCTTACCAGGACACTTTATTGCAGATGTACATTACCATAGTTATATACCCACACATACATCGGTTATTTGCATATTTTGTGCGAGTGCCAAGGGTGCAGTTGGTTAACCGCGGACGAACATACTTGATTACCAAATTGGGAGGGCGTATTATGGGCGTCTTTGTGGCGCGGTACACGTGCAGCGACACGTTCAAGAACACGCGATGTCACTGTTTGGACGTCGACGCGCCTGCGGGCAGGTCGTGCGCGCAGTCTCCATCTCTCACAACTTTATAATCCCTACAGAATTCTCCAGTTTAATTGCAAAACCCAGTCCGCTTTATTCTACAGAATTTCCCCCCTCACTACGATATTGCTACGACCATGGGCGTGAACACATTCTCCGCTGTTGCACACATCACGCCAGGCAAGTCTCGTCACCGGCCTGATCGTCTGTTGTAACTCACATTGCGGAAACCAGTTGTAGTCAAGACCTTGCTGAAGCACGGCCGACAGAAGGGCCACAAGCTGAAGCATGGTGATGAGACCGAGGAAGCTACGGACGATATCTTTTACGATGAGTATGTTGCGCAATTTTCACAGGAGCGTGCTCTGCGCTGACGTGCCGCATAGAGCCTTCCACATCGTCAAAGCATTCATCGAGCTTGGTACTCACAACACGGTTGAATCGCTGCAAGCGTTGTTCGTCTTCCGTCGTTCCATCCTCATGAGGCACACACTCGACTGACAACACCTTCCAGTACGAACACTCATGTTCCGTCGCCGCCTTGGGCTGCTGTGTCCCCTGTGCAGGTTCCTCTTGCATCCTGCAACAAGGCAGCCGATGTCTTGATTGAATGGTTCGGCCCAGATGACCTGAAGCACGTGGTAGGCGGAGAACGATGGTGGCAGGTCAGAGGGTCAGACGGGATAGACTCAGAGTGGATTACCGAGAGGAAGTACCTCGACCATGCCCAGATATCTCGTCCCGAGAGATTGACCGAGACGGAGGAGCATATTTTGCGCATGGAGCATCTGAAAACGGTTATGGTGAGTGATGCATCTTTAGACAAACGATAATCGACCACTTAGCCTGCATAGCTCTACGTCCATGGAGGTACGTCAGGATTCAATTATGAGACTAGGTTGACTCGAGCACTCTTTCAGGTGCTTACTTCTGGGGCTCCATCAGTACGTACAAATCTCTAAATATTTTGGTTGGACCACTAGTTTAAAGATATTGCGCAGACACTCATAGGTATCAAGTTATCCGCTATGGTGAGAAAACAACGCCTATAGTATACGACATGTGGTCTCACGTTTCGTTGCAAGCCCGCAAGATGAAGGGTAGAGCGTTTGCCGTGAACTATAGGTACGTGCACGAGTCCATATCTCTTTCGCCGTTAACGGAGGGTGGTCGCAGGAAAGCACCCCAGTACCCATGGCCTTGTGCATTGCAAGATGTCTTAGCAGCTTGTAATATTTGTCCATACATATATCAAGGCTTGTTTGCTGACGGCACGTTACAAGACTTCTACCTGATCGACCCTCCTGCTGGAGCGTTGCACCAAGCCGTTTCCCCCAGCAAAATCGTCTTTGCTGGCGACTCTTCAGGTGCAGGCCTGTGCTTGACAGTCCTCACTGTGCTAAGAGATATGGGTTTACCTCAACCCGCGGGCGCCGTGCTCATCAGTCCTTGGGTGGACATGACGCACAGCTTTCCTAGCGTCATGACCAATGCTGCGACGGTTTGCCCCTATTCTCTTGAACTCCTCAAAGCTGGTGCCGATACAATGTTTGATAGGATATCATACCTCCTCATGGCTTTATTCACAAGCCGTCGGTGACTTGGCCTATACATGCGCTTCCGACGGACGGCCGTGCGCGTGCGATAGAGACGCAAACCAATCCTCCTCCGAAACCCGGGCATGCTGACACTCTCCGGCCCAGCGACACTCGCTTCGAAACCCAGATGGAGTGCTTGCAGCAAATGCGCGAGAAGGGAGAAGAAGTGCACGCTGGCGACCTGAAAGAGGGCAAAGAGAAGCTGGGAAGTCAGCAGGAAATGCTACACTCTTTCGGTACTTCAACTTCTGGGAGATGTCGATCTGATGACAATCTGAGTGGGGAAGATACACCCTTTCCCATTCAGGATAATCTAGCGACGCCCCATTCGCAAGTCAAGGCCACTTACGGGCCTACCCTTGAGAATGGTGATGAACAGCCTGAGGACGTCAACGCAGGCTCAGATAAGCAGGATCACGAGGATGCTCAGGGATCTAGCAAGAGGTTTCCGGCAGCTGCAAATGATAACGGCGGCGAGCATCGCAATAGGGAATGGAATGACGATGCCGTAATCGACTTTTGGGAACCGAAGCCGCCTAAAGTCTTCATGGACGACCCAAATGCGACGCCGCTGGAACTGCGTTCTCAGATCCAACTGTATGCGACTAATGAGTACGTTCCAGGAATGAATATGGAACAACATCTCATCCTCACATACGTCGATTTCAGGCAGCTGACACATCCGCTCGTGTCGCCCGTCCTACAGGGGTCGCTCGGAAATCTCTGCCCACTGTATATCATAGCTGGTGATGGTGAAGTGCTCAGGGATGAGATCATGTACATTGCGCATAAAGCTGCACATCCTGAGGAGTACCCGGTTAGGAGAGGCATTCTCAGGGAAAGCCGGAGGCAAAGGGAGAACGCGGAGAAGTTCCAGACTCCTACTAGGGTTGGTAACGCTGCAAATGTCACTCATGCTCACGCTGACAATACGTCACACGCAGGTTCATCTGCAGGTGTTTGACGGTATGTGGCGTTGATTGTCCTTCCTAGCTCAGTGCTCACCGTTTTCCCAGGGATGTGTCACGTTTTGACTGTGTTCACTTTCACAGATAGTGTATGTTTTTGTGGCCGCGTATCCTTGCAATCACTACCCGACATACTAATGGCACACGTAGGCGAAGTATGCGTATGCTTCCATCGCGCAATTCGTCAAACACGTCGCGACACAACCTGCAGATCACCTAGAACGCAATCCCTTCCCAGAACTGCATATACCGCCTGAGGAGCTCAGCGATACAGACTCAGAGGATGATCACAACCGCGAGAGGCCGCCTACCAAGCATACAGTAGATAGTGGCGAGAAGGTTCTTAAAGAGGCCATTCCCAGCGCACGCTCTGGCGCTGAGCACTTCAAGCATAATGAGGAGAAAGCAAAGGAGGAAGTTAAAAGAGGTGAGGTCGACCAGATGCCTCCGGGTAGTGAGAACGGCGTGGTCGATAATGGGGCAGGCAAGGTATGATCTGTCTACCCCATAAATCCTGTGTGGCTGTCGCTCAGTTCTGTGCGCGCAGGACATCCCCCGCGTCATTATGATAAGGGAGCGTGTCGGTGTCTCCGGTAAAGTCAGATCTATGGAACCCGTGGAGGAAATCGAAGTTCTGCGGATACCACCCGAGCTGATCGGAATCATCAAGGAGGCCCCTGTGAAACGATGGCTCACTGGTCAAGAATTGTGGGACAAGAAGTATAAACATGCTGCTCACAAAGCCATTATGCGTCGGCGAAAGTACGAACGGAAGGCAGAAAGGTTGCTACAGCATGCCAGGGAGCAAGGAACTCTGCATCGGCTGGAGTCAAGACCAGGACCTTTGCATAGGCGAAGAAGCCATATCTCCGCATGCTCTGCGGCTTCTGGCGAAATCGATCCGGACAGACGATGGGGTGCGCAGATCCCATCCCTATAAAATGTCCATGTCTCAACGCGTACCAGGTCCGTTCGATCTCGTTGATGAGAAACCTCCACCGAGTGCTATACCTGGCAGAAGAGACACTGTAGGTTTCGCATCGATAAGCTCCTTCAGCATTCAAGCTGATGCTCTCTTTCGCGTGACAGCATGACGCCATCGCGCTGCTGAAGAAGAACATATACCATACCGCACCCGCAACACACCTGATGGTACCGACGATCACGACCTTTGACGCGATTCGTGCCGCGTTTGACCGCGAGGACCACCCTTCGAGGCCTCCACAACAATCCGTGTCAGAGCAACAGATTTATCTACACGGCATTCCAATTCATGGTGTGCGCATCTGGCAATCGCTTATTACGTGGGTGTATGATTCCTAGTTGAGAAAATCTGAAGAGTCTGACCGCGAAATGCTCCAGGTACTTCATGCGTAAAAGCTCCAGGAAAGCCAGTAAGACGGCGGCCCACGGAAAGAAACGTGCAGCAACTTTGATCAATGAAGCCACCAACAAACTATCATTTGCACGTTCGGAATCTTCCCCAGATAGCCCGGCACAGGGGTGAAGTATGAGGCTCGAAGTCCATCTCATTGAATACTTCTGATGATCAAATATCTACCTCCTCTGGACACTACATCATTCTACCTCTGGATAACGCTATTTTATTCACAGTGTACCGTTTACAACCTCACCTGTAGATACCATGTATATACGCGTACTGTATCATTTTTAGACATGTCTTACCGAGTCGGTCGGCTATATACGCACGGACCGCGTTCCAGAAGGAGACCAGCATGCGTGAGAACCATATTAGTCAGCAGTGTTGCCTTTCTTAACCCCCCGCCCTTCACTGTTTGTGCGTGTCTTCGTCGACCTCTTCATTCGCCTCTATCGTTCCGTGTAGTTTTCAGCACACGTATCCATTCATAGCAGCATCTAACGCGGCACTGTTCAGCATCTCAAATCTTCATTTCAAAATGCGTGAAGTCATTTCCGTCCACGTTGGTCAGGCTGGTGTGCAGATCGGTAACGCCTGCTGTGAGTTGTACTCTCTGCTGTCCGTTCTTTGCGTGGTGGCACCATCAAAACTTATATGCACGCGTCATTTCGTTTCATGTTGCTATATGCTTGTGTTTTTGACATGAGATTGACGCGTTCTCTGTAGGGGAGCTCTACACTGTCGAGCACGGTCTCAGCGTGAGTCTCGCTGATCATACGTGTCGCCAGCAATCTTCTGATCCTACATAATAGCCGGATGGGCGTCTGGTTGATGGCTCGCCGTCCGCGCATGACGATGGCTTCAGCACGTTCTTCTCGGAGACCTCCTCTGGCAAACACGTGCCGCGTTCGCTCTACGTTGACCTGGAGCCCAATGTTATTGATGAGGTCCGGAGCGGCACCTACAGGAGTCTCTTCCATCCCGAGACTCTCGTGACTGGCAAGGAGGATGCGGCTAGCAACTGTGAGTATCAGCTCCGCGCCTGTTCTCTCTTAGCTCAAAGGTTGAACGCGTGATGCCGTGATCGTGTAGACGCTCGTGGCCACTACACCATTGGCAAAGAGCAGATAGACAATGTCATGGATAAGATTCGCCGGTTGGCCGACAACTGCAATGGTCTCCAGGGCTTCTTCGTCTTCCACTCTTTCGGTGGTGGAACTGGCTCCGGTTTCGGTGCCCTGGTCCTCGAGCGTCTCTCGACGGACTACGGCAAGAAGTCGAAGTTGGAGTTCAGTGTGTACCCCGCTCCTACCATGGCCAACTCCGTGGTTGAGCCTTACAACTCGGTCCTGACGACTCACACCACGCTTGAGCACTCGGACTGCTCCTTCATGGTCGACAATGAGGCCATCTATGATATCTGCAAGAAGAGGCTCAACATCACCTCCCCGAGCTTCACGAACCTGAATAGGCTGATTGCTCAGGTCGTGTCTTCGATTACTGCATCCCTTCGTTTCGATGGTTCCTTGAACGTCGACTTGAACGAGTTCCAGACCAACTTGGTCCCGTAAGTACTGGAGACATGAAATTAATGGCATCGGTTCTTACTGTGACTTATCAGCTTCCCTCGTATTCACTTCCCTCTCGCGACATTTGCGCCGATCATCTCTGCTGAGAAGGCTCACCACGAGCAGAACTCCGTTGCGGACATGACCTTCTCTTGCTTTGAGACGGGCAACCAGATGGTCAAGTGCGACCCGAGGGAGGGAAAATACAGTACGTATGTGAATCTGATTCGCTATCCATGGTAGTAATCGTCTTCTCCAGTGGCTTGCGCCCTCCTTTACCGCGGTGATGTTGTTCCTAAGGATGTCAACGCCGCTGTCAGCATTATCAAGACGAAGCGTACCATTCAATTCGTCGACTGGTGCCCTACCGGCTTCAAGCTCGGTATCTGCAACGAGCCTCCTGCGCATATTCCTGGCGGTGACTTGGCCAAGGTCACCCGTAGCCTTTGTATGCTCTCGAACACCACTGCCATCTCATCGGCCTGGAGCCGCCTTGACCACAAGTTCGATCTCCTGTACTCCAAGCGTGCGTTCGTCCACTGGTACGTCGGTGAGGGAATGGAGGAGGGTGAATTCTCGGAGGCTCGTGAAGACCTCGCAGCCCTCGAGAAGGACTATGAAGAGGTCGGCATTGACTCCGCGGATGCAGAGGAGGTTGGCGAGTATTAAGATTCTGGGAAGGTGTCGTTCATCTCTGCTCTTTACGGTTTCTCTGTCGAATTTATACAGCTTCGTCGTCGTCGTCGCTATGATGTTCACGTACGATATCCCCGCCTGTCCTGCCTGTTCCAGGCATTAGCACCTATACCATCCATACAGTAAGATTAATTCCTGGAGTCGCAATTCATGGTGTTTCGGCGAGAATTGATACGTGGTGTGTGTCAGTCGCTTTGCACGTAGTGTGAGGCGCTCGGATTTTCTTGTTTCCAGTGCAGTTCTAGAGTCTTCAAAGTTTCATTTTCCGCTTTCATATAGGCTAGTTTTCTTGACGGTGCTAGATCCGGCCTTGCTTGAATCATCCGGCTCCGGGCTCGGTGCCGTCGTGAGCTTAGCCCGGATAATACTTAGGTATGTTGGAGATCGACTTTGCGCGCTTCATCGTCTCCCCTAACCCAACAACGCATCTTGCTCGACAACCTCCTCCATCCTCCGTCGTGCTATGCGTGAAGTCATCTCTATCCATGTTGGGCAGGCTGGCGTTCAAATCGGAAATGCTTGTTGTGAGTACAGAACAGATCGCAAACGAGGGTTTGTCGGATTGACAGCGGACAGGGGAATTGTACACTCTCGAGCATGGAATGACGGTATGCACTGTCGTCAATCTCTCCATGCTGCACCGAGCTGACGACTGGTGACATTCAGCCAGACGGCCATCTCATTGACGGCCAGTTGAAGCCAGACAGTGACCCTTCGACGTTCTTCTCAGAGACAGGTTCAGGAAAATATGTCCCGCGATCGCTTTACGTCGACCTCGAGCCCAGCGTGATTGATGAGGTCAAGTCGGGAAAGTATAGGTACTTGTTCCACCCGGAGACGATGCTTACCGGAAAAGAGGATGCTGCGAACAACTGTACGCCACGTTCTCTTTTCATATGCGAAGCTTTTTAACTGGCTTGTAGATGCTCGCGGCCACTATACGGTTGGAAAGGACATGATTGATCCTGTTATGGACCGACTACGGCGCCTTGTGGATAACTGCTCCGGCCTGCAAGGCTTCTTCGTGTTCCATTCGTTCGGCGGAGGTACCGGGTCTGGCTTCGGTGCCCTCCTTCTCGAGCGACTTGCGACAGAGTACGGCAAGAAGTCCAAGCTGGAATTCTGTGTCTACCCCGCACCGCATCTGGCAAATGCCATCGTTGAGCCGTACAACTCCGTGCTCACGACGCACGCGACGCTCGAGTTCTGTGACTGCTCGTTCATGGTGCGTCCCACGTGTATCACGCGTGGTCAGGAAGCTTAAGGCAGCGTGCCACGCAGGTCGACAATGAGGCGATATACGACATCTGCAAGCAGAAGCTCGGCGTGTCGTTGCCTAGCTACACCAACCTGAATCGGTTAATCGCACAGGTTGTCTCGTCCGTGACGGCATCGCTGCGCTTCGGTGGCTCGCTGAACGTCGACCTCAACGAGTTCCAGACGAACCTCGTGCCGTTCCCACGCATTCACTTTCCCGTGGCGACGTACGCGCCGCTCATCTCCGCGGAGAAGGCGCACCATGAGCAGAACTCGGTCGCCGAAATGACATTTTCGTGCTTCGAACCGGGGAATCAGATGGTCAAGTGCGACCCGCGGGAGGGGAAGTATATGGCGTGTGCGCTATTGTTCCGTGGGGATGTGGTGCCGAAGGACGTGCAGGTGGCTGTCGGGACTGTTAAGACCAAGAAGACAATCCAGTTTGTGGATTGGTGCAAAACCGCGTTCAAGGTATGCGATCTTGTTCGCATCATGGTGTATGACAACGGCGAATACGGCTTTTCTTGTCTAGCTCGGTATCTGCAGAGAGCCCTCCGCTTTCGTTCCTGGAGGTGATCTCGCACAAACAACGCGGAATTTGTGCATGTTGTCAAAGTGAGTGTCTGCCTATCTGGCAAGTGATTGTACTCTCATAAATATAATAGTACCACTTCAATATGTGCTGCTTGGACTCGGCTTGGTACGTCCGGCCCATACTCGATTCAGTGTCATCCAGCTCATATAAACTGCCAGACTATAAGTTCGACCTCATGTACGCAAAACGTGCCTTCGTGCACTGGTACGTTGGCGAGGGTATGGAAGAGGTAAGTTTGATCGTCCTCCTCGCTCCACAAAACATCGCGTTGACAATTTTTGTGTACAGGGTGAATTCTCCGAAGCGCGCGAGGACCTCGCGGCTCTCGAGAAGGACTATGAGGAGGTCGGAGCCGACACCCCTGACGATGAGCCCGAGGGCTCGGAGTATTAGGTGATCCCCGCGGTCGATGGTGAGGACATTTATGAGTGCCATTGGTATACTCATGCTGTGACTGTCTCAACGTTGCTATCGTGCCGCTGTCACCGATACTCTACTGTACATCGCCATTTCTCCGGTACGTATACTCCCCGACTAAACCAATAACCCCAATGCATCGTTACCATTGGGCGATTTGTGTATACGTTCTATTTGGAAGCCGATACCAGACTCAGGCTCTTCCACCGTTTCACTTCGAGAGTTCGGGGCCTATTACTAGAGCGGCGTTCTGCCATATTGCAATTATTACCCAGCTTTCCCCGGCTTTCTGACGTTAGAGAAGGACCAGCGGGGAAAACAATCTGTGAAGCCAATGGCCCCTTATTCACTACTTCGCAGTTACAATGCCTTTACCGCATACTGCTAAATTTGACTGCCATGTCCTTTGATACTGAAGTCCTGAGTCTGCTCAGCGCAACACCAAATGCGTTGAGAGTCTGCTGAGCGTCTCATTGATACAGACAACAGCTGACTCGAGTTAGTATCTCTTCAATGATTTGCGCACCCATGTATATGGTCTGCTGATTTTCCAAAAGTCAGGAGGGTTCACGTTCTATAGTCATATTAATTAGATCCTTGAAAAACTGGTGATCTTCGAAGCCTCTATTAATAAACGTGTGCTTTCAGCTATTTCTTCATCCACAAAGGAAACATTCATTCCGTTGTTGTAGGTGGACGCAGTTGTGCGATGGGTCGCACGTTGAGTCGCATGTTGAACGCACTGGTACGTCCGGTAGGCGCCGAGCTTGCCTCTTCCTTCTCCCCTCCCGCATGTCGAATACTCCCTATGCCTTCCACAAACCAACCCGTCCATGGCAACTTTCACGGGTGCGGTACAGAACCACGTCCCACAATGACACCGTACACTAAATATGGCCATCGCAGGTACTACGCAAAACGGCCTTTCCTCTCAGATCCTCGGCTAGCGGCTCTTCCCCAATCCCTCTTCGAAGGAGCCCGTGTGCTGGATGTTGGGTGTAACGAAGGCTGGGTAACGTGTGAGATCGGTGAGCGCACAGCCACCCTCTTCATTTTCTTGATAAGCTGACGACAATGCTCCGCAAGCTAGCGCAGTCTAAGGGCGCAAGGAGAGTGGTGGGCGTAGACATCGACGATACCCTCATTCGGGCAGCATGGAAGCGGAGGCGCTACGTCTGGAGTCTGCAGGAGCCTGCGCACGATGACGCTGCCGAACGGGAAGAACCTGGTTCGTCTGTGCCGAAGAAACGCAAGCTAGATGGAGAGGCCGGTCGCGAGGAAGCGCATCAGCTGCAAGCAAACTACTTCCCTGCATCGTGCCAACACATGTTTGGTCCGCTCCCCATTCCTCCACAACGACGCGAATCCGATGTAGAGCATCACCTGTTCCCCCACAACATTACTTTCTGCACAGCGGACTGGGTGAACAAAGAGATCCTGGAAGATAGGGAGGGCTATGACATCGTTCTCGCGTAGGTATCCATACGTGGTCGTGTCCCACCAGTGGCTGATGAGTCTACTGTTACCGTCCGTCCGACTCCCAGATTATCAGTGACAAAATGGATTCACCTGAATGGAGGAGATGAAGGACTAATGCGCTTCTTCCGACGTGTTTACTCTGTGCTCAAGCCAGGCGGCACATTCGTGCTAGAACCGCAAGAATGGCACAATTACGCGAAGACGAAACGCATGGACCCTGTATGTACCATGCTCGCTCCTCTGTCTTGCCACGCCTACTCATGAACATTCAGAAACTCAAGGAAAATGCGAAAAGCCTCAAACTGCGCCCGGATGATTTCGAGCGAGTTTTACAAGACGTTGGTTTAAGCCCCGCAGAGCACTTGGGAAAGATAGGTGAAGGCGGTACGTCTTGGCCAGTGATATGATCAGGAATGATATACGATCAACGCGGCCGTTGCAGGGTTCCGACGAGCAGTTGACGTTTATACCAAACCAGCGTGATACCTGCGCCTGTCTATATTGGCCGACCTAACCGTTCTCTAGTTGGATCTCTATCTATGAGATGATCTGCATCCGTCCTAGGTGGACTATTATCGTCACGGTCAATCCATGTCAACGGTGACCTCTACTCCTTTCTCAGTGTTCTTCATAGTGACACTTCCGGAACCGTCAGTGTACATAGATGAGGTTGAAATGTTGCCTCGCTTGCCTGGACAGATCCTTCACCAGAAAGTCGGGTTTGGCCGCCTCGACCTGTTCGCGAGTATGTGACGTGAGCAAGCCGAGTGTCCTGCACCCTGCCGCTCGTCCACTTCGCACGCCTGCCGGGGCGTCCTCGACCACGAGACAACGTCTAGGATCGACGCCACACAACTTTGCGCCGAGGAGGTACGGGTCGGGCCTAAGGCGAGGTTCGCATTAGCTGGGATCTCGGCGATTCGGCACTACATGCGCACTCGGGCTTCCCCTTCTGGACGTCTTCTGACACCACAAATGCGTCCGGCAGCGGTATTCCCGCTTTCTTCAGCGCTGCCGTCGCGTACGAGCGCGTCGCCGACGTGCACACTGCCCAGCGAATGTGCGGGCTCTTCGGTGCCACCTCAAGCTAAAATACTAAAGTTGAACGATCGCGTGGGAGGGCGTGTTGGGTGCGAACCTCATCAATAATCTCTCGGACACCTGGCAGAGCGACAATGCCTCGTCGACCATTCTTCGTGGAGTTCTCTACGATCGCTTGCTCGAAACGCTTCGCTTCTCTCTGCAAGTGGCGGTCAGCGACAGCCAAAGTCGACATCTCATAAATTTTAACCTCCTGCTCTTCCGGGTCTTCCACGCCGCAGAACCTGCGGAGGTTCTCAACAGTGCGGATGCCATGAGATGCTGGTGAAGACATCTTACATCTCCGCCACCGACGTCCGAAAAGTTCATGACTCACAGCTCAGGACCTGCGTCACGTCAATCTGGGGATACGTCTCCTTGAACACCTCCCATGCACCGACAACACCGGCGGTCGAGTCGACCAGCGTACCGTCCATGTCGAATAGACTGAAGATGGGCAAATTTCAGCATCAGCTGTATACATCCACCTTGCGCCACGATTACTTGCATGGCATCGAACTCCAGTGTCGTGCTGGGCATTTCTATGAGGAGGATATGGGATGAGTGAGTCACGGCAAAGATGGGAGTGAAAGACTGGGTCAAAGCAACGCTTCGCCGGTCCGAGCGGTGGCGGCGTTCCGGTAATGGCAGTCGTTTGTTAGGATCAATTGTCCTTGCCCAACAACCGCCCAATAGATCGTTATCTAGATGCCGAAGGTTCGCCGACGGCGTTCCTCTTTTTCTATATGTATACAATCTCAGCATTCTCCTATGTAGAAACAAACTGCAATGCTAATACAACGATATGAAGCAACTTTTTGAAAACAGTGATGGGGCTGTGAGACTAGGCTGCAACGAGAGCATGCAGGTTGTATATCTCTCTTCGCACGGTATAGTACACGTCGGACACAGATCCCTCGAGCTCTACTCTGCCTCGAGTGGTCTTCTTGACAGCCACCGAGTCTTCCCAGGAGTCGGAATTGCCACCCTTTTTCGCAGAGGCCCCACATATCAGCACACCTTCGCCGATCAACTCCGCGTGCACGCCGACTGCAGCGAGCCGGGCTTTCAGAGCGGTCAATTTGAGCTCACCAATCATCGTCGACTGGGGCAACGTGCGCGTTGGCCGTGAGCCTAAGATGCGGCCGTGTGGTAGCTGGAGATTGCTGGAGCTAGACTTTAGCGACGAGGATGACACAGGTTCAAGGACAGGGATCGTTGAGGTTGCTAAGCTCGCTACACGGCCGGTCACATAGCCGACCTCGTTGTCCTCGAACTGCACAACATTGAAAGGGATGAGCAGTGAGCAAGGCGTAAGTGTAATTAATTCACCTGTGACATCTTGATAGAAGCGAGGAGCTCGTCGCTCAAAGATATTGAGAAACTATTGGTGTGTTGGCCAATCTGTATGTTTTCTCCTTGCACTGGCGAGTAGATATCTCGCGTCATTGCTCGAATGTTAGAACAGCTCTCCACGAGTACGTCAGTAGCAGCTGGAGGAGCATGCACGATGATCTATGAGGAGCTGCAATCAGCTTGATGATAATCTGAATGTCGAGAGATCATACCATTCTGCGAGGATTCACTTGCGGCACGATCGTCTTCACTGCTCTCCCGTCATTGAGGCCTTCCAAGTCCACGAACAACAGGCGACAGGCGAGCTGCACCTCAACATCAGTGGTTACGAACTTGGATGGAGGCTCTACGGGGACTTTCTGCGTTTGAGAGAACAGTTGAGCGCTGTTAGGATCCGCATATAGACAGTCGCAAAAGATACCTTTGCTTCCTCCTCTGCCTTTCTCCTAAGTTCCTTTACTTCATCACTCTCCGCGTCCTCCTCGAGCACTTTCCCTTTGCGCAGCCACAAACCCACATCAATCGTCTCGCCGTATTCGTCTACCCGTCGCTTCTTCTCCACATATGGAAACATACGGAACCGCTGAGTCTGGCCCTCTGCATTTTTGAAGAACGATGTCGTCCGCGCAACGTTACCCTTGAGGTAGATATCAAACGATAATGTCCGAATAGGCTCATCCGAGTCAACTAAACCCCAATCTGTCCTGTCCGTAGCGTCACCTTTGGTAATTTTCTGCTTCGAGCGCCTGTTGGCGACACGTTCAGACCCCATGAAGTCCTCCGTGGTGTCCATCATATCGTCAGCGAGTGTCTTTTCTACCTCGCTTTCCTCGTCCGTCTCGGCGTCCGAGTCTGATTCACTCTCATCTTCTTCACCTTCGTCCGCTTCCAACATCCGTTGGTTCCGTGCTTGGGCGGCTTTCTGAGCAGCCTCCTTCTCTTGAGCAGCACGCTCTTTCTGGAGATGCTCCTCCAGCTCAGCGCCTTGCAACGGCACCTTCGCATGCATCTGCACAACCAATATGATGTAAGCATGCAGTAGACCAGCTACTTGACAGTAGTCCAACAAACCCGCAGATGTAAGGAGCCATCCATCATGACGTTGTTACCGATCCTGCCACGATCCCACTTCGCGTCCTCTCTCTGTGCATTATTCCAGCGATCAAACAGTATTCGCCCTAGAGTTCCCTCCTCACTGCGACCCGTCAGCAGAACGACGTTGTCGGGGATCTCGGCGAATTGTGCAAACAAGGCTCGAGAGGGACCATGAGAAAGCGAGGCTGGTACCGCAAGGATCAGCTTCGGGTCCTTGGATGAATAGGTTTGCATGAGGGCTTGTGGATTTGGGAAGAATTCCAAATGTCTGACGTCCCTCTGCATAAGCCACGTTACCTAGTCGGGACTTATTGTGAATGACGTACCGAAACCGGAGAGCGAACGCGCCCAGCGCGTCCTCGTCGTTGTCATCGTCCCGCCTTCTTTTGTTGCCCTTCCCTCCACTGGTTCCATCCTCACCTACATCCTCCTTGCTGACCGTACCTCCGAGCCATTCCATCATACTCCGCACAAACGTGAGCATCTCGCGGCCTGTGCGCGAGAGCAAGCATATCGGGAACTTGAGGCGGGAATAGTTCCAATGCTGATCGAGCAGCACTAATAGCTCGAGCACCCGTGTGCTAGAATCACACGGAAGGAGCAAAGAGTTTCTCGATGTCAGTGTGGCCGTAACGCAGTCTGAGATGGGTGACAGGGCATTACTAATGGGAGATTAACATGAGGTGAAGTCTCACATACCGAGAAGAGCAGCATCTCTGTCCTTTCTCCGAGCCGTCGTCACGTTGGCGCGCTCAGCATCGGTGATGAGGAGATCTGGTCGTGCAAGGCTCTCAAATATACCTCCTCCTGCGGAAGCTTGTCGCACGAGTACCGTCCCATCCAGATGGCGCTCACGCATGTGGTTCATATCTACTGCGTATAGGATCGTTCCAGCGGTGGGCGATCGGATCTTCCATATTGTTCCACCAAGGGTGTGTCCCGCGTTGAACGGTATTATTGTCAAACCCTGACATTTTCCTGAGACACAATGAGTGAGGAAGCGCAAATATCGAGGGTGAAGCCGCAATATACCTTGGAGATGACATGGCTGAGAGTACCGCAGAACATTCACAGAGTCAAAGGCATCATGTACCTCCTGCAAGGTTGCAATGTACCTGCCTTTCTTCGATGAGAGAGGAGGCGTCTGACTGCTCCTGGAAGGCTGTTCAGATCCACGATCATCATCTTCCGGATGCGAACTCTTCTGGCGTTCTTCCAGATCTACAACTTCCTGCTCATCACGAATGCCCTCTACGTCTTCCGTCGCGGCAATACGTGCCATTGCCTGCACCGGAAGAGTTGTGTACGCGGGTGCAGTGAGGTTCCAATGTGCATACGCATAAGGGTAGAGGCCCGAGTGTGCAAGGTCCCCATGCGATAGTAGGACGAGGTCGATGGTAGGCGCGACTCTAATGAAAGTAGTCAGTACAGACCATGCTTAAAGGGCATCCTGCACACCCTAAGCATAAGCCTAGCCATAAACGAAACCCTAGAAGACATAATGCACGACGAAAGGTGCACGTTACATGGGTTCTCGCACATTGCAGCCACATAGCCGAAGACGCATTTTGAGACAAACTCACTCTCGCAAAGCATCACAGTACGTGTCCCAGGGGCGCGCAATCGACTCTTGAGCCTCATCCTTCACTTCGGTTTCTGGACACCAATCTGGAGAACCGCAATCCAACAAAATTCGAACATCGTCTACCTGGAGGAGATATGCCAATGGGATGGTACGAGGAGAGCGGGCAGGACCCGAGAGCGGGGTGAAAGTGATCATGCTGATTTGTGTCGCTATCGGCAGATGTCTCAGGTATATTCGGTCAAAGCAAAGCCAGCTATACCATCAAGTTAAGACGGCGCCTCTAAGCGCTCGCGCGATGTGAAGTGTGAAGAGGTGCGTCACGTGCGTCGCAATTATTGACTCCAGTGAGCCCGTTCAGCTCGTATCATGCCGCCAATTTACTCGAGGCCGCTCATGACGACGCAGTTGTTAATGAGTACATATAGTTTTGCAGCGTGTGTGAAATTCACTCGCATCGTCTGGCATGGTATACATTTTATTTTCGCCATGCGTCTGGGCAAACAACTAGACGCGCTCTAGTGCCGCACCAATTAGAGTATTGCAGTGTTGAGCCAAACTGTCTGCAACCCCAGGATTGAGAATGAATACGTGGGCGCACAAACAACCCACGTGTAATTTGAAGTAAGCGGTGTTGGAGAGTGACTAGATTTCGGAGGCGATGATGGATTGAATTGTGAAACCATTACAGCGCCACATCGGAGCTTGAAACGCTTAGCGTCCTTACACGCAACTCTTCCAGCCAGTTTCCCTTCAACATCTCCTCCTTTCACGACAATCAATCCCCTCTCGTTCCCCCTTCTCCTGATCTGCAATCATGGGTCTCTCGGTCTCCCGTCTGCTTTCTGGTCTCTTCGGCAAGAAAGAGATGCGTGAGTTGTCTTACCGATGATGAGTAGCCGGCAGGAACAGCGCGTGCTGACTCGTCGCGTTCCCTTCAGGCATATTGATGGTGTGTGTGCATGTTGAGCACTTATACACGATCTCATTGAGAAGCGGAACAGGTTGGGCTGGACGCAGCCGGTAAAACCACCATTCTGTACAAGTTGAAGCTCGGCGAGATCGTGACGACCATCCCAACAATCGGTTAGTTGTCCGAGGCTCAATGAGATACGTGGTCTGATGCGGTTAATAATAGGTTTCAACGTTGAGACCGTCGAGTACAAGAACATCTCGTTCACAGTCTGGGATGTCGGAGGACAGGACAAGATCCGTCCTCTCTGGAGGCATTGTGCGTGTCATGATGCGGACACGTTGGACGCAACTGACATACCGGCGCTTGTATGCAGATTTCCAGAATACTCAGGGCATCATCTTCGTTGTCGACTCTAACGATCGGGAACGTATTTCTGAGGCGCGGGAGGAATTGCAGCGCATGCTCAACGAGGATGAGCTCCGTGATGCTCTCCTCCTTGTCTTTGCGAACAAGCAAGATCTCCCCAATGCCATGAGCGCTGCTGAAATCACCGACAAGCTTGGGCTCCACGGACTCAGGCAGAGGACGTGGTTCATTCAGGTTGGTTCGGATTCTTTTGCCTTCTTGTGTGTGGTCTAATGCTTTCGGTTTTAGGCGGCATGTGCGACGAGTGGTGATGGTCTATATGAAGGTCTCGAGTGGCTCAGCGCCAACATAAAGCGACGGGTTTAAAGTGTGTTCTTCCTTATCGTGTCCGGGTCCACATCAACGCTGTCGTAATACGCGTCATGATCCTTACGATATGAAAGATCATTCTATTTGCACCTTGTCTCTGCTTAGCTCCTCAGCAGCTTAGTCTCGTTAGTTTTCCATTTTAGTCTGTTTCCTATCTGTTGTCTCGTACCTTCGGAACCTCGTATCCCCCAACGTCCCCAGCGGACCGTCCAAAATGCTCCTTATGCTAAAGATGTGCGTAAAATGCTACTATAGGAGGATCTCCGGTCCTCGTTGCGGTGCGCATGCCTCGTGACATATTCTGACGCGGTGTGCGAGACCAGGCAAAGTGGCTACTAATAGTAAAATATCATTCCCACATTATCATGTGCATGGTGCCATGGTTAGGGTATGCATTATGCGGTATGAGATCCCAAGCGTAAGCCGGCAGGCACCAAGTCGGTGCCCACCCGGTGCTATGCATTATGAAGAGTTGTGAGCGTACGTGTCGTGGGAGGGTATACTGCAGGAACCATCAGCATTTCTCGCCATCGAATAGTCTCCCAACCGCCTCCGCTTCTTTTCGCCGTTTCTCTCCCGTCTCCCTCGAAGGAGCATCTCTGCATTCCGCACTGAAACGAGCAAGTTTCTCGAGCAACGCTTGCAGCCGACTGGGTCTTACAACGGAGTAATTTGCCCGTCGCTTAGCCGGGATCAGGTATTGTTGCACCTTATCCTCCATAACAACAGAAGCCATCTGTGCAATGCGATCATCAGAACTGGCCTGTCCGGTGGAGGCGGTAAATGACATACCAGTCGCAGCTCAAGAAAGGAAGCATTGAGATGCGCGTGACCACCACGCTTGAACTCATCCTCGAGGAAGTCAATGTCCATGATGACATTGGCCAGTGCATTCTCGTTCATCATCCGCACATCTCCCCCAGTCAGAAAGTCCTGTGTCAGGAAGAGCGATGGTCAGTGGCGAACATCTCCGGTTTTATGAAACACAAACCATGAAACACTCCGCTATATAGTTGGCAGCGCCTCGATAGGCCTCATCCTTGTACGCGTCCTTGACAGTAAGAGAGTCGACCACAGTAGTGAGCCAGTTGATCAACTCATAGAGATACATGCTTGGCGCCTTCTCTCGTTTCGGCGGTGTCCAATCATACTCGGAGAGGTCGAAGAAGTCGTCCAGTTTGGAGGAGATAGACGCTGTGACACGAGACAGTGCATATGTTGTAACAGTGGCGAATGAAGCCGATGCTGTAAGACGTATAATCCCTCCTCGCTGCGAAGAGCTACGTGGTGCATTAGTGGAGAGGAGCAAAGTCTACTAGCGGTACTCACCGAATCAATGTAAGGGACCGTTCAAGCTCCGCACATGCCACCTCGAGATGCTCCAGGTTTATGATGATCTGAGCTATCTGAGATAGATTGGATGTATTCTGCGTACGCTTGGCTATGTTCTCGCTGATATACTTCGAGAGGATGACATCGAGTGACTATACAGAGCCAACGAGTTAGGAGGGTCATTGTGCAACTTGGACAAGATTATTCACTTTGCTAAGTAGGTCGTCAATGTTGCGGTGATGTTGCGAGACCCCCTCCAGGAATTGATAGAAGTTCTGTACATAATTACGAATCTGCGGGCATTCAGCACTCATTCGTTGCAGCATATATAAATGATGTTCACATCTTGACAGCAGAGATAGAAACTTTGCGACCAAGGGAGATTTAGTGGTAAGTCACTCCTTAAAAAACAAGTGTCATTAGTTTTTCAGGCAGTGCAATGCCATAACATACTTAGCCAACTCGTCTCGCTCGTTTTTCACAAGCCACACAGTCTCCAGTACACCATCCCGTTCTGCCGCAGTCTCGACGTACATAGGTAGATAGTCGTCTTGTGAAACGATCTGAAAAGATGAGGAGGTCATATATGAGACAGATGTCAGGTTTCAAGGCCGAGCCGATTAACCAACCATCTCGAATCGCCTGCCGAATTTCTTCTCCAGAATGGCAACGTACCGCTCAAACAGATGCAGTATGAACGTGTGGAGGCTCTCTGTCGAATATGAATACGACTCAACCAATGTCAGGACCGTCTCCAGCTAATCCTAGCAGAAATATGCTCACTTCCAACGTCATGACAAAGCTCAGCAGACACTCCTTCACTGCCAGATACGCATCCGCATCCGTCTCATTCTTGAGTGCATGGTCAACTGCCATGTCAACGCGCTTCACCAACGCATCCCACAGATCTTCTACCTCTCGTCGAGAGCGGAAGCTGCCGGTAGTGTTCAGGACATGTGTCTCGATGATGAAGAAACCGACTATTTCTTCAGTAACTTGGGGGAGTAAGGACAGAGGTAGGATCTCAGGCAGGATAAGGCCTGCTTGAGCCTGTCTGAGCGTTCATTGAACGTCCTTGGTGGGAAAGCGTGATACGGACCTTGCGATCGGCCTGGTAGGACTTACGAATCTCGTCGAGGGAGTCCAGTGCGGTGTAAATGTGTATACATTCGTATAGAGGCTTGAAGTCGACGTGCAGCTGTTCGTTGTCGAGTACGTTGTCTGTGCAATCACTTAGCGAGCAAATCAGATCTCAAATGAGCGCCCCCTTACACTCGATCTTCTCATTGGTGACAATCTCTACAGCACTGCCTACCCTGCTCAATTTCAATAACGGGTCCTTCTCTCTTCTGCTTCTCCACTTCCGAATGCGATGCTCCATGGCGTCTAGGGCCAGCTGTCCGACCTGCGCGCTGACGTTCCGTATGTCCAAGAGCCACTGCTTCATTGATGCTGTCACGGCGTCCTTGATCTGCCCGCGCAGTGATGGAAGAGATGAAAGCAGATGTTGGAACAAAGGAGTCTGCGATAGAGATGTCGGTGGCATACTCTCAATATCTTCGAGGGACTGAGAATCATGATATTCATTTCCACACTATATGCGCAATGGAAAGAACATGACGAACCCGTAGTGCACTCCAGTACTTTCCGTCCTTGATCATTTCGCCAACACGGTTCACGACGTCCAGCACACGGAGGCATGCCTGTAGGGTATCAATGGCTTCGTCCAAGTTCGCTGCAGTCTTCTTTGACTGTAGCAGAGCGCGCTTTTTCTCAACTAAGCCTCGACCGACTTGTTCGACGCCTGAGTCGAGGGCAGTGATATTGTCACGCAGGTTCGTGGTATATGACTTGATAGAGAACAACGTAGACACTGAGTTGGTGAACTCCTGGTAGTTGTCTCCACATATTGTCTCGATTTCGGCATCCTTTGACTCGATCAGGGCATTGACTGTGCGAAGATACGCATCTTGTTGACGATTCTGGTGTATTTGTTTGATGACAGGCCCGAGCTGCTCGAGGTTCTCGGAGGAGGACGATTGGTCGAGAAGATGGATTTGCTGAAGTTGCTGATCGATGCTCTCTTGAGTGAACTGAGGACGGCGACGAGGGGGCATTATAGCCCTATGTGTCAGTCGAAAGAGCCAGCCGAAGCTCAGCGATCCATCAAAAGCGAGGGAAGAAGTGCACCAGGCCCGTGTCACGCAGCCTTTGGGCGACGTGCTAGCCTTTGGGCGACGTGCTCAATCTAATCTAATCTCTCTCGAAATGGATCATAATCCGCCGGACCCTGAAGTCCTCGGAACTGGGATGATCGCAGCGAAAATGTGATGCAAAGGTCTGGATTCGAGAGCACACACAGACATTACATATATATATCGTCATGTAGAGGGCAGTATCATGCTAAGGATTTGCGACAGCCAGAGCGAAATGAATACGTATAAAGATTACAACAAGAGATACGAGAGGCCTAGATGAGTTCTGCAGCGTTGACAGGCATTTCATCCTAAAAAGAGACAGCAGTCAGCAGCAGTACAGAAGGAGGCGGAACATGTAACGTACGATCTGTGTGCTGTAGAATTGTTCTGAAGAGATGAAGGTCAGAATGGGACGGGAGGATGGGCAGAAACATGAAGAGACATACCGATATCCCGGAGGATGCGGACATCATCCACAGTAACGAACTACATGAGGTCCATAGTCAACACGTGAACCTGAAGGGATTTTATTATTCTACTCACGTTGATAGCTACACCCTTGCGCCCGAACCGACCTGACCGACCAATGCGATGGATGTAGTTTTCACGATTCCTATAGCATTCTATCAGAACAAGGCAATTGCAGTCCTACGAGTAGGATAACTTACGCAGGCAGGTCATAATTGATCACAAGCGAAACTTGTTGAACGTCGATACCACGAGCCCACACGTCAGTCGTGATCAACACGCGCCTGGGGCATGATGAGCTGAATGCCTAAAATGAATCGGACCGAAAGTACTTACGATGTCCCGCTCCGGAATTCTGCCATGATGGCGTCCCGCTCTTTCTGCACCATCTCTCCGTGCATTGAGGAGACTGTGAAGTTGGCGGCACGCATCTTCTCTGTTAACCAGTCAACCTGCACGCTGTCAGCATTTGATCGGAGGTTGACCTCGAAATACGTACCTTTCGCCTTGTGTTACAGAAGATGACGGCCTGCGTGATGGTCAAGGTATCGTAGAGATCGCATAGTGTGTCGAACTTCCAGTCTTCCTTCTCAACTGCTACGAAAAACTGCTTGATGCCCTCCAGCGTCAACTCATCACGTTTGACGAGGATACGGATGGGGTCGGTCATGAACTTGGTGGTCATTTCGAGAACATCATATGGCAGCGTAGCACTCAGGAGCACTACCTGCGTCGCGGGGGGGAGGTATCGGTAGACATCGTAGATTTGGTCCTTGAAGCCCTTATTCAGCAGCTCGTCCGCCTCATCCAGCACCAACATCTTGATGTTCCGCGTCCGTAGACTCCGTCGGCGGATCATATCGAAGACACGGCCAGGAGTGCCGGACACGACGTGTTGGCCGTACTCTAGCTTGCGAATATCCTCACCAATCGAAGTGCCTCCGATGCAAGCGTGGCACTGCACGTTCATGTAGTCGCCGAGCGCGAGGACGACGGATTGAATCTGAGTAGCCAGCTCGCGAGTAGGGCTCAGAATGAGGGCCTGCGTTTCTCGCACGGTGACGTCGATGGATTGGAGGATAGATATCGAGAATGTCGCGGTTTTTCCTGTTCCAGACTGCGCCTGCGCAATTACGTCTCGCCCTTGAATGATTGGCAAGATGGCCCGCTGCTGGATAGCTGAAGGCTTTTCGAAGTCTTCAAATTTCAGTGAGCATATTTACATACACAGGTGGCGTCAGACACGTACTGTATGCGTAGATGCCGCGAAGAAGGTCCTCCTTGAGACCGAGGTCATCGAAGGTCGAGACGACTGAAACCGCCTCGGAAGACTCGAATACGAGTTTCTGAACAACAGCACAAACAGTCAGCATATACTTAGTAACACAGAGCGAGAGACACGCACTTCGTCGCCGGGGTTGATGCCAGACATGATGGTAAGTTTTGGAAGAGGTGATGAGTGAGGGTGGAGAGAGTGGTCGGACTTTAAATATCTGCCCTCTTGACGGACGCTTGGTAAGCGCCCATTTCCTTGCCATTTCTGTCCTTGCTCGAAACGCACTCCTCCTTCTTGCTGCCATGGATTCTATCATCGAGGTCCAGCGACACACCCACGAGGAGATAGAACACTTTGAACGTGCGCTGTATACGATTTTGTCCAAGCCTCAGCCTACGCACGAGTCACGGTTGCAGGTTGAGCACAAGGCCTGTAATCTCCTCGATAGACTTTGCTCTCGTCTGGTCGCGTTGAACAACCTCTATGAGGATCAGGACACGCGGAAGACTGAGATAGATGCTATTTCTGCGCCTCCAAACCAGCAGAATGACTTGTCGACTTTCTATGCTCGGCTGGGGAAGATTCAAGAACATTACGCGAAATACCCGGATGCCCTAGTTGGCGGCTTTGAACCCGAGCTGGCGGCTTTCCTAGACGAGGAACAAGATGGAGGTGCAGGAGATGAGGAGTATGAAGACGATGATCGTATGTCTACCCCTTCTGAGATGCCAAGCATGCTACTGAGCCAGCTTGTCCGTCGTGTAGCCGTTGCTTTGCTCTTCTCCGGTGAAGAATCGTATGGCAAATATCTCGACTTGTACACCAATCACGCTGCCTACAATAACTTGAAGAACATCGGCAAGCGTCTGGGGTACCTTCAATACCTCGATGCTCTTCTTGCTGCTCAAACAGAGCCAGTGCATTCAGAGTTGCCAAAGGAATGCCGTTTGGCAAAGGATTACGAGCTGTGCGTTCACTTACTCTGTCGCTCTGTTCTCTTGTTCTAAAACTGTCATACGTTGAAGGTACATCAAGGCCTTGCACGCGTACCTTATTTCCTTCATTAAGCGAGCACAGCCGTTGGTTGATATAGAATCTCAGCAACGCGAGGCCGAGGCAGAGTTTGTCAAGAAGTGGGAAGCTGGAGAAATCGAGGGATGGGAGGAAGAACGCCCAAGCAAGCCGGCAGCAAATGGCGATGGCAATGGAGAAGGGATTTGGTGTGCAGCTTGTGAGTCTCATTTACACTCGACTCTCGCATATCTCATTCACGTATTCAGGCCAAAAAATGTATTCTAGGCAAACCGTATATGATGCGCATCTGACATCGAGGAAGCACATCAAGGCCACCCAAAAGCAAGCAACTAACGCGGAGCAACCGCCTCCCAACCCCAACGGCACCGCTCAGTCTTCTCCCAACCATGATGGGCATGATACTACACAGTTGGACAAATCGAAGCATCGTACTACTGCTATGTTGACCTATCTCACCACGCAGTTGCTCGCCTCCCTTGCATCTGTATTGAACGAGACGAAATCCAACGTCGAACGTCGATTCTCACTGACTGCTCGAGAGCGTGAACAGGAACTTCTTGAACAATCAAAACCTCCGCCGGTATCGGCCACGCCTGCCAACGGAGATGCTGCCGAAGAAGAAGAGGAGGAAGAGCGGATATACAACCCGCTCAAGCTGCCTCTAGGATGGGATGGGAAGCCCATTCCTTACTGGCTGTACAAGCTGCACGGATTGGGTGTCGAGTACCGCTGCGAAATTTGTTCGGACCACGTATACATGGGACGGTGAGCCTGCACGTGTCGTGGTGTCTGTCAACGTACTAAGATTTGCGCCGTAGCAAAAACTTCGATCGACATTTCCAGGTTAGTCTGCGGCCCGTTGAGGGTTGTCGAAACTAATTCGTCTGATTCATCCACGCAGGAATCGAGACATGCTTTTGGCATGCGTGCACTTGGTTTGCCCAACACGAAGCACTTCCATGAGATCACTCGCATTGAGGATGCTCTTGCTCGTGAGTTACAATGCTGTATAGCTTTTGGCGAATGACCAATAATTGATGATGCACCTGAACTAGTGGCCGAAAAACTGAAGAGGGAAGGTCGCCATGAGATTTTCGAGCAAGAGACAATGGAGGAGCTAGAGGACGAAGAAGGCAACGTCTACAACCGGAAGACGTACGAGGACCTGAAGAAACAAGGACTTATTTAGGTCCTACGCTGGCTACCGTTTTTGCTGTGTGTAATCTTGAGCCTTCCGCTTGCCGTAACACGATATAGAAATGCATATCATCCATTCCAATGCTATCATGACATGCCATCTCTGTGTCTGTCGTAATAGCGGTCATGCATTATTGTTCGGTATCGGTTTGTTCCCCCGCGGGGGTGGCGCAGGGGCTGGTCTCCTGCCTGCTTGGACAGGCGCCATTGGGCTCTGCAACGCGTGATATATCTCTTCCTCTGACGATGTCGGAGACGATGATAGCGGGGACTCAACCGGTGAGTCAAAAGGGTTGCTCTTCTGTTGTGCAATCTTCCTAGGACTAATCGGAACGAAGATACCATCGGGATGTCCTGCATAGAGTTAGACGTACATTTGGCCAGGTGGTAGCCGACTTGCCTGGACCGTCCCACCAAGCTACTTCCTCTGAACTGGGTGGCGGGACTGAATCAGAGGGAGCAGTGAGTGACATTCACCGTGTTGTCCTCATCAATGAATGACTCACGGCTTTCGGCGTTCGCTGAGAACGTCAACTTTGCGAGCTTCTCTTCGAGCTTCTCCCCTGGAACGGTAGAGGTGACATTCTCCAAGAGAAGCCGGGACAATGTCTCCCTCTTAACGTGATCGATGATTCTGATTCCCGCGCGGAAGAGGGAGAAGACTGGACAAGTCGATCAGAGCATCGGGGAGGTAGAAGACGCAAACACTAACCTGGGCGATGATCGGAGCTTTTCAGCTCAGCTCGAGAATAGACTGCTAGATCGAGTTGGGAACCCTTGTACAGAATCCGATCTGTACCGAAGCTTGTTCATTTGGATTTTGAGATGTGGTCAATCATGTCGACCAACCTGTCCATGCGGGGATTCGCATCTTCTCCCCGGTATCATACTTATCGGATCCAACGTCGTATTTGTATGTCGGACGGAAAAGTAACGGACCCTCTTGGTATCCTGGAAACGCTAGCCCATCATCTATAGCTCGCTTGAGCTAGACCTACAATCAGCTGGAAGCTGATACACAATCTATTCACCGCTTACCTGATCCGCCGCCAACAGGGCATCGTAATCGTCATTTCCTGCAAGGAACCTCACGCGATCATTTTCCAGATCAATGCGGTAATTGGTATCGGCCAGCCAGACAATATTGCTGGCGAAACCACCATAAGTCAACCTGAAGCGTTGATAGGGCACCAGACCTACTCATGGCTATCAATGGTTCTTCCTTTTAAGAAGTGGAGGTTGTTTGCTATGGTGCGATAATCCGCGTTGCGTTCATCAATGTTGGTATGACCAGCAGCCAAATGGGCAGTTATGAAACAGAAACCGGTATCGTGGTAATTGAGGCGGATGGCCACGGCGCCCTTATTGCCGGACATTCCTCGTAGGCCGGTCTGCGTACAACTTCAATATCACCAATGAGGGTTCCAATTCGGCACGCACCTTCTGTGTCGCGGCTTCAACATTACGGATCAAAGATGTGAGTTCTGACTTCACAAGGATAAGTAGCGCCGTCCCGACTAGCTGGACCGATAGAGTATCATTGGAGACGGGAATGACCGTTGCAAATATGTTCATACCTGATGACTACGCAAAAGGACATAATGGTCTTTTTTCCCAGAGCGTTGATTGAGGGCTCCGAGGATCTTACCCTCCCATGCTCGTCTATGTCGAAATGATGCATCAGGTCATCGACAAGTCTGGTAGCTCACGTACCTCCTCTCAGGATCAGCTTGCACAATCTGCTGTGCAGTCAGTGGCACAATTTCCTGGAATCCGATCGCAAAAATATCTGGACTGTAAAGGATGAGAAATGGGTGACGCTGATCAATCATGTCGCGTACTCGGCAGTATCTGGACATCGAAGTCGGACAAGTGGTCAACGTCCACTCCCTCAGCTTGAATAATATAAAGTGCTCACTCGGCCTGGGAAACAACCATGGCAATAGCGATTCGGCAGACGGAGGCTGAGAGCCCGAATACATTAGGTAGTACTAATATTTGCTGAAACATCGTGCTCACTCTTCCATTCAGATTCCAGGTGCCAACAAAGACTGTACACGGTATGGTCGTCGAGTATTCTGATAGCCTGGATGAAACCATGAGTTACTGCCCTTAGCACAATTCTCGAGAGGTCAGCTTACCTGGCTTCCAAAGCGCGGCGAACCGAATCATGTATAGGATCGTAGAGCTCGACTTGTATTCGCGCGGCCATGTTGCCCTAGGTGAAAACTGAGATGTAGCAGAGACATGAAAAGAAGGGTTGGGATACCACAAGCACGTCTATTGCAGTCTGCTTGCCCTTATCTTGGAAATTGTTGATATATGCCCTAGAAACACTCTTCGTTGCGTCGGACAGGACACCTGAATTGTATTATAAGCAATGGCGCCAGCAGGAGGACATAAAACTCACCTGCTAGGGTTCTTTTGCCAGTGCGGGTGAAACTGGTATTCAAAGCACCTGTGCCAGCGTAGATCCTGGACAAGGTATCACCATTTTCGGCCCATGCTTCTCGATGATTTGACCACAGGGAGTTAGCATGGGACCACTCCTTCCTGATCAGCTTTAGATACTGTTCTAGGGTGGTACGAGAGAGTATATCTTGGACGAAGTTGGTGCGGTCTAGACTGGGTGATATTCAGCCACACGATGACGAAGTACTGAAGATGTCTGTACCAGTCAAGGCAGTTCGTCCTAAACACACCCTTCTGCTCCGTAATGAGCTCGTCCGAAGCGGCATCGATCATCGTAAATCCGAATTTTTCGATATTCTCCACGATATCTTGCAGACGTCTGAGGGTCGATGAGATCATATATTCCAAAATGAATACTCTGACTCGCCTGACTTCTCGGAACACGCTTTCATGCCCGCCTATTTTCACTGCATTGTGGAAGTCGAAATGCGTGATGCCGACAGCGTTTCCCAATACTCCTTGAGCGAGGTGCAAGTGTCGCTGGTAGGCATTCGTGAGGATGGCCTCGTTTTCCTTGCTGCCTAGGAGATCGATTGCGTGTACAGCACCATATTCTTCCGTAAGTTGCAGGAAATGACGGTCGAAAGCAGGTTGAGAAGCTTGTGGTCGAGTAATTTGTATGCGCTGGCCGAACGTTTGCAAGCCCTGTTGCTCCCAAAATACTTATACAAAGACACGGTGAAAACCGATTGTATTGTATGTGACGAAATACATACATGGCACGCTGCCTCTGACTTGTACATAGCTAAAGCAGTGATGCTCAGTGCTGAAGATTGTCTCGGTCTGTCGTGATTGCTTAATCAATCAAAATAATTCGATGAGGAAGGGAAAACCAACCTCTACGAAGTTAGCGCAATTCCCGTCATCGTCCACACCCCGAGTATTGAACCGAGTCCCAGATCGTTTCCACCCAAGGCGTGAAATCAGCGAGAGCGTTGCAATAACTGGAGATCCGCTGGTTGATTGCGCAGGCGGCAGGGCAAGTGTGAAGACGCCAACGTAACCCTGAATAGCCAGAACCTAGAAGAACGATCAGTAGAGACGTTCTGGATATGCAACACAATAGTGGTGTTAGACTTACAATAAAATGGGTTCTGTCCAGCTCATCGCGCTCCTGCGGATCCAGCCGCGCCCTGAAGTCAAGAAGGCTCTTGACAACGTACTCATTCCACACAAACCTATCGTCGTACGTTGCGATGTCTGTATTACCGTCCATTGTTCGTTTTCGAGCCAGACGCAGTGATAAATGGGAAGATAGATCCCATTGGGCACCCTGAGCATAATAGAACGTGCCGGCTGACATGATTTTCGCAATCGGAGCACATGGATGCTCAAAATATGTGGCAGGGACCCCGTTTGCCGCAAATGACTCGCCATATATCGCGTCCGGCTGATCACCATAAGCAGGAGTAGAAGCAGAGTCTAGGTTAGGCGATAGGCCATCCCATGTAGACGAGGTGAGGCTGTAAAAGGCGACTTCATGGATCTGAGCGACCCCCTCTTGATTAGGCGAGGAAGGACGAGTGTTACCAGCCGGTGAGGCTGAGGTGATCATGACAAGGAAGATGTCTGCACAGAATTACTCAACGAACGGGAACAACAGCGCGCAGTAAATGCCATACCGCTCGACACAGATATCAAACCAAGACATCCGTAGACATTCCTCGTAGATAGTTTGATCGTGTCGTCCAAATCGACTTGATCTTTGGGAAGGAATTGAACTATGGCTTGCGACGAGTTGCCATCAACCGCGCGGAAAACCAATGCTTTGCTCGGGTATCCATCTCGCTCCTCTTGAGGGCTGGTCACTAGATACAACGTACGCGGGTTGTCACCTAAGTGCAGGTGCATTGATATGTCTTCCCGCGATCACAGTTGATGGGCCAGGAAGTCCGGCTGCGGTCTGCCGTCCTGAGTACTGTGTGATATCCTCGCTACGTCTGGCGTCCACTCTCAGACAGTACTCTGATAAAAGCTAAGCGTTTTGGATGAAGGCAGAATCGACAAAGTTGGTACAGTCCAAGGACAGCGAGCTCTTTGATGGCAGCAGCAAAAGTCAGCCAGGCGCAGATGGTTGGTAGCAGTTGAGAAGCAGTGCGACTGAAGTCGGTGGCGGTCCGCGGAGCGCCTTGATCACTTATACGTTGCCGCCATTTTTTGTGCTAAGATATATATATACATAAGATTATAGTCAAGCCAAACCGATGGTAGCCCCGGAAGAATGTATTTGCATATGCTTAGTACGTACTTAACAGGGAACTCTTAGTACATAGGTGTAGTTCGCGAAACCCCAGTTAAAGCGTCCCACTCCTTTCACTAGATGTGTACGTTCCTCTTCTCATTTCCACGCGCTGCCCTTCCATGGGCAGTCTCCGCAGTGATGTCTCTGTGCCCGACATGCGTCTCGGAGGCGGTTTGAGCGTGAATGGAGACAACATATTTGACGATTCGTGGGCTGATGAGTCCGCAACCATCACGCTAATTGCGGCTTCAGAAGTATAGCCGTCGTTGGAAGCCCTCCGTCCTGGGGATGAAAGAGGAGGAAGGTCACTCATGGAGGGAACCCGCTGTAGCGAAGCTGTTGGCCGAATAGGAGACGGAGATCTGTGAGGAATGTTTGGGGAAGGCGGCGCTATTATTCCTTCATAGGTATCATGCCGACGAGTGCGGCGAATTCGCGGCAGGGAATCATAGATTGACTTGAAGAGAGAGGTACGAGCTCGTGGAGCTGGTGGCCTGGCAGGAGCTGTAGGCGTCAATGGCACACTGCTTTGTCCTGTATCTCCCATAGCATCAGAGATATAAAGGATGTTCTCGCAACGAGACCCGTACCAGCATTCATCGGTAGCGCATTGTCATTTGCGCTGAGGCTAAGGAAAAGGAACAGAGGTACAAGCCAGACACAGATCCCGAAGAAAGTTGCGATGTCAGCAAAACCGGACACGTTCTGCACAGGGGTTGAATTGCTGTACGGCCGACGAGTTCTGTGACGGGCATCCTGGGTAACGCGTGAAAAGTAGAAGAACCACATAAAGTGGTCCGCGACCACGAGGACACAGGATGCAATGAAGTTAAGCGACGTGAGCGATATGAAGGGCCAGCTTGATGTGAAGTTTTGCAGGTAGATGATGTGACAAAATATGGAGAAGGAGAGATGCCATAGTGGTAGGGAGTCCAATAGGTACAGCAGAACGTGGAGAACGATGATGACCTTCGAACGATGTCAGACGACTGATCTGTAACAGCCACGACGTACCCACATATATGCTCCTTTGGCCAATGATCTTCGCTAAGCGTGAATGCTCTTCGATCAGTTCAGAGAGCCATAACAGACCACTCGCTGAATGATGTATGAGAAGATAGTTTCAGACATCGCGAACACACTGACCGAGCGATAATGTGATGAATATGAAGGCGGCCACTGCTCCTACATAGCTGCATGCAATTCTCTCGTCAGATGTCCCTGCAGCAAATGATATAGGTGTCCGACCTGAGCATATGAAGGAGCGTCATTGCAGCACAAATAGAAAGCCAATCACAGAGAGGCCAGTGGCATGGGGGTCGATTGCAGTGGCTTTACCAATGAAACGAAAACGATGTTCCGTATGCACAACGGATGGCGTAGCTAGCATACAGCCGCGTTCGTTCGGCAGCAGGTTGGGCGTGTGATATGTGTCAGAACTTCGCATGAAGTCCGCCGCCACATTGACCGAGGGAAACACGTGCCCTAGTCGCTGTGCACTCGATGAGGCGCCGACCAGTGGCTCCGTAGTCATACAGCCACACCTCACCGTCTTGTCTTACCATCAAGGACCTAGTGTTTGGTATGGTTGGCTTTCCGAAGCCAGCACGTAAATTGATCACTCATATCCTGCGCGCTCCAGATTGATATCCTCGCGTCCATTGTATTGGCGTCAACATGAGCAGCCTAGAGAGTGAGTTCAGCCCATTACAGCAGATGAAGCCACGATCTGACATGAACTAGAGACACTCTTTCAGCTGAAGGTATGCTGTCTTCGGTGTGACTGCTGAGAGAATATTCTTTTATGTCGTGTTCAGTTCACCGCAAAGACTCTCAATCGGCAGGCGAAGAAGGCGCAGAAAGACGAGAACACCGAGAAAGCTCGCCTGAAGAAGGTCAGTTGCTTTGCCTGTAGTCTTTGACAGTATTTGATATGTCCTTTCAGGCTCTGCAACAAGGCAACATTGACGGGTCACGCATCTACGCTGCTAATGCTATTCGTAAGAAGAATGAGGCTCTCAACCTGCTTAGACTATCCAGTCGAGTGGATGCAGTTGCAAGCCGAGTGGAAACTGCTGTAACCATGCGCCAAGTGACTGGCAGTATGACCTCAGTTGTAAAGGGAATGGATAAGGCGATGGAGAGCATGAACCTCGATCGCGTATGTGGTGATCGTGTCGAACACTGTCGACAGTGCTGACCGTCCCTTGCGATCGCTACAGATATCCCTCGTCATGGACAAGTTCGAGTCGCAATTCTCTGATCTTGATGTGCAGACGGCCTATATGGAAGAAACCATGTCAGCTACCACGGCTGTCTCCACCCCGCAGGACGAGGTCGAGGCTCTCATGAAGCAGACCGCCGAAGAGGCCAACATCGAATTGCAGCACGATCTGGCTTCCAAGGACCTTGCCGCGGTCTCCGACCTCAAGGAGAAGGAAACAGTAGGGGAAGAGGACAACATGTTGGCTGCCCGGCTGAGAGCTCTTCGACCTGCTACGTGAGGCTGGAAGGATGTGGCTGCCATTGATTCTACGTGCAATGGTCATATCTTGGATTATTGCCGTGTCGTTAAGTGCATTCTCAGCTTGTACGATTGTACGCCGAGTAGAGAAACTCGGATCGATACCGACAACGAAGATTGTATTCAGCACATATGGAGAACGTAAGTTACAGTGGACGATTATATTCGATCTGTTAGTATGCTTAACGAAAGTTGGAAGTCAATGTAAGTAGTTGCGTATGGAAAGCCTAAGCCAAAGCCAAAACCAAACACAAATGACATATCATATTGAACGCTGTTCCACAGAGATATCGTATACGGCCATCACTTAGCAATAACATTTACATGTAGGGTATGGATGCAAGAGGGTATGGGGAGAGCAAAGAGTGGACTGGTGGAAGAGAACGCATGATCAGCGATTTGCTTGCACAACACGGAAGAACCTGTCTAACAGTGATTGCTTTCTACGAGCATCGAGTCCAGGAGCAGAATCAAGGAGTCTCTGCACATGATGCATCAGGCCATAATGTCCGTCCAGCGGAATAGCAAGAGCATCATAACGGTGCACATCTATGGGGAAACAGTTAGAAATGTGCTATATCGTGCATGCATCATAGCAGTCCAGGAACACGTACAATTCTTGAACGTCGCATATGCTGCGTCACCGAGGACTTCGTGAAACGCTTTCGCGAGGTCACTAGCATCTCCAGAGGAGCCGAAACTGCCATCTTCAATCGGTGAAATGCTTCGCCACCTGGCTCGTGCCCGCAAGCCTGCATCAGCAATAGCACCCGAGCTGTTAACACTGCGCAAAACTGCGTCCTCGCGAATCCTCGACGGCGCCCAATTCAATCCCAATCCCAAGTCGAGCGACCGTCCTTTCCGCGCCTCTTTCCTCGGCAGCGGAGGTAGAGGCAGGGGAGCATGAGAAACCGACTTGACGGACTCGGTATTCGACATTGTCCGTTTGCGCTCATCGCTCGCTGGAGAGCCTGGAATGGGCGGCACAGCAGGCTCGAATTTGAATGGAGGATGTGCCGCGCGTGCTACGCGCTTCCCCGAGCTTCTGCCCCAACTAGACGAGTTACCCGAGTGTGATGATGAATTTGGAGTACTAGGTTCAGGTTCGGTCCCATAGTTCGTTTTAGCGGTGTGACCATGGGAAAGAGGTGTAGGTTGCACCCGCGCAGGAGGAGGAGATATCGAAGGCCGATCTGTATGTCGTCGAGCCAGGGGCAAGATTTGAGTATTGACGTCCAGCGCAGGTTTTGACTTCGACACATCTTGCGTAGACTCGGCAGCTCTGTGCATCCGGCTCGGGCCTCTTGCGCTGGTGCTCCTGTGTAACGGATAGGGTCTGCCGGCCGGTGCAGGAATCTTATTCGTTGCCACAGGATGAGCCGAACCTGCGGCAGCACCCGCTCCGCCAGCCGATTCTGGACGCTCAAAGTCAAAACTGCCATGCTTGATGCGCTTTGGCCTCGTCACCGCTGGAATACCGCTGGCATGCGTACTTGTTGAGCCGTCTCGCCCTCGACTGGATCGACTATGCCCACTGCCGCTACCAACTTTCTCCAATGGCGACACACCTGCAGCACTCCTGGATGCCTCTTCTGGACCCATCTGAGCAGGAGATGCCGCTCGTCGGGGGTATGCGATCAGTGTTCTATCCTTGTCTTTGGCCTTCGCCTTGTCCGCGAAGATGCTCGTCTCTCGCGCCAGCCGTTTTCCATCTGATCGGTCTCGCGCGCCACGCGCCCTCTCCTTCTCCTTCCCTTTTCCCTTCCCTTGTGCGCCGCCAGCGACGTTCGACGATGAAAAGATACGAAGCGGAGAGCACCGACCCCCAAGCACGCTCTTCTCCGCGGCGATTCCTTCCGCAGCCCTCACAGGTTCACACCATGCGAGAGGGCTGTTGGGACGATATTGAAGGTGGGCGAGACGCGGCTGCGGCGCAACAAGTTTCGGCAGCGCGCGATACTGCGCATCGCCCGGTGCCTCCCCTTCGACTGTGCATTTGGAATCGCCCTGCGTGGTTACGCTCGAGTTCGAGCGAAGCCGTCCCGGCCATAGCGCCTGTTCACCCGCCTTGCCACTTGGCTGTGCTCCGGGTGTACTAGGACGAGACTTGGACTTGCTCGAGTTGCCGAATGCTCCCTTGCGTGGACTGCTTATCGTGATGCCGAATAAGTTCATTTTCTTGGTTTTCCGGGGCATACTCGGTGCAGCCTGCTCCACTATGACAACTTCGGTATGTATGTCAACTGGCCTCGGCTTTTTAAGCGTAGCAGGAAGAGGAACGAGCTGCGACTTAGACTCCCTTTGAGGTGCTCGTCTGTGAGGGATATTGGTGGCGGCGACAGAATAGGACAGGGGGCGTGACTGGGGCCCGGTAGCGGGCTTCGGATCGGAGGAAGACGCCACGGGCGTAGTGCGACCCTCTGGCTCCAAGCTGGGGTGGCGCGCATGCGACGGGAATGACGGACCTGCGATAGGCATGGCGTCGCGATTGACCGCGTCGTCCAGGGAGCGGGACCGTCTCTTCTTACCATCAGAGCGGGAGCGGGAGCGATGCAGGAATCTCGCAATCTAACATACCGGGATGCAGTTCACACAGCCTGAATAAATTATGATATGTAACGTACAATCATACCTTTGTGCCAAATCTCCTATGCCTTTCTTCTGGCGGAACCTCCATAGGAACTATGTCCAGGTCTGCGGGGACTGAACCCAAATTATTCGCATAGTCCAGGTAAACAAATCGGTCGTCCTCGTCTCCCGCCTAATAAACCCGCACCCGAATTTCCATGAACTTGTTCGTTGCTATTCGGAACATCGAGTCCTTACCTGAACAGAGTAAGCGGAAGAGACGCGATGGAGCTCGCTGTTGGATTGGACAAGGACACGAAACTGTATGGAATAGGACGCGGGACAGGCACCACACGTGGGAGTCGGCACGTCTTGAATGGGTATGAGAGCCCCGGGGAGCGGCATGAAGGAGAACTCACGTCTCTGGATAACCTCACACGGGCTGCGTCAATCAAGCCTACGCTGGTCCGCTTCTCCTGCTTTGTTGCAGTCGCCGTGATGTGAGCAATGTGGCAGCCGGAATCGAGGATAGAGTTGGAGGATGTAGAAGGTGGGAGGGAAGAGTCGCACGAGACTGTCGCCGATCGCAGCTCCTGGGAAGACATGGTTTAGCTTGAGATCAGTGTTGAACATTAATTGGTAAGTAGTTGTAGATGAGAGGAAATAACAGAGGAGTGTGTCAACAGCTCGGCCAGGAGTTACACATCCACAGAGATTGACAAGCAGTGTATGGAGAAGATGTGAGGAAGGCTCTCCTCAAGGTTGAGAGCGACGACCTCGCCGTGAGAAATGTTTGATATTGGTTGTCGAAGCGTCGGGCCTCGTTGAACCTGTTACCAACAACTAGTTGCTGAAGATGGATACTACTTCAAATGCTGTGTCGACGTTTATCTCGAGCTGCCAGTCTTGTCGCAATTCGCAATTCGCAATTGGCAAACCTGTAATACGCGTGGCGTTGATGCGTTCCTGAAAGCCCATCACTTTGCGCGCAGAAATATGCTTCCGGCGGAGTATCGGCTATTTTGCTGGCAACAGTAGTGTACGCCAACTGCATGCAGCAACCATCCTGCACAAAGACAGATGATCTGGTGCGAATGGTACGCTCGGCTCATAGCGCGTTGCAGCAACGCTGAGCGCTCCACAGAACACGCTCCTGCATCTCGTTGTGCATGTGCAGTTTCGTGGAAGTTCCTGCCGTACACGATGAAAGCGGCAAGTATGCTTCGATGATGAATATGTAAGCGGACTTCGCTGTTCAATGATACACTTATAGGATGCCCACAGAACACGATCGCGAAAGAACAAAGAGTAACAGATACTCGAGCAGCTGTGTTACTTATCACGTCAAGCTTCTCTCAGGCACTTGCGGCCCATGCACATTCAATGACGTTGAGCGTGGACATGCGGATTCGAGGAAACACAAAGATGCGCAATTGTTGGCGTACTGGCTATTGGACCAGAAGAGTGGCGCTTCGATTTGCGTGAAATCTGCAGCTGGCAGTGCCAGGCCGCTGATATCGAGGCTAAAAATGGGGGGCCCGAACTTAGATCACAACGAATGCGGATCATACGATGACGACAGTAGCAGCAACGGAGTACACAATTATATTGCGGCGGCGACGACAATAGCGTAGGCTACACAGGTTAACGGGTTGGGTAAGACCGAGCTCTGGGAGATCAGAGCTATGTAGCGAGGCTGAACGCTTGTGATTACAGCTGATGGGCTATAGAGAGCAGATCTTCTCAGAACAAAGCTGGATCAATTTGTTGGACGATTGTCGAGCCGTTGAATCAAAATTGAACCCGCGGTTCACTTATGACCCGAAGACTTTGTTCAGGATCTTACCTCCGATAATACAGTAAGATGCTTGTGGTGTAAGTACGGGAATCCGGGAAGTACGGATGCAAGTACATATGCGGACTCGTTTCCGACGGAGCTCCTGATGGTGTCCGAATCCAGGTTGCTACTCCAGAGCGTGAAGAGCTCATCAGCAACAAAACCTTCCAGCATTTGAGGAGCTCCATTAAGAGGTGCGTATCCACTCCGCAGAGCGAAGAGCCCATCAATACAAAGCCTTCCAGCATTTGAGTAGCTCCATTAAGACTCGGTGCGTATTGTGACTTTTCTCAGGCTGCTCCCTGTGTAGTAGTACGCATCCCTTTTACGTTCTCCGGTCATGCATTCGCAGTCTGCCAGAACGTCTGCCTTTTTCATTCGTCTGCACTTCTTTCGCTTTCTATCACATATTCTTCCGTTTCTATCTTGCTTCTGTAACAACATGTAAAGCTTTGATCGCGCATGTGCAACAGTCGCCTGCCTGCCGTAGTCGCAACCAATTCAATGTCTGCAATTAAAAATGTCTGTTGACACGGGTCATTTCTAATGGGAAGTACCTGATCGACATTGCAACTGTCCGCCAATACTATTTCTGTGCCTTCCGTTGTCTTGCCTGAATTGGCGGTGTATCTCCTAGTATTCGCCGGATCTCACCTGACATGATGGTTCCAGACAATGGGAAGTTACCCACCATAGTCTGACTGTGGCAATAGCTCTGGCCCAACAGCCGTAATCAAACCTATGAGGTTACAGGTAAGTCTGAGCAATATGCCATTGGCAGATGAGGCAGGCACTGACAGGTATTGACAGACCTGTGTTCAACTTTACCGCAAATAATTGTTGAGAAAAATCCAGTTGCCATCTAATATATCTGGGATGCATTCCGCAAATTTGCGACTGATCTCTTTCATATATAAGCTCGTTTCAGCGACCTGGCTGGCAGCCTGGCTGATCCACAAAAATGACGCACGAGCTGCATCTGCGAGTTGGACTGTTCTCCATAACACATAGCGCACTATAAACGTTGACGGTAACGGTAGAACAATCAGCAATTGCAAATGGATCCCGCCGCCGATCAAACACATATTCGTGGCAATTCTTGCCATTAAGAAGACGTACCGCACGAAGGAGGAGCGAGTCATCAGTGATGGTGAAAACATACGTCGCGCGTTTGATGCCGCAAACGCAACGTACTCGATGCACCTTTGACTGTGTCATGTAGCGACGCGTTGAATGGCTCATACTCTTTGAGGATCAGTGACTCGGAAACCGAGGTAGCCGACTCCATGTCACCTCGCAGGCGAAAGAGTATTTTCGTTCACGCCGTGCAACGCATGGCCGTACGTGTCTTAGTTCTCGGTACTAGTACGCTGCGTGCTCAACATCGTGCCATGCACAACGCAGAATAGCCTTGCAGTGCGAGCGACGCGCGGGATCGTCTCCCGATCGATCATTGTCGATTGCAACGAGCCAGCGTCAGAATGATCTTCTTCACCTCGTGCGAACGACGTGCGCAACTTTGAAATTGCATAACGCTTCGGATCATCGCACGCCGTCACAGCCTGGCTTTGGATCGTCGGTATTCTCACCCGCATGCTGGAACAAGGCGCACGCAAAGTACTGTTGAAGTCTGGCAATTATCACTGTCTTCTCTTTATTCAGCTGAATGAGGCACACAGACAGCGAAGTGCTAGCGACCATGCCGTGCAAAAGGAAATGAACCCCTATGGCCAGGGAACACAAACGCGGTCTAGCACTCACTGAAGAATACATCTGATGACGTTCGTCTTCGTCTCGTGGTAAGCGAACGGTGGATGTTCCGTCACTCAATTATTGCTGAATTGCGAGACTAATGCAACGGATCGCGCGACGACGACTACTCTGAGAATCCTCTTACGTCACGTCGCCGAGCGGACATAGACGTCAGGAAAATTATATTAGTCGAAGTATATGGAGTCCAGGCCGCCGATCAGTTAACATTTCCTGCGGCTGCAAGGAGTATGACGTTCTATGAGTTCTTTCGTTATTTCTGAACATGACACGCATTACTCACAATTGATATATATGCAAATGCTGTATGGATGAACGTTTGCGACGAATGCGGCTGCTGACCGTCTCACAGGGACAGCTCATTCGAGGAGAAAGCATGGTCCGAATTCCCACGGCTATCACTTCTTGCGGGGAACCTGCTGTTGCCGGCGCCCATTTATCTGCCCCGGCTTGATAATGGCGAAGAGAGGGGTTTTATAAGAGCAGCCGATATCGGAATAGTGGGAGCTGCTGGTAGCCTAACGAACGAAACGCCATTGGGCGGCCCCCTGACGTACTGCAATGACACCGTCGAACGCACCAGAATCTCATCTGAGGTCAGAAGCAGGTTCTTCATAGGTATCTCACTGTGCGACATGCCGCAGGCATTGCAGGTCACAGATCTCCCACACTACCGGGCGAAGAGCAGCGATTGAGAGACTGCTGGTCTGGTTTAGTATTTTTGTGAGTGAGACAGTGAATGGGCATACTCAGCTTATCTATCAGCGATGTGACAAGTCAGCGCTGCTTTCATACCATGCCCACAGCTTTCAGTCGTGCATTTTGCATCAATATATCAATATATCAGAATTGGAATACAAGGCGGAAGACTTCAAACAAGCTAGTGAGCAGACGTTAAAGTGCAGGTTCATGGCTTCTTCTTAAGATCCACCGATCAAAAGTCCATTCAGATGACAACTTGTTCGGCTGTGTAATTCGGAATTGCAAGAGGTAAGGGAATTGCGCGAGTATGCACAATAGTGGCGCAAAGATCGTCTCATGACCATTGCGTGCCCATTGGGAAGATTTCAAGCTGATGTTACGTGGCAGTTCCACGGACGTTCAAGCTCATTTGGAAGGCGAGCCAAGCTGACCAGTCGAATAGGCGCGGATGACCGCAAACTAAAGAGCAGGGTATGCTCCACAGAATTAGCAGCAAGAACTAGTCGTGATCAAGACGAAGGTAATAGTCCAAGAATAAAGGGAGCCAAGGACGTCCGCGTCAGGACTCACTGCGCCCACGGCGCGTCGATCAAAAGCGTCGGGCGGAAGCGCACGTGGTCGCGTGCAGTCACGTGCGATGGCGCAAGATGCAAATTCTGTCGCCATCCTCGATGGCGGCGTGGTGCCCTACTCAAATGAACGAAGGCCCGAATATGTCCCTGACGACTTCTCCCTCTTATATCTTCCCGTCTTCGGGAGAGACTTGCCTGCTCTTGCCCCATACGGTCCTCTACCCACATTCCGCTACCCGTTTTCCCGCCGTCAGCATCGGCTCTCCCATTGTACACACAATCAGAGGTCAGTTCTGTCGAGAAGCAGACCAATCATGATGAGAACTGACGTGGGATGGTCATGTGGTAGCGCCATGCCTGGTGTACCAAGACATCTTGCGAAGGTCGCGCAGCGACGCCTCAAGCTCCCACACACTCCCGTACGCAACAAACCATCCACTCGCGCAGCGACCATCCAGTCGTCTATCGCCTCGACAAGACCGCACGATAGTCCCTTTTTCCCCTGCGTCGAAGCTCATGCCGCCCGAGAGTCACGGCTCCGCGCCTCGCGATCGCCTGACACACAGACCTCTTCCAGTCCGCACTCAGGACCGGAGCCGCCGTATGCGAGACCGAATCCCGCATCCTATAAAATCTACCGTCACTCGAAGCCCATGCCGCTGACGTACGCTCCCGCTCTTCCTGAATTCGACATTGCCTACGAGACATGGGGAGAGTTGTCGCCTGCGAAGGACAACGTCATCCTGCTCCATACTGGCTTGTCGGCGTCCTCTCATGCCGCATCGACGGATTTGAACCCTTCCGAAGGCTGGTGGGAACAGTTCATCGGCCCTGGGCGCGCGCTTGACACGAATCAGTTCTTCATAATATGCACAAATGTTCTCGGAGGATGCTACGGCTCCACCGGCCCCTCGTCGGCTGATCGTTCTACGGGGAAGCCCTATGCTACCCATTTCCCTGTAATCTCGATCTTCGATATGGTTCGCGCACAGTTCTGCTTGCTCGATCATCTTGGGATTGACAAACTCTACGCGAGCGTGGGATCATCAATGGGCGCTATGCAAAGTTTGGCAGCGGGATGGCTGTATCCTGAACGTGTGGGAAAGGTCGTCAGCATCAGCGGAACCGCGAGAAGCAGCCCAAGCGCGATCGCTATGCGATTTGCGCAGCGTAGTGGTACGTCCTGCGAGCGCGGAGTGATTTACAGCTTCGCTGACCCGGGTATCAGTGTTAATGGCAGATCCGAACTGGAAGAATGGGTTCTATTACGAAGGATTGCCACCACATACGGGCATGAAGCTGGCTCGACGTACGTGTTCATCTCATCTGACCCATCTATGACATGTAGCGCTGACATGACATCATCAGAGATTGCAACTATCACATATCGCTCAGGTCCTGAATGGGATCAGAGATTTGGCCGTAAATTGAAGCCGCTTCCTGAGTCATCGCAAACAACAACGCTGGAGGAACCTTCATTACCCCGCGCACCAGCATTTTGTCCTGATTTCTTGATTGAGACCTATCTTGACTATCAGGTTCGTGGTATATCGTCTTTCTCTGATCAAACGTACAACATGACTTACGGGGATACCTTCTAGGGGGAGTCCTTCTGCTTGAAGTATGACGCGAATTCCTTGATTTACATTTCCAAGGCCATGGACGTCTTCGATCTCACGCGCTCTGCGCTTTCTGAGATCCATCTCACTCCTCCGGCGCCGCGCAGCTCTCCTCCTCCCCTACCGCCTTCCATGTCCTCCCACCCGCCCTCGCCTTCACATTCGTACTATCACTGGTTGTTATCACATTCGAAGTCGCATCCGCCACCAGCAAACCCGCCAAGACATTTGCCTGACCTTGCGGAGGGTCTCCGCCCTCTGTCGAACACGCCGACGCTGATTCTGGGCGTGCAGAGCGACATTCTTTTTCCAGTAGAGCAGCAACGGGAGGTTGCAGATGCGCTGAGGATGACCGGTAATCAGATGGTCAGCTATTATGAGCTCGGTGGTGTGTGGGGCCATGATACCTTCCTGTGAGTAGCCTTTTGCTCCCTCTACTTATGGAGGTACTGACCCCTTGCCAGGCTGGATGTGCAAAACATCGGAGGCGCTATTCGGGGCTTTCTATGTTGAGGCTAGAGCGCTTCGCCTTGTATTGATCCGATTACCCATGTCTTCATCGTTACCCTGATGTCGAAGACTAATCTTTGAGATTCCTTGTGCCATTTCCCGACTTCGTCCTGCGTATACATCAGTTCAGCACAGACATTACCGCACACGCTCCTTCTCCCTCACACGCCTCATCGTCATGTAATCATTTGTATCGAAGTAGGTCGATCACCCACGTTGTCGTTTTGAGCGATTCGTAATCTCTGTCCATGTCCGCGATAATCATGATGCATGCACGCTATTCCGGATACTAATTTGTGGGTGCGAAAACCATGTTCAGGAGCGCGTCGGAGGAGACCTTGACCCAGAGGAGGGACCTGCGTCGACACGGACAGACGTGACTTTGATAGGGCTGGGAAGAGGTGTTGGTCGTTCGGAACGTTCCTTGATCGGCTTGCACGTGGTGCAATATACCATTTGATGGGATTCGAGAATCGTACTTCGCGCAGGGCCCGAGGACTATCTCCAACCAACGTAGAGTCCGGCCACCCATGAGAAAAGGCAGGATAAATCGCCTTGTGAGTAACGTCAGGAATGCCGTAGAGTCGCAGTGTCTAACTGTTTGTTCAGGTAAAGGCGTTGAACCGTACTCATTATGGCCCATTTGCTCTGCACACTATTCGGGAAGGGCGCGTCCCATCCTCGGCGGACCGCGAGGAGTACGTGGCATCGTGTCCTGATAAAGTCCGTATAGCTCAATATTCCTATCTAGGCTCGTTCTGAGGAGCCCCGCCACAGGCGAAGCGATCTGCACGTATGTTCTCAACCATAGATAAGCATTCTAGGAGCAGAATCTAACGGTTGCGTGCAGCGTCGTGATGTCAAGTCGCGATGACGTCCAGAAGACCGTATACCACGCGCACGAGGTATACAAGTCGGGTGTCTGGTCCAGAGCTTCGCATAGTTTCCGAGCCGCCGTCCTTTCGAACCTCGCGAGAGAAGTAGAGTTAAACCTCAAGGAGTTTGCGAAGATGGAGACGCTGCAGACGGGAAGAGCGATTAGGGAGATGAATGCTCAGCTAGGACGCCTGCCTGAGTGGCTGTGAGTTTCTATTTCATCGTACCATCTCGCCTGCTCCCTATGACCTATTCTCAGTGACTATTACGCAGCATTACTCCGCACTGGTCAAGACTTTGTAGCCCCGACTCAGGGAAAGCTGCTCAACTACGTGCAGCGCGTTCCCCTTGGTGTTGTTGCACAGATCACGGTGAGCTGTTCAGCAGCGAGCATATAGCGCATCACATCTGACAGTGACTCAGCCGTTCAATCATCCCTTATTCATTGCCATCAAGAAGATTGCACCCGCACTCGCTGCTGGTAACTCAGTCATCGTGAAGCCCAGTGAACTCACACCTATGTCGGTCATTACGTTCGCTGAGCTGGCAGCTCTAGCCGGAGGTGCGTTTCGCTCTCAAAATGCGTACTCAGTCTCGTCTGACATTATTTTGCTAGTACCACCGGGCGTATTGTCGGTGCTACCTGGCTATGGGAGAGAAATTGGTCCTGAACTGGCATCTAACCCGCTGGTGAGAAAGGTCGACATCACGGTAAGGGCACAACGAAGTCTTTAAAGGCTTGTTGAGAAGTTTGTTTCGCAGGCAGGCACGGCTACTGGTCGCGCTCTCGGTAGCATCGTCGGCAACAACCTGGCAGCATTTACTGCAGAACTGGGCGGAAAGGTCCTCACCTCATTGTGTTGAGTGGCACGACGAGGAGCTGATACCGTCATATCTCTAGGCCCCGATTGTGGTGTTCAACGATGCAGATCTTCAGGCTGCCGTGAATGGAGCCGCCTTCGCATGCTTCGTCGCTTCTGGCCAGACGTGCGTGTCTGGCACCAGACTTATCGTTCAGGACGAGATTTACGACGAGTTCATCAAGCGTTTCTTGATCAAAGTAGAGAACATCAAGAAGCGCATGGGCAATCGTACGTATGACGTAATTCAATTAATGATTGCCTTACGTGCTAAACGCATGCACAGCAATGAACCCGGCGTCAACTATGGGGACAGTCATCGGTCCGAAACAATTGGAGAGGATTGAGCAGCTCGTGCAACGACGAGGGTCCGGGAAGATAGTTGCTGGCGGCCATCGGATGACTGGCTCGTCGCCGCTGGATGGATTTGACCTCTCCAAGGGTTGCTTCTTTCCTCCCACCGTGATCACCGATATATCCACCGAGGACGACTTGTGGATAGAGGAAATCTTCGGCCCCGTCGTTGTGGTGAAGCGCTTTTCTGTGAGTATGGTGGTGGCGTTATTCTTGGAGTATTTATATCCATCATCACCTTTCCCTTTAGGACGAGGCAGAAGGTGTCACCCTCGCCAATGCTTGCAAGTACGGTCTGGGAGCAGGCATCTGGACGTCTGACTTGTCACGCGCTCACCGAATCTCCGCCGAGATTGAGGCGGGCTTAGTGTGGGTCAACACCCATCACCGCAATGACCCAAGTTCCCCATGGTGAGGATGATCGACCGTACGCAACCGAAGCAAACTCATCCACTGTTCTCTTACAGGGGAGGTATGAAAGAGAGTGGGATGGGAAGAGAGAATGGCGTCGAGGCATTGCAAGCTTGTACGTATAAACGCTGCATATCGGCGAGGAATTGTGTTGATGCAATGTTCCTCAGATTCGCAAAGCAAATCAATCATAGTGAACACCGCCTCGGCGCAAGAGACAATTGAGCAGCAAGACTGGTTCGCCGAAACCGGTGGCGAGAAACGATATGGGTAATCGATCTATAACTAGCATATCACAACAGTCTACTCTATGTTCTACGCCGACGTCGAACATGATGTTTTCGGCTCAGTACAGACGATCGGTGGTTTTTGAGACGCAAAACCCGGAATTCACGCATGTGTCCATCCTCATCTGGAGACCCATCGGCACATGCAAGTCTCCGACCACTTCAACAGCTAGTCAATGAATGAGTCAGTTATGTGAGTCCTACGCCTTGCGAGCAACTTGTGTGCCTTGAAACATTGCTGAGAGCTGCAGCGAGACGGGGCAGCCTTGCGGATCACCACATCAGCAGACTGACCTTGCCGTTAGAGTGATGACCGCTTAAACGCAGTGCAGAACTACCTATACCCGACTTCGAACGCCCGACGTCAAACACCCGTTGCACTCTGTTCGGAACGTGGGAGCTTCGCTAGTTGATGACGACGTAGGTTGGAGGCAAGCAAAGAACTGCTTTCTTTCTTCCACCGAGACTGTGATTGTCGATGTGTTCATCAAGGACGATCTGCAGATAGAGCAAGTTATCGGTCCAATAACCATTGTGAAATGCTAATCGAGTGCTGCAACGACGTCGTCCATGGAGCATCCGCATCAATGAGTAATCTTCTTCTTACTCTAGGGTGTCACTGCTGGGGTCCAGGCGGACTTTTAGGCTTGGTGTGGATGATGTGAGTTTAATACGGTAAGCATATCTCGGTCGCATGCGGCCAATCCGCACTCACCTCCCCCGCGAGGTACTAGGCATGAAGAAAAGAGACATCCTGAGGGAGAATTGCTTCGGTGCGCCGGAAGCTTGTATGCGTCACCACCGCATATCGGGGTCGGTCTATTGACGTGTTATTAGGCTCATTAAGCAAGTCAATTGCAGTAAAACATCACCTCGGCATGCTAAGAGACGATATGAGAAAGAGATTGGTTCGCCGGAAGCAGTGGTGGTTCTCTGGGCGGCGATCGGCTTCGATACGATATGTCAAGAACGTTTCAATTGCGCATCAGTTGACATGAGTCTTGTACTCACCGAGTGCGGGTAAAGGCTGGTGTCCCACTGAGTCACTGACGTTGATAGCCATGACAGTGATTACTGTGATCCAACATGAACTGCAACGCATACCCGGGCATTTTATAGGGACCTCTGTGCTGTCGCCTCGCTGGGTACGTAACTCTGTCGCTTTCACCCGATTGGAATGGTGATCGTGTCAACAATCGGCTCAAACGTGAGAGCGGGGCGGAAGCTGATCATTGCCGTTCTCGTAAAGGCGGAAACTAACCATCTTGAAGCGGTAGTGTGTAATCCGATCTTGACAGCGAATAACGGGAATAGCACACACGGCAACGCTCATAAACGCAGCTCCATGGCAGAAGGCGATATACGGAGCTGTGCAATATGCGCTCACTATCGCAGTTGGGAGAGGCAGACATCGAGGCGAGCTATTCCCCAGCAGATTTACCCGTCAACGTGAGCATGTCTGCCTCACTTCGAGGTGTTGGACTATACGATGACGCTTCCACAGGCTTCAGGAGATAACAGACGGAGTCCCGCTCCCGATGACATAGAATGCTCTTCTGACTTCTGGCCTGCGCTCGGCGGGGTGGTAAATTCTCGGTTCTGCTTGACCATTCAGCCGTGCTGATATGCAGTTTTACGATAATTGAAGCAGGCTCCTGCGCCAAAAGCTGACAGAGCAGCCAAGCATGGCTCCTTATCAAGCGCCGAATATAAGGAGGAGAAACTACCGTTCTTTGGGCCGCCTGATCCTGCTCGGTGGCCGGCGGAAAAGTCATTCTTTCTCGCTGGCTTTCTGTTCTTTCCCTGCTGGATCTTCGGAGGTTTCTGGCGAAGAGGTGTGTCTGAATGTGATACCTGTATGTTACTCTCCCTTCCTGTAGGGCGCATGATGAATCTGATTCTCTTTTCAGTCGCAGAGCTGTTCCGGTGGCGCTGTCAGGTTATGGCGATGCTGGCCGTTGTGATAGGTGTCGGCCTGCTGGCCGTGGAGATTACGTCCAGGGAGTGAAGGTTGTAGCTTTGGAGTGAGGCAAACACTGTGATATCAAGAGTACAAGCCACTCCCCAGCTAATCCAGGATACATAGGAACGATACAACTCAATGAACCCAGGGCGATGTAATGCCCGGCGAGGACTTCCGTACACTGTTAAGCAGTTGTCTTGACCGCCTCCTTGGCCTCCGTCTGCTAAATAGGTTAGCGGTGTAATAAGAAGCTTCTCCGGGACGTACCTCGCTCACTTCCACCGGTGGTTCGTCGATGAAGTCCGGTGCCTTGTTCAAGTCTGCAAGATATGATGTGCCTTCATCTTCTTGTTCCAGCTCCAAAGCATCCAGCTCTGAGCGGTCTGTTAAATACTTGTAGAGTAGCACCACGATCGTGTACGCACCGGCTTGAAGATCGGCCTCGTCAATCTCATCTGGAACAGCATAAGACCTTCCTAATGTCTCTTGTATCTCATTTGCCTGCTCCAGCAAATCTTCCATGTCATAGTGCATATTCTGCCCACCTGGTCGTTAACTATCGCCCATGGAACATAGCTTGAGGCGAGCATGAGCGCACCTCGATCTTGTCTACGTCGAACTTTCCGTACTGTGTTCTCAACTCTTTGTTGGCTTGCTTCATCGCGTCGACAGTCGCCATCGTGTTTCGTAGGTTCTCCGTGGCAATCGCAGCAGATTCCATGTTAAACGTTTGCTGTGTGAGCTGCGCCAGTTGGGATTCGTACATTCGCTTTTGCTTTAAGGTACGCAAAGCACGTTCTTGTATAGCATTCTGACAAGGATGTCGCGTTAGACAATGGCGCACAGTGAAGGAAAAGAGATCGCACATGCCTTGCCCGGGCCATTACGCAGCTTGCTCATCTGTTCCTTGTATCTCCCCAGTTCCCCATCCAACTTCTTAATCTTAACTTCAATGGAGGCAATTCTTGAATCTGTCTAGCATGATAGACCCGTGAATGAGACGTCGAGAGCGTCATGACCGCCATGTCCACTGACCGAAGTGATTGCATCCTGCAATGACGGCCTGGGCTTCTTGTTCGACGACGTTCCAAAAATCCTGTTCATGTTGTATTGTTCGTTTACAAAGAAGCCAGCAAGTGCTTGTCGTGGGGTTGTTTCGAGATTGTGAAGAACTAGAGCGCGAGGCTGAATGGTTGTCTGTCAAACGAACACTGCGGCCAGGTCTGCCACTTCAGGTACTCAAGCGGATCGCCACAGCCGTGAGATTACAGCGCTGTTCCGAAAATGGCAATCCGTCCTTAATGGTTTGTCCTATCATTCATTCTTGTCAGAGTCCGCGTTGAGCTCGAGTGAGCGTATCGTTTCGTCTTTTCGTAACTTCTTGGCCTCCTTGGCATTCCATACGCTCTGGCGTCTAGGTCTCGCTCGACAACTTATACAGGCGACTTCTCACAGGACTAGCCGTGGAACGCGGGTAGATACATCACAATGAGTGGCTACGGCCGTGCCTAATCTCTTCTGAGATTTCTCAGGATCCGAATCCACATGCTTGAATTGCGCTTCGATATCTGACATGGCCCGTAGATAAGATGAACAGGCTCTGGCAGCGCTGAGAGGACCATATATGCGTTCGATACGGAAGTGTAAGCTCGTAAACCTCTTTACGATCACATCCCCCATATCTGCGGAAATGCCTCGCTCAACTCCCGTTCCGCAGGGTGGTCTCGGGGGTAGCAACCCTCAGACGATGCAATGCGTGGACTCCAGCGACGAGAAGAACTTTGCAGTCACGGCTGAGGTTGATGAAGTATCCCTGGATGACCTCGAATACAAGGATGAGGCGCTCAGGTTGGTAGGCATGGAGCGGAAGACAAATTTCAGCGAGGAGTTTTACCTTAAAGTGCGGCGAAAGCTGGTAAGTACGGCAATATGCAATCGAATTCATAAATTGAGCGGACAGGGAAGGACTACACAATCCCTCCGCTATGTGGTGCGGTGTACTGCACGCAATATTTGTAAGAACATTTGTCTTTTACACTGTATTGTCCTCTGATGATTCAACCTCGCGTAGGGACAAGACCGCTCTCAACTACGCCAGGTATTCACTCACATGGCTCGGGATATCTGGCATACTGACATGTAACAGCATCATGGGATTCCCAGTGACGGGTCAAGTGAATGATTACGGCTACCGACTGCAACGGATTACCTGATGATCATCGTCATGTCATAGGAATACAATATTGTCGCATTTTCCTTCTACGTCGGTGAGTCATACAACAACGGTCAATGCGTTGTTCCTTATTTGAGTCATGTACTCGTTATCCAGGCTTCGTAATCTGGGTCTTTCCTACCATGTACATCTCCCAGCGAACGCGTCTTGCCAAATATCTAGGTGTCAACATTGTGCTATGGGGAATCGTTTTGCTCCTTCACGTCATCCCCAACTCATTCGGACCGTTTTTTGCTCTAAGGCTATTGTTAGGTCAGACGCATCGCTTCGTTGGTGAAGCCCTGGCCTGACATTGACTGCTCCACCACAGGCATGCTTGAGAGCTGCGTGGCACCTACTCTGATTTTGATGATCTCTATGTTCTACAAGAAGGATGAACAAGCGTCGAGAATATCATGGTACTACCTTATGGTGGCAGTTCCTGTACTCTTCCTGAAATCTAGACTAATATCTAAATCAGAACGGTTTCTCCTCAATTATCGGTGGATTCCTCGCATATGTACGTTATCAGTGGCATTTCACTACCGTAGCAAGGTTCTCGCGAATTTGACTGCATGATCATTTACGACAGGGTGTATCTTATGCAACGCATGCGAGTATTCCTTCGTACAAGGTCATGTACCTCATTCTCGGATCTCTCGCGATTTGTGTCGGCATTGCAGTACTACTGTTCATGCCCGACTCGCCAGCGCACGCTATGTTCCTCACTAGGGAAGAGCGGATAGCTGCCGTAGAGCGAATCCGAGATGACCAAGGGGGCACAGAAAACAAGGTCCTGAAGAAGGATCAACTGATCGAGGCACTCGTGGACATGAAGACCTGGCTCATCGTTCTGTCTACTCTTCTAAGTAAGTTTACCGCGCGTACGCGCATCTTCCTCTGACTTTCGTGTCTCTTGATAGCAAACATCCCCAACGGAGGTCTCGCGAACTGTACGTAATCGCATTCCTCCTTCTACACCCGCTGAATGGAAATTTTCCACAGTCAGCAACATCATTGTAAAGGTTAGTCCAGCCTTGATAACATTGTCTAAGGTGAAGGTTTGACTGCAAAACGACTTCGCAGAGTTTCGGTTACACGTAGGATCATGCTCATGTTTGATCGCCGCCATATCTCATACTTTGCAGAACCAAGCAGACACTGATTCTGTCTACTCCTGGTGGTCTGATTGCCGTCATCACGACCGTTCTCGTTGGATGGTGGTCGGATCGATCGGTAGGTCGTCTCGCGCTCACGCTTTGTCGGATTGTCGTGGGATCTGAGAACTTTGCTTAGGGAGAACGGATGCTACCAATAGTCTTCACCTTAGTACCCACCATAGTCGGGGCTGCGATGCTGGTTGCCTTAAATGGCTTAGAAGAAAAAGGCCCTTTATTATTCGGTATACCTGAACCGTTTTTAGGTGCCATCCCTGCCGCTCATAAAAATTGCCCGCCCCAGCGTCATACATAATCGGCACGTACGGTTCATCACTCTCGCAGATATATGCCTACAATGCTAGCAACACAAGCGGACACACCAAGAAAGTGACAGTCAACGCGATGACACTGGCTGCCTTCTGCGTCGCGAACATCGTCGGGACAGAGACGTTCCAGGCCAAGGACGCACCAGGATACCTCCCAGGTAAAATATCTGTCCTGACTCTTCTCAGTGCAGAAGTCTTTCTTTGCCTATTCATGCGACGGTACAATATGTATCTGAGGAAGAAGAAGGAGAAAGGTATTGCGGAGCTGAGACGTGCGAACGGCTGGACGGATGAGGATATCGAGCGGGAGAGGCAGCGTCATGCGTTCATAGATATGACGGATAAGCAGTAAGCACCATTGATGACCCTTCTCAGAGCGTATCAAATACTTACTCCTATAAAGGAACCCGTATTTCGTCTACACTATGTAGTAGTGGTAGACGGATCGTTCTCTTATGTGTAATAGTTCTACCAAGTCGTGATCAGACACGAGGATTTCACCTCCACTAGAAAACACCTTAAACACCTTCAGAGTGCATGCGTAACATACATGTTGATAATCGACTGCTTGATATGGCCGTAACGAATCTCGAGGTTCTGAAAGTACTGGCAAGTGGCTGGATGACCACTAGTGACTCCTGGCGCGCCCAGCGCGCCCAAGACGTCACTCAACACCTCTCGACACTCTCCGACACGCGCTCTCGCCACAAGCTCTGAAGTTAACAGCTCCCTCGATATCTTTTCTCAGCTTGCGACTGTTCGCGTATGTATAAAATCTCATGAAAGCGCAATCACAGGACCTGGAACTAGTACCGCCCAAGACCAATGGTCTCCGCACAGATGGACTGGTCAAGATAGACAAAAACCGTTTCATCGATGCCTATGTGAACTCTCAACGCTCATTCTCAAAGCTACATGCTGAGGAAGGCCGTGCAGCCTTCGCATCATGGAAGACAGGGACGTCCGAGCTACAAACGACACCACCGGCGAATCTCCGTTCTAGAGGCATCGACGTGCCAGCTGTCTTTGACACACCGATTCTCAAGCCACGAGCCGCACGTGAAGTGAGGTCTACCTCTGCTGCAGATATGAAAAAAGGCAAGCATAAGGAGAAGGAGCAGCGGGCGGGGACGCACGATCGAGTGACGAGGGGAGAGACCAGGCCCGAGCAAACTAAAGCTAGTTCTTCCAAGAAACGCTCAACAGAAAGCACAAGACAACAGACGCTAGATGATCTCATGAAGCCGAACAAAACACAGAAGAGCGGTTCCGAGCTGGTGAAGAAGAGTTTCAAGAAGCGTCCGCACAGCCCGGATACGACAGATGAAGAAAACGCTGCACGTTCGTCGCTGTACATGGTGTAGGACCTTTTGCGTTCACTCATATTATCATCCACGCAGGCCTTGCGGAACGACGCGAACGCAGACGCACGAAACGAGCAATTATCGAGCCTCGGCACATTTCAGACGAGGATGACGAGGATGAGCCTGCGAATGGACATGAAATTCACATAAAAAAGACGAAGAAGGGAAAAGCCGAAGACAGGAAGGGCAAGAGACTGAGCATGACTGCGGGTCTAGCACTCATGCACGGGTTTCATGCGAAGAACATTGGAAAGAATAGATTAACGGTTCGTTTTATCCTGGGTCCATGCACTGGCTATTGATAGTCCAATCTCAGAGCAATCCCGAGCAGCGTCCTGGTGTGTTCAACAAAGGAAAAGCATCTACGAAGGTTCCAGTACAGAACCTCTCTACAAAGCGCAGTATGTATGTTAGCCACTGCAACGGCCTGTCTGCTGATTGTTCATCCTGCTTCAGAGGCCACAGGTTTAATCTTCTCTGAAGCTCGCTTCCTGGACAAGAGCGGAGCCATCGCTGAAAATAGCACTGAGGCTATGTCCGATGAGACGTCTGTACGGTCTTCAAGCACAGATTCATCGTCAACCTCAATTTCACAGAGCAGGACAAAAAGGGTCCCGACAGGGAAGTGCTCAAAGACGTCTAGGAGAATCCATAAGTGCGATATGACCAATCGTTCAAATAAGGAGAATGACTCGCCTGTTCAGTATTCTGATGACGAACAGATAGGCTCCGTCGGCACTGGTGCACGGACTAGCAGACCGCACGTAAGAGAGACTCAGTCTGTCATCTGGGACATAGAACTCCAAGGGCATAGCCTCGGTTCCAGTCAAGCTTCTGCTCAAGCGTCTCAGAGTCAGCGAGACGGAACTATGGTCTTGGATACGAGAGGCTTGTCTTGGAACATGAAGCGGGATGCGTCGATGGACAATATGAAGTCAAAGAGCGTGGTAACATCGCACGTCGGAGAAGAGCAGCCGATTGGACCCCGTCAAGACGTCACTAGCGATCGGCTGTCCCATGTATCTCTCGGTCCTTCGCAATCAGCCTCGCAAACGGGAAATCACACTTTTCCGATGCTTACTGCCTCTAGATTCTTCCCTCCTGTTCCGGAGTCTGTGCAAGGGCATACTATTGGCAGCGACCACATTGGCGCCGTCTTCCAAGCTGCACACGTTGAAGCAGACTGCCCGCTGGATCAGTCAAAGCCACCATCCAAGACTCCTTCATCCCGTCAACCGGCACGAGTGTTGAAGGACAACTTGTCAGAGCATCCAAATCCGGCGCAAGGCCAACTGGAAGGCCGTGCCGTGGCTCACAGCCCACCGTCGGCTGATTCGTTCGTTAGTCTGGAATGCGAATTGCGTGCGTTAGACGGCGAAGAGTATGTACAGGACTGTGCCACTCAGCCGATGGACTCTCTCGCAAGCTTGCTGGACCTTGGCGATCCTATGGCTGGGAATCCGGAAGTCGACGTTCTTGGCTACTACGGGGATATTCCCGATGCTGGGGACCTTGCTGTGCTTGCACTCTCAGTTGGAAACAGCTTATCGGAAGGACCATACGTAGACTTGCAGCCTGGGGATTATGATGACGGAGGCGATGGATTCTATGAATCGCCAGAACCACAGGAGGATGCTCAAACATACCACGAAGGAAGTTGGCGAGAGGCTTGGAACGAAGAAATGCCCGACTTTGAAAACGCTCGTGTGGGATCTAACGTGGTCCTCGCCAGCTTGCATGGTCATATCGGTACCCTGGACATGGAGGTGCAAGCATCAACATTTTCACATCGTATTGGATGTGAGAGCATTGGTCCTGATGCGGACGGATACTGCGCAAACATCCAGGTCGACGAGACTTCCGCGATGCCCGACGACGATCTAGCTTTCAATGTGACATCCGCTGTTGTACCGCCATGCTCCTCACAGGACCAATACCTACCGGGTGGTCAAATTATGTCCTCGTCATATGTCTCCCCGATTGACGAATCTACCTCGCAATTGCCGTTGTTCTCTCAAGGCCGTGCACTCCTGATGGGCCTTTCTGAGCGAGACAACCCATACCGAAGGCGTTTCGAACACTTCGAATCTCTCTCAAGTGCTGAAGTGGATGTCGTGAAGAGCTTGCGAGGACATTGGCTACCTTACCGTCCATAATTTTTTGACGACTGCCTCTGGCTCATTTGGTAAGTGGGCAATGCCCAGCAATACGATTTCGATGGATTATGTCTAGGATGTATAAATGGTGATGCATTCGTTCGTCTTACTTTCCATGTTGCATATCGTCGAGTTTGGTTATCTTTGAAATGATGTAGACTGTCAAAATGGCATTTCTCACCTTTCACTGTACAAGAGAAAGGGAAGGTTGTCCGAAAAGCCTCAAAAATCGACTGGCGACGATTCTTTCTGGCGCCACTGCAATATATTGACCTGACGCGCTGTGACCATCGTGACAGGTCGCGTTCATGAGACGCGACTGCCTCTTTCGTTACATCTGCCATCAACAATTCCTTCCAGTGCCTTTTCTAACAGGCTGTCGATCTCAGCAGATTGTTCATCTTGAAATTACACCGTCTTCACTACATCAGGAGATGAGTAGTAAGGAGAATGACGGAGCGGCCTCCATTGTACGTTCTCGACGTTCACGCTCACGGGGTTACGCGCCTGACGTTCTCATTATATCAGAAGGACGTACCGTTCATCAATCCTGAACCTCAAGAACAACATCTCCTGCCTCTGACTGACGCAGATGCTCAGAGGAGCACGACGAACGTGACAGTGGTTGTCAAACTGGAACCTCTGGCCTCAATGCAGGTTGTATGTCAAGACAAGTCATGCAGCACGTCTGAAACTCATTTAATCATTCCGTAGCACCTGGAAAATGCTGAGATAGCTGGTGACGCAAATGCACAGTCCATCATCCCAAAGGTGAAGGCGGAGGATGGTGGCGACCGCGCCGCCCCTACACAAGCCGCTGTTGCAGCACCAGCCAAACCTCTGTACACGATATACAACGCCGCTGATGAAATAGAATACCTTCCTGAGCGCGCGTTGAAGGAATGCCTGCAAATGGTCACAACTATTAAGACGAACATCAAGAAGCTCGAACTCGGCAGCAAGCTCCGTAAAGACGTGTGGCTCCGAGAGATTGAGAGGTATTCCATATATTCAACTAGCTAAAAGCAAACACTGAGTTGCTCGTTAGCTTACAAGGCCAAGGCTCTCCTACTACAATGATCGCGGTGTGCGGAGGTAAACGCGGACTGCTCTTGTATGCGTCCACAATTGCTGAATAAATATCCCCCCAGCTACTGGTGCTGGGAAATCATCAATTCTGAATGCCGTCCTTGACGGTGAGTTTTTGTTCATATCTTCTATACGCACTGTCAGACTAAAGTTTCTCCAAGACAATATTGTTCCAACCAGTGGCATGCGAGGTAATACCTTCTCTCAGTCTGTCGGAGGCCACCTCTAACATTGCTCTCCATAGCATGCACTGCTGTTGTTACTGAGATCAGTTATCATGCAAAGAGGGCCATTGACGCCGACGTCTCATTCCTATCAGAAGAAGAATGGAGACAGGAGCTTACAGTGCTCCTTGATGACCTGATAGATGAAAATGGCAACGTCAAGAGGACGACCGATCTCTGCGGGGAGGCTGGCGTAGCCTGGCAAAAGGTGTGATAGTAATCTGAATCTCGATTGGTCTGTGCTGACCTGGTTGAATACAAGGTGCATGCCGTGTATCCATCTATCGTGCAAGATCAACTCTCGAAAATGTCTGTTGACCAGATCATCGCCCACGACTTGCGTATGCCCCTGTTCCCATACGAATTCTATAGTTGCATATATTGATGAACTATGAAGGAATCAAAGCTGTTCTCGGAATGAGGAAATGCATTAGTGCTCCAGATTCGAAGACATTTGCCAAGAAGATTGCGAAGTACATCGACTCCAAAGATCAGAAGCGCAGCAACAAGAAAAATAAGGAGAAAGATAAGAATCTTCCATTTTTATCCCAGCAAGGCAGTGGCAAGACGAAAGATGACAGCGACGGGCCAGCGTTCTGGCCGCTTATCCGTCAGGTCAGTGTTTGTTGTGATGCGGCAGCACTGTCAACCGGTGCTGTCCTGGTTGATCTGCCTGGCATTGCCGATGCAAATGCTGCAAGAAACAACATTGCAAAGGACTACATGAAGAAATGCGGCTGCATCTGGATCCTAGCCCCAATCACGCGTGCTGTTGATGATAAGACAGCCCGGGGTGAGTGCCTCTCCCACATTGCTTTGCATAAATGTCATCCCTTCCCTTAGACCTCATGGGAGATGCATTCAAAACACAGTTGATGAGTGCGTTCTTTCACCATTAATGTTCTATATCCTGTTAACCCCCTCCATGTTTCAGTGGGTAAGAAGAATGAAGTGCAAGATCGGGTGCCACAAATTGAATCATAGCCATTCAGATGGAGTCTATGGTGATCATGCAATCACATTCATTGGTTAGTAGCCTCATTATCAATAGTGTCAAGCTGCAATTCATTCATCTATTCAGCTACAAAGTGTGATGACATTTCCTGCTCGGAAATCATCCATGCCTTGCACCTTGAGGATGATCCGGACCTTGAGGCCATAGAGAATCGGATCCAGGTATGCAAGGATGAAACAGAGGAATGGAGAGACAAGAGGACTGTGGCAGAGAATGACGCCAAAGGTAGTGCATGCCTACCCATAGTGATGGCCCCTCACTGCTTCCTTACGGCCATCCTGCAGGAGTTGATCAGCAGTTGAAGCAAGCGCGCACTTACTTGGGAGAATATGAGGCTCACCTACAGGCATTGGTGAACGGAGAGCCATTTGAGCTGCCATTGACAGCCAACCTAACGAAGGAAGGCGACTCATCCGGTAGAGGGAAGAAACGTAAGAATACTCACGGCGAGAAGCATGATGTTGATGATCTCGAGGATGGCGATGACCTTGCCTTCTCTGACTCCGAATGCGAGAAGCGGTCTGACCCCGAAAGCAACGCCGAATCCTTTTGTAGCTCGGACTCTGAGTCTGACTCGGAGAGTGAGGAGAAGGATGATGATGAACCACAAGAAGAAGCTATGGTTGAGGATCTGCAATCCAAGGTTGCCGATGCCAAAGAGTCCATCAAGGCCAGCAAGCAACAGCTTCTTGAGCTCCGCAAGCAGCGAAGGGAAGCCATGGATATGCTGGCTATGTTGAAGAAAAGGCAGCTGAAGGCTCAGCGAGAGAAGAATGCCTTCTGCTCCTTGAAGCGCTCCGAAGTATTTGTCTTCAGGAAAGAAGCATTCTACCCCAGGCTAACTCCCGAGCATAGTTCTCGCGTGATGTGCTGAAAGAAGATTTCCGCCAGGGTTTGAAGGATCTCGACGGTGAGATGCCTGTCTTTGATTGTCGGTGTTGTGGCTGACCATAGCGGTGTTGCAGATGCTGCTGCCGAACAACGTGAGCCGGACAGTTTCGACCCGACTGTGGACATCCGCAGTAAGCATGAATTGTTCCCTGAGTGACGGTGTTTGCGTGACAAGTCAACGAGTGGAACAGACTATCAAGCGATCGATCTGCCGGTCTTCACGTGTTCTTCAAGGGACTACGTGCGTCTCAAAGGTCCGCATGGCTGCTGTTACGCCGGTATTTTGCTCTTGACAGTCAATCCTGCAGGCCAGGTGGAGGGTGACGGAGACCCGAGCTGCTTCTCTGAAGTAGCAGACACTGGTATTCCAGAGCTGCAGAAGTGGTGCCACCAGCTCACACTAGGTCCTCGCGAGCATGCCGCATGTGATTTCCTTGTGAACCTGAAGACAATTGCGACCTCTGTGCGCACATACATGCAGGGCATCGGTGACGTGACCGTGAGTGAGCGCGAGGCCCTGCGGAAGAAGTGGGAAACTGGTGTTGGCGTTCATTTGGAGAAGGTACGACAAGTCCTCCTGTCTGCTCCTATCAAGCCTCCAATGTCAGTGCTTGTAGGACTTCAAGGCTGTCATTGACGACTGCGTGCGGGAGCTCAAGGATCGCTTCCGAGATGAGCTAGACGAGAAATGCCTAGTTGGAGCTGCAATTGTGATGCGTCTGATCTTTGCAGTTGCGACTGACACTGATAGTTTATCTACCTCTCAGGCTGCTTCCACTGCTGTCGAGACCTCTGACACTTTTGCGGCTTCAATGCATTGGGCAACGTATCGTGCTGGTGAGTTTCTTTATTGTAAAAATCATCGCGTGCGGCTCACACGCTGACGACTTGCAGCTTTGCGTCGCCATGGATCGTATCGGCAGGACCTCAACGTCGAGCTGACCAATCCATTCACACGCAACATCGCAAGCGCATGGTCCAAGGTCTTCGAGGCGGACCTCTTCGCCTCCTTCGAGCAGGCCACAATGGCGGCGATCAACAAGCTGTTTGCGGACGTCGAGCAGTCTGCCCCTGCCGGGCTCAAGGAGCGCACGGGCAGCCGGAGCAAGCTGTGCCTGGACGAGGCACACGTCGCACTGGCGAAGACACTAGACGTCGTGCGCAAGGCGATGAAGAGGCAGCAAAAGGGGATGAGCCGGAGCCTCGCGCCGCACGTGCAGGACCAGCTGCTGGAAGGGTACAACCGTGCAAAAGAGGAGCGAGGCCCGGGGAGCGTGGCGCGGCAGAAGGTCAGACTCAATGTTCATTTGTGAGGTTGATGAAAGCTCATTCCGGTGGCTGGCAGGCACTGTTCCATGACTATGTCGAGAACATCAAGGACGAGGTGTTTGACCATGGTGCGGAAGTACTCCTCGGTCAGCTATCGACTGCTGCAGATTCGGTTGGAAGAGCGTTGAAGAAGGAACTGGAGGCGGTCGCGAAGAAGGTAACGTTGGGCGCGCATTTCGCATCTGGTTATCACAGACTGATCACATATGCGTCTAAAGATTGAGGTCAGCATCGCTGTGCTGTGGGAAGGCCCACGAGGTGATCCATCGCAGGTCAAGGCGCAGAAGGTGGTCGTCCCAACGATGACCGAGATTCTCAAGCAGGTGCAGCTTTGGCAGCAGGCGCAAGAGCTCAACCGAGACGAGTTGGCCTGAATGGTCGTCTTGGCTATGTGGCCAGTATAAACTGACGCAGATCGTTCCGTCGACGCCGTGCTTACTGTGTGTGTGCGAGGCACTTTGACGTCCTCGAGACCTTCTTTCTTGATTATGCTGCTTTCGTCGTGTTCAGACGCACACATGAGGTTCATCGTGTGCGTCGCGTTTCACGCTGTACTCTATCTCATTTTTGCTGATGTCGAGACCTTCTTTCTTGAATATCGTTGCTGTCTTGCTTTCGTTCCCTTCCTGCTATTTAGCGTGCTCCGCACCGTGTAGTCTTTCAGTTGTACTCTTCGATTTCCCATTATCCCCCACTATCCACAGAGACCCGACTGATCTCTGCATCATAACAGGTGTGTGTCAGACCCATGCACGATAGCAGTGTTGTATACATGTATGTGCTCTCGCAGTACGTCGACTACTCACGAGCGGAGGAGAGTCACTGGCGTGCTGTGTGCTGTGTTCCGGTCTCGGGCAGCCCGCGACGATCATCACTTGAGGTGACGTCACACGAGCAAGTGCGATCGTGTGGCTGTGCTCTGAATCTCAAATTAGACGCACGTCGGATTCGGAGGGACTGCAAACCCCATGTATACGGGCGAACTTGCTCGGTTGATTACATCGATACACGCGTGCAGACACGGACGCGGACACGTACACTACCGGAGAGCGAAGCATTACACGTACAGTAGCAGAACATTCCAGAGCTGGAGCAATACCATACAAAATGTGCGCACAAAAAGTCCCGACAGGTACATATTACATGCACCTGCGGATGAAGGATTCCATCAAATTTAAGCAATTATATGCAGAACCGTCTAGAGCGTGCAAGGATCATCGGTATGCATGGGTAAAAGCGGAGGACTCGGAGCAGGCACGTTCAACGAGGCGATCGAGGCTCGGGCGGACCAGCGCCTTCGGATATTCGGGGGCCACCTAGGTTCTGGTACGGGGGAAGTAAGAACTTGTAACAGTAAAACGTGTAGGGGTGCAAGAGGTGATGGATGGGGGACGGAAGGAGACGGGAGCAGGCCGGCTTCAGACCCGGTAGATGGGCCGGCCGCGCCAGTCGACGGTGCGGCCTGTGTGGGCGTCGACGTACCCTGGGTGGTGGGCGTAGCCGTCCGCGGAGGGGTGCATGCCGAAGAACCGGCGGAAGCGGTCGCCGACGCTGGGCTCGGCGGAGGCAGAGTACCGCCGGTCGCGGTACTGCGAGGGGTGTGTCGAGTGGAGGACGCTGTGATGCGCGCTGCTCGTTGTCTGGATGCGTGGTGAGTCAGTCATGGGTTGTACGGTAGTTAGAAGGGAAGGGGGACGTACATAGACGGGCTGCGTGCTGTAGCGCGTCGCGGACTGGGAGCGGCGGCGTCCGCCTGTGGACGAGCTGCGATGGCCGTGCGAGCTCGCGGAGGGGTAGTACCCGCCGCTGTGCCCGGACGTGCTGTGGTAGCGAGGGCGGCCGTGGGTGCCTCGACCCGCATCATAGTAGGTGCCCTGTGGGTACTGCGCGGTGGCCTGGGGGTACTTGCTCGGGGCGTAGGCGTAGTACACCTGCGGTTGCGGCTGCGGCTGTGGTTGCGGCTGCGCGTAGCCGTACGAGTGCGAGGCGGGCATCTGCACGTAGGACGGCGCGTGCGATTGGGAGTAGGACTGCGAGCGCGAGCGGCGGGGGTGGGAGGAGGAAGAGGTGTAGTAGGAGGGCATGGCTACGCTGGGCTGGGCGTATTGGTACGCGTAGGGATACGCAGCTGGGGTGTAGTACGAGGTGGATTGGGGGTAGTACGCCATTGAGAGCGGGTTAATATAGGGAGGAGTGGGAGATGGAGTGGGACGCTGGAGCACAACTTATTGAGATTCCAATTGCGGTCCCGCCTGCGCGTTCAATCTCAGATCGGCGTCTGGCTCATCTCCAGGATATTAGCTACTCTACCTTCAGAGCTATCGTATCATCTCCTAGCGGACGGATCAAGCCATATAGGACAACGCGGCGGTCCACGTACACGATGCCCGCTCCAAAGGGTGCAAACAGCATTTCGGGGCGCATTTCGACATAACATGCACAGGCAGTGCTTCCAACGTCTGAGTTGACATCATGCGACGCTATCACGTGTGGTTTCCATGCTCTGCAAAAACCGTCATGTCGGTGCGCACTAGACGTTCGGGCATGCATAGCCTCGAAGCATGGACGGTATCAGGCGCCAAGGGCGGGATATGACTCAGTGTGGTTCGAGTCTCCGCCAACGAGGTCACTTCCAAATGCCAATGGCCCAGGTATACGGAGACGCGAAATTAGGCAAGCGTGGCTTGATGACCCCGCACGTTTTCTCGTATCGCGCAGCGCGGGTTCGCACAGCATACTAGTAAGTGGAGAACACCTCTTCTGCCTGTACACTCCAGCAGAGTCCAGCAGCCACAGTACCTTACGTCGTCGGTCCCGAAAGCGGTCATCACGCATCTCGACCGCAGACATGGCTCTTGCAACGGCACTCGAACTCCACGCTGCACATCTGACCCATCCACGCAACCTTGGCTCACGGGCGCCCCGAACGCTGCTCCTCCAATCGCAGATCCGCCTCCCGAGCCTGCTGCGCCATCATGGCCGCTTTTGCGCGTCCGGGCGCCAAAAGCCTCGGCACCCTCGCGCCCAAAAGGCTCTCGCGCATCAAACCATCGGTCCGCATACCGAACTCCACATCAGCGCTGGCCACCTGGATATCCAGATATCCAAGGAGGGGTGCCGCACGCCAGTGAAAGTCACGGCCCAAGCTTTCGCTGATCCCGCGTATCGTTATCAGGCTTTGCCCCAGGCTGGGTTCTCTGAAGCGAAGCCTGCACTCAGCGAACGTGTGGCTCTTCGTAGCTCGCGGTGTGCGTCTTGTGGTGCGCAGATGCAGTGGGAAGGATATCTTATCTCTTCGCGGGCGTCATGCGTTGCTGTTTTGGGTATCCGTGCAGACGGGGAAGGCGCACGTACGGCGGACTGCACAACTGTGTTCGGAGTCCGATGTTCAATACCAGGGAGAAGATGAAATCGAAAACGAGTACAAGTTCAGCGTTTATGATGAGTGACTAGTGAACGTTCCAGAAGAGGATGCAGCAGGTCGAGGCGGTGTCGTCAGTGATGCATCTTGAGTTGCGTCTTATCAGACAAGTCAAGTCATTCGGAATGTCAGCACGGCAGATGCAGTGGAACCTCGCACCAAAGGAGTCCCCGGCAGACTTGCGGCGCTTTGAAGTGCGAGCCTTCGGTGTGTCCTTTCGCCCATGTTTCTGCTTCGCGGGTTGCTTCTGGACCTTGGATTTGACATTATAGGTGTAGAACGATGGATACGTCATCGTCGCAAGCATCTCAACCTTCCAATGATGATTGCAGAGGCGCAGCTCATCAAATCGTTTCTCCATCTCATTCCGGTAGAACGTGAGTGATTCTGCGTCCAGAGCTCCAAACTTTGGCGTAGCCCTCCCTCTCTGCGCGAGTCGATGCCATATTGCCCGTGCAAATGATCGCATCTCCTTCGCCTTGATTGACGGGTGGGCTTGCCTTTGCGATCCTCGAGGTACTGGTAAGATTCTGGGACCACTTTGTCGGTGTCATCATTGTCTGAGTCTGAGCCGAAGTCGTCATCGTCCTCATCGTTGTCGTCGTCGGAGTCAGATTCTTTGCTACTCTTGTCGTCTTGATACTTGTTGTTGACGGCATTGACAACACTGTGAGCAACATTGCGATTTGCATTGATTTTCCGATCAGTCCAAGACTTTCTGATCCAATATTTGACTTTTGGGAAGTCCTTCTTCTCGTATGGCCGGTGTGGGCCTGCTGAAGGCTTCGGCGGGTGGTTATCAGCTGTAAAAAGCGAAGATGAAGGAGGCTGCAATGTAACAGAAGGATTAGCCGACGATGAAGCGGATGTCTTCAGTTTGCTTGCAAGTTCTATGAATGTCGAGTGCAGGTCATTGTAGGCGGTGTTGTAAAGAAGCATCGCTTACATTGCTGCCGTCGCTAGCAAACGGAGGTGGCACTCACCTTAAAATCTCATATTGAGCTTTGGTACGGGTATATGCGTAGAAAGGTCACTATATGCGCGGTTGTGAGAAAGTAAAACTTGGTGCGAGGCATCTGCGAGGTTGGGAGAAATCATTGCATGTGCGTGAGTGAACGTTGTTGGCGGCAAGAAAATCCCCGCGCGGGCTGGATCAGAGGTGCCATAGCGTCGGTTATATGCAGACACAGAAGCCCGAGAGACTTCCGGGACAAGATCTGCTCCCGGACCACACATTTGAGATGTATGAGTGGGGCCCTTTGAATGTTTGCTCTGGGGCATCATATCATCCTGCACACGTAATCAAATGAATTCTGCACGCTGTGCACTATTTCGCGACGTGACATGATTATGCTTACTATTTCATAGACATCTTCGCGCCCACGCTTGCGGGGGTTTCCGCCTTCAGGATCGTGAGGTTTGTTACCACCTATATACATCACAGAGGAAGCCGACGAGACCGAATATTGGCCTGGGGTGTATATGGGAATGCTTTCCGAGTCTCGGTACTGTTTATGCGCGTAGTATGTTGCCCTAGAGACTTCTTTTCGGACTTTGCAATACTTCAGGCAATCGCAGTAGTAGTACTTGGGCATGGTAGTTTCAACAGAGAGAAAACATGCGCGGAGAACGAGAACGAGCCCAAGTTTACACGACGCGACCGAGGACGTCGTCAAGCACGTGATCGCGCCACTACATAGGCGCCCGATCGTGCCTCGTCTCCCACTGGCAGAGTCCAATTTTATGAGAGAACTCCTCCACATGCAACGCCATCGCGTCCCTCGCTCATCGAGCTCAAAATGTCATCCGTGCACCAAGATAGCATACATGGAGCAATCCCACATCCCGAAACAAGTACCTATACGGTGTCCAATAAATACATGTTTTTACATTTGCTACTCAACTTGAGGTCGGACACACGATCATTTGTCTATAGTAATAGCTACGCTTGCGCAATACAAGGCTGCGCAGCAAGCTGGACTGGCGCAGGGCATAAAATACTTTTGGCTGCTATCCTGGGCATAGTGGGCCTGCGAGCGACAGCCTAACGATAATGCCGAGCATGAACTCTACCACGAACCACAGCTACTCCATGTCCGCAAAATCGCCCTCGTCGAGGTCGTGAGGCTGTGAGGCACATGAAATGTCGTAACAGGGGTACAGTCGAAGCGCGAGACGTAGAATGAACCGCCAAGGCATGCACACAGCCATCATCGAGTGAGACACGATCCAAGAGAAGCAAAGCAGATTGCAATGTCAGCCGCCGCCACGATCTAGCAGAACAAGGCACGCACCTCCTTGGGCTCCTCGTCTTCGCCGTACTGCATCGTATAGTCGATGTGGCTCAGCACCGTCTCGATCGAGTCTGGGTTCGTCAGGTCAAGCGGAAGGAAGCTCACGAGCGGGTGGTCTTCGATCTGTTGGCGGTGTCATGTGGCGTTCATTGGATATCGCAGGAGTGTGTAAATTAAGACACGCCATCCCAGAGGATTGCGAGAGTTGGTGGCGTTTGATACGGAAAAGAAGACGGGTGCGTCGAGATTGCGTTTGGCATGCAGGAGCAGCGATGCAAACGTAGCCGCATCAGACAATGCAGCACCGAGGCGGAGGATGAGTCGAAGATACGACGTCGTCGGGTGCAGCGCCAATGTGTAACCGATGAATGGGCCAAGATGCAATCCGACAATAAATACCGCAGCGATAGAATAGATCAATGATAAAGGATGTATTAGCTTTCGTTATGACATCAACTGAGCCAGAGATGCACGTACGAGCTGGACGATCGCTTGGTTTAGTGCGTGGAAGCGCGAATTGCGCTCTGTGCGCTCTTCCCGGCTCCCTGGCGCTGATACAAGCAGCATCGGGTCAGGATCGAGGAATCTGCATGGTGGGAGAACATTTTTCACTTAGTACACCGGGAAAAGACGGGTGGGTAAGCGATATTTGCTAGATGAGAATGCGTTCGGGAATGAGGCGTCGAGAGTATCAATCAGGGGCACTGCAAACACAGATATCCCACCTAGTCATGACACACGCGGATGAACACGCATACAGCGACCAACAACGATCCTATGCGGTCAACCGCACTCGGACACTCTTGTGCATGAGCAGCATCCGCACAGCCCATTTGACAGAAGAAATGTCTCCGCCAACGTTCGCATGAATCTGCTTACTCACCTCGAAATGTCCTTCCTTGTCCTGATACCATTCCTTCCACTCGCTGCATCGTTCTCGCTACTCGTAACAAGGTCCATCTTGGACATGACATTGATCCATGGTATCTCGAGGTTCACCATCGCGGACATTGCAGAGAGCACACCACTGCAGGAGTTGAAAAGAACAACGATATCAAGATACGTACCGGACGAAATTTAATGCGTGCTCAGCAATGAGGCACAGAACAACGAGAGGGAAAGCAGCATACCTGAAGAACTTGTATTTGTCCTCCATGAATTGGGATTCAATGAGGTAGGCTGCACATACGCGCATGCCCACGCGGCTGAGGTGTTTTACGAGGGTGGGAAGGAATGGATGGTGCGTGTAAAGCTCAATCTGACCTGGATGAGTGCCGAGAAAGTGAGTCTATGCCGAGTCGAAACGGAAGCAATGGGGAGCATACCGGGGCAGTCGATGATCAGGTAGTCGTCTTCGTACCCACCAAGCTCTTCGTCTAGCCAGTCCATATTCTGCAGCAGGTATCTGAAGAGTTGAACGGGAGAAAATCAGCATCTCCGCCATTCTATCCTTTCGCTCTCAACCCTCCATCGTCCAAGAGCATCACCAACCAAACCACACTCGCTCACTCAAAGCAATACACGAGCCCTCCGTTCGGGCCATACCCGAGCTCGGCCATGACGTCCTCTAGGCTGATCAGGTCCTTGATGTCGATGACCGGCTCGTACTCGAACGACTCGGCCTCCGCGGCAGGGTCGAGGTTGACGAGGTGCGCGGAGCGTTTCGCGGTGTGGAGGTGCGTGAGGAGGGCGTTGGAGAAAGTCGACTTGCCCGCGCCAGCGGGGCCTGTTACGAGCACGGCGTAGCGCATAACTGTTTTTGCGTAGTGCGGAGACGGTGATGGCGGAGGAAGAAGAAGATGCTCGACACTCTGCGCGTCGGGGACGGGCGCTTTCGAGAGTCAGCTGGGCGCTTAGATCAGTATTGCAATCGCCGCTCACGATCTGGCTCATCTGGCCATCATCTGCTTTCTGCCACCACCAACTCAACACTCCTTTGTCTTTTGCTACGATGTCGAAGCCTGCTATCGTACCAGAGACGACTGCCTCTGGGATCGCTGTCGACCCGAGAACCCTTGAGCGCGTCATCCCAGAGTCTCGCAGACCGGATGGCTCGTACGTACCTCTATCCTCTCGATCGTCGTCTCAAGCTGCTATCTCACCATGCTGTCTTTTACCCCATGATACGTCTGCACCTCTGTGCATCACTCTCCTCCCCTCTTGTGATTCTCTTTGCACATATCATCAGCATCCGCAAAGAAAAAAAGGTCCGCCCAGGTTACACACCCCAAGAAGACGTCCGCCGCTTCCGGGGCACGCGACAGGCGCAGATGGACGTTAACACGCTACCGAAGGGACATATCATTGGTTGGGCACCCCCACCGTCTGTAACGACGCTCCCGCCGCTCAAGGCGGGGTCCGCCGCGCTGACGAAGGCGCAGAAGAAGAACGAGAAGCGCAAGGAGAAGAGGAAGGAGAAACACGAGGAGGTGAAGGTGAAGGATAACTGGGAGGATGAGGACGAGGACGAGCTGAAAGAGGCTGCGGAGAGCACGAGCGCTGCTGTCGCGAAGACAAAGGAAGCTGAAGCGTCGAAGGTGAAGGAGGCAGGCTCAGAGCAGGGTCGCGACGTGGAAGGGCTCGCAGACAAGCTGGAGAAGCTTGAAGTGCAATGAAGCATATACTCTCATCTTCGATCATTCAATATTCAATGCTCGGCACTCGTCGCTCACACTCGCTGCACAATCAACACGGTGTAGAATATATATCAGGGGTTCCTGTTGGATTAGAATAGGCATCTGTAACTATAAATAATATGTATATATCTGTGTGCAGGTCGAGGAAGCGCGGTATGCGCAAGGCTCGCTGCTTGCCGCATCTACCTATAACCATATTGTCCCAGTATGTATTCCTTGAGAGTAAATATGGAACGCGATATACCCTATAGTCCCTTGTTTCAACTTGTCCATTCGTTCGAGCCACGCCCTGCGAGATGCCGCCTGAAGTATGTCCGATCAAAGAAGACAAGTGCGTAAGAGAAGCAGTCGCCTACTCCAGCCATACGTCCGAACCGCCTGCGGAGGACCTGGAGTACGTGCCAGAAGGACTATGCAGTCCACATTGTGGATTGGTGCTCCGTCCCTTCCGGTAGGCGAACCTCCATGACTGGCGGCGGCGGCTCGGTCTTCTTCGGTGGCTTCTTCGGTGACTTCAGCAGTTCCATAGAAATAACGATAAGCAGCAGGAAACCACTTAGTGCCACTTTCGCCACGAAGACAGGGTTTAACAAACGCTGAATAGTATAATGGAAGAGAAGACTTACCGACGGAATTCCGTAAGTTGTCCCAACGTGCCTTCTCCATCTCGGTGCGGAGGTCGTATAGAGTGACCAAGTACTTGTTCAACACTTCCTACAATGGAAGCATCCCACGTCTCTCAGTTATGTGTGTCACGCTGACCATGATATCATGTACCTCCATCTGGATGTCGAATTGCTTGAGGTCATTCTTCGCTTCGCTCTTCCTACTATCCAGCTCCATTTGGATGCTTCATGGATCACAATCATAAAGAGAAGCAAAGCAGGAGCGTTAGCCTCAACAAGCACACATTACGCACGCGAAAGCGCGAGGAAGGTACGTACTCATGCTTGAGCGCACCGAGATCCTCCTGCATCCGCACGTCGAGCGCATCCACTTCACGCCTCACCGCAGCGGTGGCGGTTTGCACTGCGGCGGCTTCGTTCCGTGTGAGCATAGTCATCTCTGTCCGAAGCTCGGATAGCGCAGCTTTGAAGAGATACGCTTGCTATTCAAAACAAAACAATCGAAATGCAGCGTGAGAGTCAGTCACAAGCAGCATGGCACAGGGACCCACACTCTCAAGATCCTTTACCGTCAGTGCGTCGCGCTTCACCCGCCCTAGACGATCGACGAGGAGCGCACGGACCGCGCGCATGAGATTCCGAGCGGTGGCGGTAGGGAACGTCTTCTCGAGGACGCTGAAGAAATGGTGTGTATTGAAGGGCGGGTTACTGTACGGCAACGGTGAATTCACGCTAGGCGGATGGTGCGGTATAGGGAGGTTGGAATCTGACGGTGGAGGTGGTGCGGCAGAGGTCGACGTAAGCAGGTCGACGTTCGTACCCTCGCCCTCGGGAGTGCCATCGCTAGGGGACACAGGCGTGCTCGGAGGTGGAGATGGTGGCGGAGGATTTGGAGGAACGCTAAACTCTGTGCCTGAGGAATGTCCAGGCTGGTTAGCCGGATCTCTCGGATGGGCTAGAGAGATGGTGAATGGGGAGGTGCCCGTTGGTGTGGAGGCGCCGGCGGGAGGGTCGGATATGGAAGGAGCGGTGTGAGCTCTGCGGGGATGAAGGAGAGTGCGGGATATGTTACGAGGCGGTCGGACGGGTAGATCGCGGGCAGTCGGTGGGCGGCGGAGGCGGGGCAGCTTGCGGGGGATCATGGACGATGAGCAGAGGAGGACCCATCGCAGGCTCGGATGGCTCAAGGCATCTAATCAATCAATTCGCACGGACCATTCCAGGCGGTCCACCCGGTCGTTGCCTCCTCATTAATCATTTCTCGGCGCCGGGCTGCATAAATATTCATGGCAAAGGCGTGCTGGCCGCATAGTCGGCGGGTTGACACCTTCCTGGCGGCGAGGATCTATATGATGCAGTGAAGGCAGTGGCGGGGAAGGACAATACCATCTCAGACGCAAAAGCGATATTCCATTTTGGTTTGCGCGCCCACCACCACGTCGTCTACACTCCTTTACCCTGAATTTGACGCCACCGCTCTCTTTCCTTATCTACCATCCCCTCTAGCTTAATTCTCATCATAAGTGACGCTCTGGTTGACCCTCCCGCTATGCCTGCGCCTCTGAGCACTCAGACGACTAACACCAAGGCCACCCCTCTTGCCGAGCCAAAGCCACAGCTTCCTTCACAGAAGAAACAGCAGCAGCCTCCTGCTACCCGACCACTCAAGGCTAAAAAAGATGCCGCTCAACAGACCAAGGCATCGTTTAAGCCTGCTCCTGCCTCGGATAGCGAAATACTGGCAGACTCGCCACCTTCATTGAAGAAGGTCGCCCGTCACACCAGTAGGCCCACCATCGTCAATTGGTTCCAGCGCAAGCTCGCCGGCACCGTGCGTGCCAGGAGAGTGTCCGAGCCTGACAGCCTGCACCCTCCGAGGGTAGATGCTTGCTCGCCCACCTTGAATGAGAAGTCTCGCAGGACGTTCGAGCCAGTGCCTCCGGCATTGGCGGCCAGAAGTAGGAGCAATGCGGATTCGAAGTATGCGCGGGGACGCAGGTTCTATAGCGCAACAACCGTGCCGAATCGCAAGCCTCTTTCCTTCGATGGCTGCCATGGGCAAGACAACAACACGGACTCCAGCGCCGGCTCTGACTCAGGGCGCCGTTCCTCCGTGGCCCTAGAATCGCTGTGGTCGCCCCATAGCAACTACGAGGCAGACGAAGATGCCTCTGTGCGGCCCTTGCCGCCAAGCTCTCCCCCCTCCCCTTCTCCATCCCGCTCTTCTTCCTCTTACCGTTCCAATCCTCACACGTTCCGCAGCATGACGGCTAGCACGAAGCCCACGACCTTGCTCAGTATCGACCTCAACGGGGGCATGGCACACATTGCGCAGGCTCCCCCCACGCCTACTACGCCCGCCTACCGCCTGCCACATCACCTTCGGACGCATTCCACCGGACCTGGATCCGGTGGTAATTCGATCACGTTCTCAGCTTTACCTCCGTCTTCTTCAACTGCGACTTCGAGCCCCTCGTCAGGCAATAATACGAACGGATCGCACCAATCTTTCACTTTGCAGGCTCCACAGCACACTACGCATCATCCGCGAAATAACCCTCGGCCATCATCACCTCCAGAAGATGATGCGTCCGTCCTGACGCTCGCGTCTTCCGCATTCGCCATGCCAGGCGCGCGGATTGGCACGGGGCGCACGTCGCTTGGAGATGATTCGAACTCGCATCTTAGCCATGCCGTCGGTCATGGCGACTCCACAAGTCACCTCCTACTGGGTGAGATGGACGACGAGCGGGAGCTGGAGGGCGAACGGTATCTGGACAGGGACGATCAGGACGTAGACGCGAGCGTGCGCGCGCTCCGACCCCGTAGCTCGCGGCGATGCAGTTGGGAGAGTGAGGAGAGCAAGTGGAGCGCTAGTGCAAGCCTCGCGCTCACTGGCACGACGGGGATCACGGGCTTAACTTCTCAGTCGCCCATGAGCCACGCAGGGCACCGGAGCATGTGGACCACAGGGAGTTACAGGACGGGTGGGAGAAGCATGGAGCACGGAGAGTTGAGCGTGGACGAGGAGTGCAGTGATGATATCGACGGGAATGGAGAGGAGACCGAAGGCGCAGAAGACGAAAGTATGGCTGCGCACGAAGGCAAGCTATCGGTAGACTTGTCTGCGAGTGCGTCCTCTAGTGTGGACCTCCCGTCTGCCGCCTACCATCACATGGATCACGATCTCGAATCCGCGAGCAGTGCGGATGACTCGTCAACCCCACCTGCGACCCCCGGCAGTGTGCTGGACGCGGACAGTGTGAGCATGGAGTCGCCCTCGACCGAGTCACAGGAGCCTAGCAAGAGCGCGATGGCGACACCGAAAGGTGGTCCTGTGCCGTTAGCGGAGCGAGAACCGATGCCGCCTCTGTTCCTTCCAGAGAAGATTATTAGCACAGGAGAGCATGAGAAACGGGAGGAGCATGCGTACGAGTCGGATGCACATAGCATTACGACAACGGCGGATTACCAGACGGAGGCATTCCATACTCCGTCGACTACACCTATTCCGCAGTAATCGTAATTTGATCGCTGAGCATCGACTTAATGCGACTCTTCGTACGTTCGCTTTTCATCATGATCCACTCATTGGTGGCTAATGACCGCTTGTAGATCCCGCTTACCGCTGCCGTCGTTACTCCACCGCTTCCCTTCCATGTCACACTTCTGACCTGCCTTGCAGCAGTTTTTATTCTTATTTTGGTGCTGAGCTCCTAGTGCTCGCTCTTGCTGTACATTGGATATGCATCATAGTTCTAGTAATATCGCTAGTTTCCTCGCCATTCCCTGTCTCTTCTGTCCCCTCCTCCTCTGGATATTTGCAGCTTCTCGCTTCCTCATCGTCTGTAGTGTTTAGTCTCATTCTCATCTACTGTGTATGTCTTCCTCCTGTCTGCTGTTATGCATTCCTTGATCGCGCCGCAGCGCTACTTTGACCTGACCTTAGAGACGTTGCCGAGGCACGTGAGCGCGACGCGTCCGACGTGATCGCGACCGCGCGAGTTCTCATTCCCATCTTCAGGTTCTTCGCAGCGTGTTGTGCCTGTCAGCTGGGCCGTCTCGTGCTCAGCCCGAAGCTCGAGGTATATTATCGTGGATGGGCTTTTGATATCGATGGGTACACTCAGCCGGTCCGAGCTGTCGTCGTCCGCTCCCAACTGAGGGGAGGCGATATATGTTCCAGATCTCTTGAGGAGTCGCCTATCAACTTGGAACGACGCGTTTGTCTCCTTGAAACCCAGCACTTTCGAAGAGTCTACTAGCCGTTTGTTTCTTCACTCGGAAATTATCCGTATCGCGTACGTGGTCTGGCGTCTTGTGAAGATGAAGCTCGGGTTCGCGTCCTCGGTCGGCGTGGCTGTCACGCTGTGTGCGGCGATGGGCGCGGCACAGTGTCCGGACTATACGACATACTCGCAGGTGCAGCTGGGCTATTTAACTAGTGATGTCCTCCAGTTGTTGATTCAGAGTGCTACGGAAAGTCTCCGCAAGGCAATCCATCCTCTGGTCCACTGGCCTTGCCGTATATGCGTCCCACTCCAGCGTGTCGCACATTCAATAGCTCTGCAGTCGAGGTACGGTACGGAGGATGCATTTGCTGGATTAATGCTGATTCGTGGCATCGCAGAAAGTGATTAGCGACATGACGTCGCGCCTCAAGGACCCTGATATCGCGCGTTTATTCGAGAATACTTTCCCGAATACTCTGGGTGAGTTACATGAATGATGTGCTGTCGTGTCATATCCACAACTTGTACGCTAGATACCACAATCAAATATTACAATGAGGTACGTTGAGGCTTGTTTGTACGCTCATGTGTGCTGACTTCACCGTGGAGACGGAGAATATTGCATTTGTGATCACAGGAGTGAGTTGATTTTTTCAGTGAACTACTTTTACTCAACGCTTTTAGGATATCACGTATGCCGAGTCTTCCCGATTGAAGCTATATCAATTCTGACCTCTGACACCATCTGTAGTGCACAATGGTTGCGAGATACCGGCAATCAGGTCCGTGTCGAGCTTTGGCTCCTTGCGTACAGCTCTACTGAAGGGTGACTATATAGCTAGCGCAATATCGTTCTTTGCTTGCCATAGATCCGGAGCTTGCAGCACTCGTCAAGGCAGTCATCAACAACGAGGCTCGATATATATCCCAGTACCCGTACTGTAGCGCCTTCCAGCCTCCTCCAGAGAGCGGCCTCAGTCCAACAGTGAACGACTGGGCAATTGATGTGCTGGTCAATCCGTGAGTAGTGCTGAGCATTGGCAGTTGAACCGTCTGATCGCGCTTCCCAGACCGGTGGATAACCTAACCGTGTATGAGTGCAAGGTGCATGGAACCTGGCTCCGTATGCTTCTTTGTCTGACTGAATAAAATCATCTAGTGGGAACTGGATTCCTTATGCTCATTCATGAAGCTGTCTCGATCCTACTACCAAAATACCAACGATGCCTCGTTCATGAACGACAACTGTGAGCTGCAGGAGTATATTTGCAGATTTCTGACGAGTTGACGACACTGCTTGGCAAAAATCAGGGTTTGCGGCGATCGATCAGATCTTGCAAGTGATATGGGAACAATCGCAGGCAACATTTGACGAGAATTGGAACTTGGTGTCGTACTACAACTGGACAGGCGAAGCTGGCTCTCTGCCGGGTGCAGTGAACAATGGTGGCAATGGCGAGCCGAAAGCATATACAGGTCTCGTTGGCACGTCGCACAGGCCTTCAGATGACCTGAGCACCTTCGGTGCGTACTGGCACTGTTGTGCTTTTGTCACGATCTAACGCTTCTTTATATCAATCTTACTAGCATTCCTCACATCTGGGAATGCAATGCTTGTGGTGGAGCTGGGTTACCTTGCGGATGCTCTTGAATCTGCGGGCATGGCAAGCAATATCAGTCAACTGGCTAGGCAATACATAGGCAGCATCACGGACGCTATCTGGGAGCACACGGTCAGTGAGGCACGTTTCTCCCTTCCTTCACTATCTGAACAACTCCTTAGCTGACGAATAACGTCTTCGCGTACGAGACCAATGGTGTGTCAATCCATGATTTGTAGATAGGATGGCTGAACGTCGTGTCCGCAGGGTTTGGCGGACGATACGTGATGGACGATGCAAATGTGCCAGTGAGTCCGCGTGACGACACTACTTTAATGTTCTATAGCCTTATGTGCGCATCCAGTCCCTACTCTCCCTGCCCTACCTGGGCTTCCTCAATATGAGCCATCCGGCGTACATTGCGACTCGTCGGGTACTAATGTCCAGAGGCAACCCCTACTACGTCGTCGGCAAGAACTTCAGTGGCATAGGGTATGTGACGTTTCATCGTCTCGGATGATTTCGCCCAGATTGACGATCCGCTGTTACAGTGGCCCACATGAGGACGCGTGGAACCCATGGTAAGCTTCCATGCATATACCATCTAGCAGATGGATTGCTGAGATGGTGAATAGGCCTATGGCACTCATATCGGCAATTTACGGCACAGACGACGACGAGGAAATTATGCAGTACCTGTATCTCATCGCAAATGTGAGTATGTCCATGGCCATGGTGCCATCGACTGACCACTGATGCTGTCAGAACACCGACGGGCTGGGTCTCATACACGAATCGATCAACATCTACACGGGCTCATACACGAGGCCTTGGTTCGCGTGGGCGAACAGCTATTTCGCTGAGATGTTACTTGATCTTGCGAACCGCAAACCGAATCTCATCTTTTCTGATGATGTGCCGTATGTGCCTGGATAATCCGATTCTAGGAGGCGATTGCATATTCTGAGTTATATGTACATGTCAAGTCTTAATGGACGAGCTTTCTTTGGTGCTGTGCGTGTCTGTTTATATTCCTAGAAGCAGCATCCTTGGAAAACGCGGTCATGTGATCGATACACGGTCACGGCTTCATAACCATTCCCGCGTTTTCGAGCTGCTTTGCCACCTACTTTTGCATTCAGCAACAGTATGAATGCTGGACATACACACCTGGCGTTATTTCATATATCGCTAATGCTGGCGAGCGGCAGGTAACGCGTTAGAAAACTGGACGAGCCACCAGACAGGAACAAGTACTTACAGCACGACTGTGCCGGAAAGCGTTGGTCCTCAGGCTATCTCCTGCGTTATGGCGATGATCCCATCGGCTGGAATGAGTTTTGATAGCAATCACGATGATGAGCACCTCCACTGCTCACTACCGGCCGAGCGATGACACTTATCGTAGTGTCGTCCATCGTAGTGTCGTCCACGCGCGTTCTCTACGGATATGGCTACCTAATAGATAAGTCAAGCACGCAAAGCACATCTTCCGAGGAGGACGAACCAAAACGCCGCAATTCAAGCGCATATAGCTTGCATAAGGCGCCCGTGATATATGGGTACTCTACCCACCCACAGATCAGGTTGTAATTGGGTTTGCATGCACTTTGGAGAGATTCCGTTTATGTCAGTGTGTCTTCTCGCAAAAGCTTGATCCGTCACCTGCCTTTTGTACATGAAGCCGAACGGGCCCGGGATGCCTCCAACAGGTTGAGATCCGCGTTGTTTTTCGCGTAACTATGCGGCTGATTCGACATCCGAACTGATGCGCCGGATGCCTTTTCCAGAAATTATAGTGTACTTGCGAATGCAATGATCATGCGAAACAATCGATCCATCATCGAACAAGCTCGAGTCAGACTGCAGTCGAATGCCACAAGCGAAGTTACCGGCGGGACAGGCAGATCCCGTTGAGCTGCTTGTTGGCATGGTCAAGACGGCGAGGTCAAACCAGTCTCATAGACGCGCTTGGTCGTCACCCGGCCACGTCGTGTCAACATGGATTGTTTCTGGAGGTTCTGTGACTCGACAAAATCACCGGTGAAGGAGTGACTCGCTTCGCCTGTACGCTCTGCCGTACGAATGATCATGCAGGCTGTCTGGCTTTGCAATAACACCGGAGTCATAACTGCGTAGGTGAGCATCCGCGTTCATGGCTGTCACAGCGAGCTGCTGGCGGCAAATCGACCGGCGTTCACTGGACGGTCGATCGGTAGCGGAAGATGGCAGTGAACCAGATAGGCTCATAGGCTCATCGGTCCTCGACCAGTTCTTCGGACGGAATTAGTGCGCTTCGGACGCCACGGTCGAGGAACACCGAGTGAGAGTGAAACTGCGCTAAAGCAAGACCGCAGTCGAACCGCTGTAATCACTGATCCAGTCTGTCGATGACTTGATCCTACGCAGTTCGCGACGTTTAAGCGACACCAATATGTGCGAACTCTTGAGTCTTGCGTGGGGAAAGATGAATCAGGAAGCTAGAAATCGCGTAAATGGACGAGACACGAGGCGTTGGACCGAGGAGGACAAGACGGATTGGGGGGGACGCACGTGGCCGGCCATTCGGCGGCGTGCTTGGCGCAGGCGGGCTGTTCGCGCTACTCGCTCAGAGATCAGGCACTTCTAGCGCTCCTTCCTCAGTATTTATGTAGAGAGATTCCTCCTCATCGCCTTTTCGCATCCGAACTATAGCCCTTGCATTGCTCTCCTTCTAGACGCAGGAGGTCTCAAACCAGCTAGACGTAGCATTCCAGCGTTGCACTTCATGGTCGCCACCAATCCGCGTGAGATTGGCACGCTCGTTGTCGTGGTTCTGAAAGCGGTGTGTGTAGCTGGCCGCCCGAGGAATCACGGAGAGAGTGCTGAATACATTCTACCCACAGAGGAACTTGCCCAACAAGAGGCACATCGGCAAGCAAGATCCGTTCTGTTCCATCGTTTTCAATGAAGAGAAGAGGAGAACGAAGGCCATAAAACGCGGAGGACAGCACCCAGAGTGGGATGAGGAGTTCCGGTTCACGCTCGTGGAGGATGACGACGACGAGGCGACATCGTCGCAGTTCGATACCAGCGATAGGGTGCCGCCCCCGCTGCCGCCGAAGAGTGGTACAAAGGGGCCACCAAGAGTCAAGGGCGGACGATCGATGGCCATCGCCTGCTACGCCGACGATCCTCGCGAACCTGACCTTATTGGAGACTGTACCGCAGACCTGACCGAGGTGTTGACGAAGGGCGAAACGGATGGTGAGCCTCCTGTCTTTCGCAGTTTAACACTGGCTACAGCCGACCTCTACATCCAGAATGGTTCGTTTTGATGAACAAGGACAAGTACTGTGGTGAAGTGTACCTTGAGATGACGTTCTGGTCTAACGTGAGTGTACTTCCTTCCGCATTTATTCTCACTCTCATCCCGCAAACAGGAGCCAGAACCATTGAAGAAGGTTACCCCGAAACCTAAAACGAAGAAGCTGTACGGTGGCCCTGGGTCGTTTGTTCCTGCAGAGGAGCCATCGATGCATAGCGGGCTTGATGTGCAGCACGAGATTCGACGTCTGCCGTCTAACAGTAACATGCGCGACAGCCTAAGGCTCGAAAACATCCCTCGATCTCTGCGGCCATCGGCCTCATTCGCGAACCTTGACCTCTATGTGCCACCGTATGAGAGTTCCCGGACTCGCCATACAGACGTGGAAAGCGTCGCCACCGAGTTTGCCGATTTGGGCGTTGGCGACCATGCCAACGGACGATTGAACTTCCCAGTACGTACTCATGAACTATGCTGCGCATGCAACGAGTGCCAGACACTGATGTCCTCACAGCCACAGCAGCCAGGGTATCTGCCACGGCCTACGTCATCGCATGGTTACTCTGATGCTCTTTCTCAAACGCCTTCCCAACACGGGTTTCATCAGGGGAGCTATTTGGATGGCAGTGCACCATCGCATTATAATGCGCCAGATCCGCCGGCGCCCGTCTCCTATCAACAGGAGCATGTGCCAGCTGAACCGTACCAGCCGCCGTATGAACCTGCGCCTCCGTCTACATTCCATGCATCTGCACGTCCGACAGGCCCGAGGCAGGGTGTATCTGCCGCTTCGTCGGGCTTCATGCCCATACCCATGCCAATCCCGACGTCTGCACCTTCCGGGTTTGGCTCGTTCTCGTCTTACCCCTCTCAATCGTCTGGATTTGCTGCTGGACCGGCCACGGCGGCGCCGTCGACCTATGGATATCCACCATCACATCATCCTACCCCGTCTTCCAGCTTTTCCACCTTGCCGCCGCAGCCAGTCACGTCTTCTGGCTTTGCGCCTCTGCCGCCTTCTCGTTCGCACCACCATTCTCTCCCCCAGCCTCCCGTGTCGTCTGGTTTCTCATCTCAGTCATATGTACAGTACCCCACGCAACATGTACCACCGGCACCATCCGCATCAGCGCCTCCACATCAGCATGTATCCCAAGAAGTATATGTGCCTCCGCCGCCGCCGTCTGTACCTCCCCACTCTTACTCCGCTCCTCCTGAACCATTTCCAATTACACGAACCTCGCCGTCACCGCCATTAGACAATATTCCGCCGCCACCGCCACTGAACGGCTCCTTCAGACGCTCGTCGCCTCCCTCGCGTCCTTTACCCCAACCAGGGACAACAAATGGGCAGCCGCATCCACGCCGTACGTCATTGCCAGTGCCGCCTCCCGGCGGGCCTCAAGGAATATATGATCCACAGCGTACTCCTCCGAAAGTATTCGGTTCTGGCTCTCTAGGACAGCTTGGGTCATATGGTACACCCCGAAGCCCTCCTCAGGCTTTTGGCTCTATAAACGGACAAAACGGGATGTATGACGTCCAGCGGAGTCCGCCACAGACGTACAACTCGTCCCTCATGGGCCTGCCTGGATCTTATAATTCATCATCGAATGCATCTATGCCGTTCAGCTCGAACGGTGGCGTTCCCAGCAGAGGGAATTCTGGGTCATACACTTCTTCCAGTCAGTTGGGATTGTACATGCAGCCTAACGGATCGGCTTCGGCTGTGTACAACCATCCAGAGCAGTCACGGTCAATGAGCTCCATCGCAAGAGTAGACCCGGTAAATCCGCCTAGTGACCCATATGATTCTATCCCTCCTCCCCCGCCGCTTCCGTCAGAAGGTGGGCCAGTGTATGTACAGAACAATCAGCTTCCAGTGGCCCGCTCTTCACCGCCGCTGCCCCAGTCGCAGCATTCGAGAACTTCTCTTCCACGCACGCCATCTCTTTCTGTCCCCCTGCAGCCTAGATCAAGACACATAAGTCTCCCAGCGCCACCTCCGATGGGCTTAGCCAGCCAGCCCTCCTATCATACTCTGCCCCCGCCTCCAGCGCCGCCCAGTATGCCATCCGATGTCCACTATGAACCCGTTTCCACGTTTCCTTCTGCCAATCTGAGCCAGACATTTCACCCAGGGCCTCCACCGCGTCCTCCCGCACAGATCAACCCTCAACCGCGCTACGTGTCTTCCCCTATCACTGCGCAGTCCTACAACAGCGTCCCACCTCTAGGTGAACGTGACGGAAGGTGGTGATGACAACCGAAATTCAGGGATCAGCAGAGTCGAATTCATAGCAATGCAATATTTATTCTCCTTTCTTGACGCCGCATCGTACTGTCTCCTTCTCTGATAGCCAGCAACTTGTCGATTCGAACATTAACCCGCCCCACTCTCTTGTTCTTGTGCCAGCTTGTCTGTCTAGTCTTAGCATTACAGCTCGCTTGCTACATCGTACAGAAAGAAAAACTTTGATTGTATCATACATACGTCCAAAGTGCATAAGTCCAATCAATAAACAAGCATTCAAAGTCAGTTTCTCTGCTCACTTCATATATCCTATGCCCAGTTAATGCGAGCGCGTCATTAATGGTTTGCTTCGGTTTCCGACTGAGTTTGAGCTTGCTGCGCTGCGAACCGTTCAGCCTTCCACTTTGCAATCTCCGTCTCCGTCGCCACCAGCCCGCGCCGTGCAAGCTCTATGCGTGCCTGCTTGCGGATAGCAGACTCTGTCAGACGCTTTTCAGCCTCATGGACGAGCAACGCGTTTTCTGCGCCCAAAACCAGGCCAAAGACGGTAGCTGTCGGAAATATGAGAGCTTGGTACAATCATTGAAAGGAGGTTCGTACAGATCGTTACTAGGAAGCCCTTGAAAGGCAAGGTCTGTCGTCTGCAACCAGCATTAGGATCAGTGTGTAAGACTATGTACAACAAGTGTATCACACTGACCGGAACGTGGGCCATGTGTAGTGCGCGAGGATGACTAGTCCCAACCCGACGGCCGTGAATCGCGCAGCACCAACAACCCCAGCCTTGGACTGCACCTGATAGGCCGTTTCCATGTCTTGTTTGCGGGTCGCTCTGTCCATGCTCAGTGGACTAAGGAGAGCTGCAGTTGAGTGAAATCATGGCGCGCCGATGGCATGCAATCCGAATTGGCGGAAGCCAGCGGGAGGCTGTTGGCGCCGGCCGGCATCTCCCACGCTGGATTCTTGATTCTCGGCTACATTTCATGCTTCATTGGATAAAGTACAAGGATTGAACGATGTAAGGAGGTCATAAACTAATTAAATGTGTGATGTTCATACTTGTACAATGGCGACTCAAAACGGCCTAGCGTCATTAGTCTGAACGGCGTTACTTCACTTATGTATGCATAATGAATGCAAGTTCATGATCTTCCGAGCAAGCTACGAGGTACTCATCATCATATATGACTTGTGTGATGCGCCGATCAAAAAAACATTGGACCTACAGACCCCATCTGTAAACAGTGCTCCATGGGGAATACGGCAGCGACTTACGGTATTTGAACATTTGCTAACATCCCGCAGGTCCCATAGGCGCACAGTACCACTTCTGTCGCCACATGTGAACGTATTGAGATGTATGTCACCTGAGAGCACCGGACGCAGTGAGGTCAGAGATCATTGAATTCCCTTACCACTTGCCTTTCACGTATCGCCCGTGAGATCTCGGTGCGGCATATCCAAACCTCTGCACTGGCAGTACGGGCGCCATGCGATGGTCGCGAATCTCGAATTGTAACTCTCGATGTGCGATCTGCACCTGTTTAGCATCTTATACAAATTAAAAAAATCTGACGTCTCACTTCCAACAGGGTGCAGAATGGCGACAGCACCTCGTGAACATGATACACCGCATTCGAGGTCTTTAGCGTATTGACCACTCGCTCTGATGACAGGTCCCAGAAATGTACGGTGCAGTCAGCGCCCGCTGACACCAACTTATGACTGGTGTCACGGATCGGGAGGAGAGATTGTACCATGGAGGAATGCTTAACGGGTAGCTCCGTAGGAGACGGCATGGACATATCGTCCTTTACGTCCCAGATGTGGATTCGATGATCGTATCCGCCGGTAGCAAATCCGAAAGGCTGCAGCATCGAACATACTGCACTGATGCCTTCTCTCTTATTTCCTTGGACCGGTCGGTCGAACATACATACTTCATGTACCTGTTTAGTTATATTCAGCACTCATGAGCAGCAAAGAAGTGAAAGACTCGCCTTCTCGCCGTCCAGCTTGACGAGTGAAAGCTGACCTTCATCGCGAGCATGACCAAGTAAGATTACGTCGTCGTTCGTCGCGCGAAGGAGACACGCGTCATCTACAGCATGGCGAGAATCGCCGTTCGCAGAGAGCAGCACATGCTTCTGCCTGGAGAAGCTGAGTCCAGCTACGATGGTTATCAACAAACCATACTCACCTCGGAAGTACTCGTTCGATCCGATCGACTGTTCCCTGCAGCGTGATACTTAACAAGCCAAGCGCCGGTGAAATCAATAAACGCCTGGGCTTGTCGTAGGTACCTCTCTCAAGTTGCACTATCTCCTCCACGAGTAAGGCCCGATGACCACGAGTGCCATTGACGACTTGTTCAACATTTGGCCCCGATACACTGGCTAATAGGGACCCTGTAGTCAGCACATGTTGCGCTTGCGTCAGGGTATCCGAACATGAAGACATTGACAAATCACGAGCTGCCGGACCCGGACGTCCGTTGACAGAATCTGTATCTGCTGGAGCGGTTATCGTACCGTGGAAGCGTGCAGAACCATCCGCAGCATCTTGCTTGGAGGCGCTAGATGAAACTCGTGGTGTAGAGTGTTCCATCCGGGAGGAGCGAATTGCATTCAAAGGACTGGCAACACTGGGGGCGAGTACCAAAGTTCCGGACCGGAAGACATGTCGACGACTATTCCTAGAACCAGGATGTGGGGACGCCAAGTCGGAATTCGACCTCGAGCCAACCATTGGTACTTCCACGCAGTGAGGAGAGAAAGTGGTCCCAGACTGATGACCCTTTGATGACAGGTCTTCCAAAGCCGCAGAAGCGTCCATTGGATGTGCTCTGTGCAACGAAAGTGGAGCGGCGATATGCTTCTGTCCCATGCTTTGCTGCAAGGAAGATGTCGGTCCTTTTGCATCTTCGTACCGGCCAGAAGACGAGGCTTTCGGCGGAATAGTATATCCGTTATGTCGCTGATCCCTCCAGGACTTCGTGACTGCAAACCTTAACTTGCTTCCATCGATGAAGCTACTGATCAGACGCACCTGAACCGTCAAAGGAACGCTTTTGACCCGCTAGGGAGGTTTGATGATGGCTCCTGATCATGAAGCTACATAAGACCTCAGCCATAGGCAACTTTGTAGACCTACGCAGTGGTTCGTCTCACATGATCAACCTTTTGAGTTTTCGACATGTTTTTAACTAGGTTATCGCGCGTGGCGTCCTTCCGGCATAAAGCTTCTCCGCTTTGGATAGCGGGACCGCCCATGCCGGCAAATGTAGGCGCCTCCAATGACAGTGCATGCACCGTTGACACTGACAAGGCAGCGGACTCTGTAGGCTTATTGTTGTCCAGGGTTGCAGGAGTTCCCCTCAATGCAACCTGAGACTCCGGTGTGTCTTGGAAATCCAGTGAGCTGCAATGAAAGTGCACTGCAGTATCGATGTACTGATGGCCGACGACGCGAGCTCCCGCATTCTCTATTGCCCTGACCTGTTGCTGGAACCAGCCGCGACGGTAATGATGGCATAGAGGAGCACCTTTCCGGCAATGAGGTGGGAGATCGAAACACATCGTGAACATGTCCGCGTTTGAGCTTTTCCCAGATTGTGAAGAGTCGTTTGTGGAATGCATGCTGCTCGACTGCACGGCATTCGACATAAAAACGTCCGGATCCTGCATTTTTGACTGCTTCAAGGACTTCCCTGCATCTAGTGGACGAGGTCTCGCGCACTGAAGCTCACTGCCTTTACGCGGCAAGCGACGATGCAGACTTCTAGGCGCTCGCGACCCGCTGACTGTACCTGAACGGTCCATTTGTTATAAATGTTCACCAGGCGTATTGACAAGAGAAGTCTGACGATTTCTACCACTGGAATGCAGGCTTACTGCGCTTTGAGCTCTATGTGCGGAAGATGCAGGTCGAATGGCGGGAACACTTGAGATCCCTTTGCGAGCCAGACGCATTTCGTTGGGTTGCACATCTTCAGATGTGTTCATGATAGGGCCAGCAAGCGACACAGTTGAAGCAGGACCAAAGATTCGGGTGCGCGGCTCAATATTCGTCGACTTCATCGAGATCGCGGTTTTTTCGCGTTTGACGGCACGTGATCGCCCCCACTTCCACAACCACAAGTGACAAGTCATAATTGCGCCCACGTTGTTAAGTCGTGGGTTGTCGTGTTATATCTTTCGTCCGAGCTGCGAGACGTTCAATTACGGTCAGTTACATGAATCGCCACACGAAGAGGTCTCCGTCTCCATTATTGCTTCTCGACTCGAGCCAACTCAGATTGCGATCGCGTCCTCCGAACGCGACGAGACATTTTAACGCCACCGCACGTTTCTCGATGTCTGGTGATAAAAGTGTCTCCAACGGCACCTTGTCCAAGCGCATATTGACTCCGAGTAATAATGAAGCCATCAACGATCTTGTTATCGAGACCGCTCGTCAGCTAGGTGCTGAAGGCAAGCGCGTCATCAACGCTCATTCACGGTGAGTCGAGAGCGAGTGGGGCTTTCCAGCGAATTGAAAATCGTGCTCAGGAGCGATGATATTGAATTTGAATGGTATGTGGAATGCTTCCCGCACATCTGTACTTACTGAATGCCTGCATCAGGGTAACGGACTCTTCCGCCAAGGAGGAACCGGTGGAATCTCTGATGTCCTTGTATGTTTATCCTCTTTCAGTGCTAATGCATTTATCGATTGTTATGCAGTGAAGGCGTTGATCTTTCTGCCGTGCAAACAGCATTGCGCCGGGCTGCAGAGCGCCACGTAGAAAGGGAAAGGATGCCCAACGTAGCCGATCCGCCGATGGTCATTGACCTCGTGTCTTCAGACACGAGCAAAAACCAGCTGATACCTGAGAATTGTAGTACTGGATACAATTCCTATATCCATTCAAGCACCACAGATGCCCTCATGAACATTGAATTGCAGCAGACAACCGTACTATCTTCTGGGTCGATGCATGATTACGCTCCACAGTCGTCCTCAAATCCCTCTCAGCACATCTCTGAAACTGCTCGTGACGCCTCGGCTGACTTGTGGAGTCCACTATCAGGAGATAGTGCAGTGCTACTTTATGGAGCACGCAACTGCTCTGTTAACAACGTGTCGCTACATGAGGCCAATAGAGCGTCCGATGCACGACATGCGCACCACCAATTATCCGAGTACGTACTTGCCCTTCGCCGACACGGTCATTCCGCGGAAATTGATGGGTTCTATCTTATACATAGCTGCAATATTGGGCGCGAGAACTTGAGAAAAGAAGAATGCTTCCTCTATGGTCGAGCTGAGTCTGAAGTGCTCGGTTCTCGTTCTCAAGCTCCGAGTCCCACTAGTGTTGGGTCTTTAGAAGCTAGTACAGAGGAGCAGTCGGCATGCGTGAAACCCACGCAACCATCAAGGGAAGCGATGGCCCACGAGCGAGTAAACGCACTGCTTGGTGACTTTGCAGCGCTGCATACGAGTGGTGAAGAGGACGAATTGTCAGACGGAGATGAAGACCCAACCAATGCCTCTGAAAGGTATGCTGCGCCGGCATTCCAGCCATTGCCAACGGCAAGCGGGATACAGCAGAGCTCGGTTGCAGCTCAAAGCATCGGTCTCGAAGCACAGGCAGCACAGGCCTCGGGACGACCTGTGGATTGGTTTGAGCAGAGTCGGATGCCGTCTCGATCGAGCGATGCACTCGAACACCATTCCCGCATTGCTTCAGACGTTGGGCAGCATTCTACACTGATACGCGACAAGCGCCCTGCCCCTAGTAATCGTGATGCGTCCGGAAGCAGCACGTCACAGAGCGCACGCGTTGCCTTGCATGAACGTCCATCCAAACGTGCATGTTCAGGTAACTCATCCAAATGGAGCCTTCGCGAGGACCCTGAGGGCGAGAGCAGCTCTTCCGACGAATCCGACCTGCCAGCGCGCAATCCTTTCGCAAGAGCAAGACGCCGGCATTTAAAGCGCCAAATGCAACAGCCACGCGTTACTAGCAACGCAAGTGCGCGCGGAACGACAAGGAGCTCGTCGATAGTATGTGAAGTGAACATCCCGAGGACTAAATTTGCCAGGGGAAGACGCGTGCTGGCGCCGGCGGACAGCTCGCTACCGTTCACGACTGTAGCCATGCGCGGGGATGTTCATTTTATTGACCAAGAAAGCCTGTATGTAGCTATCTTTCATCATATGCTCCGTGATTGATTGACTATCGCACAGTCGTAGACAGTCGAAGCGTTCTTTGCCTTTCTATTGCCCGGATGATACACCCGACCCTCACGTGGTAGATGCTTGCCTCCTCGAGGACAACACGGTGGTGCTCGGTTACGACAAGGGTCCCTGTCAAGCGTCCTTGATATGCCTGGTCGATCAGGTACCAATCCTATGCTCCTGAGATTCACCAAGCGCTCATAAAAGAAGCAGATTCCTCGACGCATCGATTTGGCTTACAGGGCCCACAGCACAGTACAGGAGAGCACCTCCGAGCAAGCAGCTCTTCCTATCCTCGGACTGAGCGCTCTAGCACCATTCGGAGGTTCCAGCCTGCGTTTCCTGTCAGGAGGTTTCGATAAGTCCATACATGTGTGGACGTTGAAACGTGCCGTGGATTCGTACACCGCGAATTCTCACCGGCTGAAGATCACCCACTCTCAGCGAGTCCAATCTCTCGCATACCGCCCACATGATGAAATGGTGTTCTCATGTGCAGGGACCCTAATCTACCAGACGAACATCACAGCCAAAATCGCGCCGGATCCGATTAGAGTCTCCGACGGCCGCATTTTGCAGGTTCATATACATCCTCAAGCACCCAAGGTTGTCGTCCTCGAGGTGGGTCACTAGACTATGAACGCGTATTTAATATCCTGATAACAGCGCATGGAGCAGGTGGATCACCTGGATCACCAGGTCCTGGTGTACGACACGAGGAGAGCAGACTTCAAGCAAACCCCATCTCTGAGGTTTGGCTATCGAGATCCTAACACGCAGCCCAGGTCAGGGTTTCTGAAAGGGTCCACCAGGAATAGTTGGTTTGCTAGGCCTTACGGAGATGCCGCAGAAGGAGTAGTGCGGGTGTGGGATTACCGGAGACACGATGTGAGCCACGCCGCTTTTCGAATCAGCCGGTGGTCCTCATCGCGGCGCGCTAGAATGTGGTCGCATGCTTTCACCAAGCGCGCCTAGATCCGATAGCCCATACAGTACTGAGCGGCTCAAACGTGATCGCATATGGGGGCCAGTCAGTGACAATCTGGGACATCAACAGTAGCGCATAGTAGCCGAACCCCGAATTGCGGGGAACCATCATGCATGGAAGTCATTATCGTCGTAGCCTGCTACGATACATACGGATCAACCAGACACGTTTTGAGGCGCTAGAACCGCCCGTTGCGACCTACAAAGTTTTTAAAAAAAACATCAATCCGACTTGCGCCACCCTCCCAGCTCGACCGCAAAGGAAACTGCCAGCTTGGAGAATTCGAGCATGTGGGAGAAGCTGAACTCGTCGGAAATGTCATAACGGCTGTCGGGATCGTTAGTCTTACTGTTGTACAGAAGCGCAGGACGCTCACTCGTTCGCAGTGTGAATGAGCTTGTTAGAATTCTCAAACGTGCTCTCTGAAATAGAAACCGTCAGTGTATTCGTGCCGGTGCTCCTATGATTTTCGTACCGATAGTGAAGACGGAAGGATATCCGGCCTTGGCCCACGAGGCACTGAACAGAAGAGGATGAGCGATACGGCAGGAGCATAAATCAGCGTGTGATCCTACTGGTCACTGCAAGCATATCCACATTTCGTCTCGACGAAGGGTATGTCCAGATACATGTCGATCAATTGTTTATTGAGCTCCGTCAACCTAAGAGATACAAGTTACAACGTGGCCCACTGGGAGATCGACTCCGCTTACTCGGGGTTGACGTAGTCAACAATAACGCCGACTTCTTCTCTAGTGCCTTTCTTGACCCATGCTGTCATGTCATACTGCACAGAATGATATCAAACGCGACATATTTCACACGCGTCCGCACATACCTGACTCATGGCTAGGACGTTCACACTGCGTCGTTCGTACTCTTGTGCTATAGCTTGGGAGCCTAGGAGTCCTCCTTCCTATGACCATGTCAGACGCCACGCAAGATGATACATAACGGCATCAATACCTCCGCAGAATACCAATGAAATTCAACGGCGCGCTCGGGACGGAAGTCGGCCACCAACAGCGCCCGATACGCCTCGAGGATGCTCATGGATCCGGAGCCATCATCGTCAGCGCCTATGGGTTTAAGTGAGTACTTCTGAGATAACAACAATTCGAACGACACGATGTTAGCGTACCGGGCGCAGGCAAGAAGGGCCACGTGTTGGTACTGTCAACCCGATTATTACCTCCTTATAAATGACAAGTTCGTCGACGTACCTATCCTGATGAGCACCGACGATCACGACACCGTCCTCTGTGGGGATAGAACCATTGATTCTCGCGATCTATATCACGGCCCGTACTATTTGAGGCAGTCTAACTGTCATTTTATACGTAAGCACTGACCACGGAGCTTTGGATCCAAGTATGAGGAAATTCCTCAATCGTGATCAGCTCTTGAAGCGACTTCGATGCATATTTGTGAGTGAGCTGAAATGCGCATAAGCGGACGCATATATCCAGCATTGGGACCAAGCACCTGGCGAATGGTCTCAATGAGCCATTCTTGACTCTGCTTGCCGGTCTGAACACCAGTCAGCCTGCTGTTGAGTTATGTGAATTTCGGTTGATTGTACATCACTGCGGTAATCTAAAGACAATGAATCTAAAATCTTGAAATCAGGACAAGAGCGGCACCTACATCTCGTACGGAAACTCGTAAACTTGTGCAGACCTTCCTTGAGGTTGTCAATCTCGAGAGTCTTCAAGATGGGGTTGACAAGTTCCGTCTTGTTCGGTGTCGGGTAAGTAGCTGCAAGGCCATGCTCACAGCAAGCACCATAGACGAGTGACACGGCTTACGCTTGCGTGCGTTCGTCAAGTGAGTACGATGCCCGAGGTTGAGTGTTTCGGATCTGACATGACCAATGAGCGTCGAGACAGCTTATAGGGAGCGGGGGGATTACACGTCAAAGAACTTGAAGCCTTGGGCCTTTAGTTCAATCTACGCGAGCCCATCAGAAGATGTAGGCCGGTCGTTAAAAATGAGAGGACTGGCAACCTTCTCAAGCTCCGACATCAACACTGGTTCCTGCCCTTCGAGCTGCACCCATCGTAATTCATTGAAGTCCAGGTCAAACCCTGGGTACATTTGAAGCGAGCTGCCGTCGAGCTGGACCTGCTCATACTCATTATATGCCAGTGTGCCAGCAACTGCTGCAGAGACGATGGGGAGCAGGAGAGTAAAGGACTTCATGATGGCTGTCGACACCAAATTACACGCGTAATGGCGCCGACCCGAGGCAACAGGCTGCAGCCACCGCGTTACCATAGAAGGAGCGTTTGGTAGTTCGGGTAAGGTGAGACATTATCATGAAGCATGTACGCCTGTGCGACGGATATCGAAATTCAAGCACTCGGCTGACTTATCTACGCTCCAGACGCGTGATAGAACTTTGTAGGCGAGCCAAGTGCATGCCAATCGCGAACAGCGCTTTCTTTCACGACCGACGGAATTAAAGGACGACTCCGAAAGAGGTAAGCGTACGTTTACGTAATGATAAACCCATCTGAATTTCGTGCCACACTTCGTGCTCTCTGACCAGTCCTCGGCTGCCTATTTCTGCTTGCTCCCTTCGCCATGTCCAAGGCCGCCGGAAGTGCGAGCGCACAGATTGTGGTACGTCCCTTTCCTTTTAGTTACGTGTTGCCATTGCTATACAATTCGACAGCGTATTCTTATTGGAGCCGGCAAGGCCGCCCCCACCCCTCCAGTAGGTCCTGCTCTGGGTGCTCGAGGTGTCAAGTCTATGGATTTTTGCAAGGAATTCAATGCCCGCACTGCGCATATCGAGCCTGGCGTCCCCATCCCAACCCTCATCACCGTTCAGCCCGATCGCACTTTCACCTTCGTCACCAAGACGCCACCTGTATCGTACTTTCTGAAAAAGGCAGCCAACATAGAAAAGGGCACCGGCCGCGCCGGCCACGATTTCGTCGGCACAGTGAGCCTCAAGCACGTGTACGAGATCGCGAAAATCAAAGCAACAGACGAACATCTCAAGCATCTTGGTCTCGAGGCGGTCGCGAGCACAATCCTCCGCTCGGCGAGGTCGTTAGGCATTCGAGTGGTGCCATAATGCAGACGGGATCTGTCTTCACGTGTGCGTTCTCCATGCTGCGATGTGACTGACATCGAGTGACGATGACCATGTTCCGGCAGCTTTGCAAAAGGGAGGCGCCGCAGCTAGCGCTGGCCGCGTACCTGGTGAGAGGATCATCCGAATGTTGTACATACAGATACTCGCGATAGATGGCAAGCGTATATCCACTTCCCGTTGAGTCCGCGCGCGCTCGCGTGAGAGTGATTCTGTGCACCCCTCGGCATTGCGTTCTCCGCTCAAAATGAGCGCTTCTAGATTAGGTTCTTTGACGTCCTTGCAAGGTTCGGATCGTGGTGACTACTAGGTTAAACTCGAGGATGGGGTCATGTTGTCCTCCCCGATGTGGGCCATACTCTGAGTTTGCTCGTACCATATACCACATACTGTCCCGCTAGCACAGCGCAGAGCTGCCTCATATGGCGCAGAATTGAGGATTCACGCCATCATGCCGGCACCCGACATCACATCTGGTCTTGAACATTGACCGCGAGGAAGGGGACCCTTGTACTGTGTATGGCAATTCGGACACGCCGTCTACACGCCATATTCACCTGGCGCGCTCTTTGGGTGCTGCACACAAGCCGACCCAAGGGACCGTGTCGAACATGCCAAATCCAGGAGGCTTAGTTCTACCTCGTGCATGCGGATTGCGAGTGGCAAGTCGACGCAGTCTTGTTTCCGGGACGAATTGATCCACATTTACGAGTCTTTTACGCAATCCGCAGAAGATCTCTTCCGGATCCTTGTAGTTAAGTATGGCGCAAGACGCAATGCTTCCGCGCTACGTAGAGGGCGTGCAGCTTCTGGACTTCCTCTCGCAGGTACCGGAGAGACATACCGCCAGGATCTCCTCATGTTCGTTCTCGATCATCTTCCACTATCGGGAAGGAGTATCGGCCCTCGACTCCACAGCACAACGCCCGGACGACATCATGAAACCATCCTTCTCTATAGACACGTTGAAATTCCTTGTATTCACCTTTATCTGTCGCGATGTACACGTTGCCGATCGCACAATCCACCATCAGCCTCAACGAGAAATTTTCGCAGTGTTTCGCGCTATAAAGGAGTTGTGTCTATGGCACGACTCTGTGCCACTCGAAGGGCTCGTCAGCTGGTCATCCCACTCCCCCCAATACCCACCAACTATGTCGAATGCCAACGAAGAAGTGCTCTCCTGGACTTCTCAGGACCCCCGTCAAAGCCAGCTCTTCGGCAGTCAGGGGGTGGTGTACCGATTCACGGTATGAACTACCTTGTCTGCCATGTTGTGAGAGTCGGCACGAGGTCCTTCACCATAACAGACAGAACCCAACAGCCAGGGCGTCAACGTCACCACCTTGCTGAAAACAATCCGAGTGAACAAGGAAGACCGTGTCGCGAAACTGGAGTGGGCAGCGAACGGCGGCCTCGGACGCGCGGTAATTGGAAAGGTAACGCGCTGCCTCGTGTATCGTAAATTAAGCGAGCTGGCTCATGGCTTCCGCAAGAACACCTACCCCATGGCAGATTTGGTCCGCGTCGATTCACGAGCTGCGGTAAGTCCTTTTTACAAATCTGTCGATCATCAACTGACGCAGATTTTCAGAATTGCAGGATGTTCAACGGCCCAGATGGTTATCAGTACCGGTGGCGGCCAAGTAATAACTCGTTTAATGACGTCGTGGTAAGTATCCGATTTTGTCCACGAATTTGAATACCGCACCGACCGCAATTGGCAGTTGCAAGACCAAAACAACAATGTCATTGCATATTACCGGCCCATTCGACCACAAAGGTATAACATCGGCGACGTCTATGGCGAGTTGCACTTTGTAAGGAATGCGGGGGCTGGCGTCGTGGTAAGTGCATGGCACGAGTTTATCTGACCTCGTGCTCATCGGCGCCATCAGATGCATCCCCCCCTCATGGACACGGTAACTGTCACTGCGATGCTCTATCGCTTCGTCATTGCCTTTGGCCTATGATGTTTGCTCGCGTTCCTATCGATTCACGACACATAACTGCAATCGTTGCATGGTTCTAGGAGCATCGCCATTCTGTATATACTATTTATTCAATGCGTGCAGGATCATGTGTATAATAACTCATCGTGCAAAATGTATGATTTTCATCGTGCCGAAACAGTGGAATCTGGGGTTGCCTCGAGGGTTCGGGTACAATTCTCAATCAACCTCAGATCTTGCACGTTCCGGCCTGACGTAGGAGCGTAAGATCACAGTCGGCAAAAAAGTGCATCGCCTTTCTACGCTAAGGGTACGCTACGCGGACATGGGTACGAATCTCGGTAGAAGCTTACAACTTGGCCCCGAGGCCAAATCCCTCGGGCCTAACGACATCGATGAGGGTGTCGACAGTGCGAATGACCCACTCTGTGCCTTCATCGGTGGCAAGCCAGTAGTCCTCTTCGCTCAGACCCACCACATTCCGGGCTTTGAGAAGGCCGAAGACATGGCTTACGAGCTGTGGTCCGACTCCGCCTTCGGCGCGAAGACAGGCGGTCCCGACTACGGAACCTAGCGCGCGGCTGAGGTTACCCTGCTCGCTGTCACCTCCTGGCAATGGGGAGAGCACGGCGCCGTAGGCTTGAATGATGAACGCTGATCGGAGGCATTAACAAAAGATTAGGATTAGCGTTCAACGCAACGGGGAATTCAATCGAGCGCGACCCGAGGGAATGGAGGTAATTGTATAGAAGAGGAAATGGCCGGGACATTGCGCTGGACGCACCTATGAAATCGGGGTGATATCCGCCTAATTTGTTATAGAGCTTCACCGCATGCGGCTCGTAGATAGAGTCCCACAAAGCTTGTCCCCGCGCCTTGATAGCCTCGACGTTCTCCGGGGTCGCGATCCTAGATGGATTTCCATATGAGCATGATGTGCCCAGGAACCGGGAGGGCGGAGACAATAAATAGAGAGTGGGAAGCTTCACCGGTTGGACTCCTTCCGCAAGCCTTTCTTCACGTCGTCTTCAAACGCGTCAAACATGCCGGCGAAGGACAATATGGTCTTTCATACCGCCAATTGAGTTAGACACTGTGCAGCGCATATGACCACCTCGGGGCTTACCCGCGGCACGCCGACAAAAATGCTGCTCTTCATTGCGGCCTCGCGCATCCAGGCGGCCTTCTGGAGTGCCTCCGAGTAGCTCCGCCTTGACTCCGGTTTGCTGGGATCATCTCTGGTAGTGAAACGGTAGAGATGACCTACGGACGGCGGAACGTTTGCCGTCAAGAGCGTGCATGTCTACTGGTCAAAGGGGGGAACGCGGTTTTGTCATCGATGAGCATCGCCGCCTCGCTGCACGTTTTAGAAGCGCACCGTGAGGGTAAGCCAACCTTTCTCGGCCTTCCTCTGCTGGGCATCGTTAAACGTCCTGGTGAGGACCTCGTTGAGCTTGGCGACGGGAGGGCCGGGCAGAGAACGCGGGTTGCGGAGGGTCAAGAGCTGCTTGATTGCGGGAGGAAGGTGGGCGACCATAGTGTGGCAAATGCTGATCTGAGCGGGCGTCTACCACTGATTGTCCGGAGTAAAGCTGGCGATCTAAACGACAGCAGAAGACGTGGCCCTGGTGGCTCGGTAATATACCATGCATTCTTCTCCCCCCCACCGTTCCTCTCTTCTCCTCATCGGAAACGGCAAGCCGATTCGGACGACCGGTCCACAACACCTCGTCGGCTGATCAGTGTTTGCACGCCAGCGCAACACGGTCCATCGTCGGCGATCTCACAAGAAGCTGTCTGCACTCCAGTTCACACAACACAACTTCATCCATTGTGGCTGAAGCCGCAGGCGGCAACTTTGTTCGACGAAGTGGTCGTGGAGAAGAATTAGGCATCAGAACCGTACGGTTAGTTATGCAGAACCCAGCTACTATGCAAGACAGTAACAACCGTCTCAGAAGAAACCAAATAAAACGATGTGCGTTAAGGGTATAGTGCGTGAGTAAAGACGAGATATTACGAGTGACGCTAGGCGCGTTGCACAGCAGCGGCGGGTCTGTTCAGCAGTCCAACCATGACCCCGTTCAGCTCCAGTTGTCGTTGATGTAGACATCGCCTAGGCTAGTCGCGATACCAGCGGAGCTCATGAGAGCATTCAGAGTGTTGACACCGGACATGTCCTCAAGAACGCCTGGTATGCGCAATCAGCGCAAGCACCTAGAATGACACGCCTCGATACTCACCAAACTGGAAATAGGATTCGATGTAGCTCTGCGAGTCCATCCAAGGGACGACCATGTAGTAGAAAGCCCAGATCTCGCTCTCGTCTGCTTGTGCACCATCACTGAAGTTCTGCATGACAGATGTTCATATATTGAAAGCAGGAGGATCGACCAGAATGCATACCTCATCGGCGTACTCTGTGACGTGCAGGGGGCAGCTAGGGAATGTGCTATGGAATTGCTCAACGTAGCTGATGAAATCTTCCGCATCAGTGCCATAGTAGTGCAGTGCACATCCATCAATCTGTGAACGTTCATGAGGATACGTCAAATGCAGCAACGAGCCAGCAACTCACAGTGCAAGTGTCGCAGGCACTCATGAAGCTCTCCAACCACGGAATACCGTCAGAGCCGGAGGAGACAGCGGGAGATATGAGCCTGAAACCCTCATCCTTCTTAGGCTCGATGTACTGCAGCCAGAGGGAAGCAGCGGTGGACGGGTCCATGTTTGCTTGGCCAGCCTGGTCCGGCCTACAACACAACATGAGATCAATAACGCCACATTATAGCTGACCCACGTACTCGTTGAAGGCGAGGATCGTGCTGCCATAACCCGCCACGACGTACTGCTGGAAAGCGGCAATGGATTCCTCGTTGGGCAGCATGGCCCAGAAATCGAAGCCAAGGCTGTCTGCGTTGTCAGGCTTGTAAGGACTCCAGTTGTACAGGCTGCAGCCACATTCAGATCGACAATGACGAGCAGTTTACTCGTAGCGCACTCACTATTTGGTGGCGTCCGTCTTGAAGTTGACGAGCAGGCTGGCGTCGGCATTGTTCCAGGCAATACCGGTCTTGCCAGAGTATGAACCGGTGCTAACCGCGGTAGACGTGGCCACAGACGCCGACGAAGAAGACGAGGTGGGCGTGTACGTGGAGGTGGGCGCGTCAGACGTCGTAGGGGTATACGTAGAGGTGGGAGCATCCGACGTGGTAGAGCTATAGGTCGTAGCAGAGGACACCTCGTAGGAAGAAGCCGAGGATTCAAGCGTGGACGAGTAGCTCGCGCTCGCCGTGTCGACAGCAGAGCTGGTCACGGCGCCGCTTGACGACCGTGGCAGGCACCGCTTGGTGTTGGAACGCTTCTTCGTCATCCTCCTCTTCGCAACGCCGTCGTGTGCGACATTGCGGCTGAGATGAGGATTTCTGCCTACGCCAGAGAGCGCGTTGACGCTGCTGGGAGTGAGACAGCACACGTAGAGCGCCAGAGAGGCAATGGCCATCAGATTGATGAACTTGGGTGCAGCCATATTGAAACGGGAACGAGCTACGGGAGAGAGTGCGCGTGCGAGACAGAGAACGGCAGGAAAACGAGTGACGGTGCCGTGTGGGCGAGAATGCAAGAGGGGAGAGAAGGCGTTGAAGGCGGGGCAGGAGAAGAAAAGGCCTCTAGCCGTCGCGACGGGCACGCCTAATTTGGATATCATGTCCTTTACGTAAGCGCCAATGGCAACGTATGAGCTGGCACGGTCCAGAGCCGTTCGCGTGCGGGCCCGCACATTCCATTTCCATGCGGTCCCGGAGGACGAAGAGAGCTTTTATGCTGGCTAGCTGCATCAGTGCAGCCTGCGACGCACTTTATCGTCTGTGATGTACCGTAAAACCTGAGATTATTTAGACGGACACAGCCAAAGGCAGCCATGGCGACGTAATGCTGGCGAGGCGTAGCGCCTCAGAAACCCGAGCGGAGTTTTGTGCAGATCAAAAACAGCGCCCCGTGCGCGCACAGACCTCTTCTCTCAACCCCCAAGTTTGACACGAAGAAACCGGTTCATCGAGTTCATCCCAACAACACCACCCCAGCTCAGCTCGCTCCCAATGTCTGACGCCCCCGCCGCCCCTGTCACCGAGAACGGCGTGCCTCCGGCTGCGCAGGACGAGGTCGTCGAAGAGACCCCCGGCTTCAAGGTACGCATTTACCCTCTGACGTGGCATTTTGCTGACTCACAAACCTGTTTAGGTCTTTGCCGGCAATCTTGCGTACTCTACCACGGATGAAGGGCTGAAGGCGTTCTTTGCTCCTGTTCAGAGCGACATGTACGTTCTGCCTTTCCGTTCTCATATGGCAACTGCTGGATGATCGTTCTTTCAGTCTGTCTGCCCAAGTGATTATGCGGGGCACTCGCTCAGCGGGCTACGGCTTTGTTTCAGTGGCGACTGCCGAGGCTGCGCAGAAGGCCGTCGAGCTCCTCGACAAGACGGAGCTCGATGGCCGTCCGGTGATCGTCGAGGTCGCCAAACCAGCCGACCAGAAAGACAAGGAGAAGAAGCAGAGGAAGTTCAAGAGGAGGCCTGGTCGCCGTGGAAGCAAGTCCGTGCCCGGCGAAGTCAGCGAGGCCGATACCAATGGTGAGGCTAACGGTGACGTTTTTGAGAAGATTGAGGGCGCCGCTCCTGGTAATGAAGAGGGCGCGAAGCCCAAGAAAAAGAACAGGAGCAAAGTAAGTGGTCGATGCATCGACTTTGGTTGACAACTTACACCCAATTATCAGCGCAAGGCCAAGGCTCGCAAGGCGGCTGCTGCGGCTGCTGAGGGAGAGGCCCCGTCTGGTACGGAGGGAGCTACGTCTGAGGCTAAGAGGACTCGCACTCGCAAGCCTAGACCGCCTCGCCCGCACCGTGCTGTTGGTGAAGAGCCCCTGGGCGAGCCGTCCAAAAGCGTCCTGTTCGTAGCCAATCTGGGCTTCAGCATCGACGACGCGGGCCTCGCACAGCTCTTCACGGACGCCGAAATCTCCGTCACTTCTGCGCGCATCGTACGCAGGCGTTGGGGCAGACCTCGCAAGAGCAAGGGCTACGGATTCGTGGACGTGGGCGACGAGGAGAACCAGAAGAAAGCGATTGAGCTGTTGCAGGGCAAGGAGGTGGAGGGGCGTGCTATCGCTGTCAAGATCGCAGTGAACCCCCAGACCGAAGAGGGTGATGAAGCCGAACACGGCGCTGAAGCTGAACAGGTCGAACAGGTCGAGCAGGTCGAGCAGGTTCCCGCCATGGAAGCTAAGATTGAGGTGCAGAAGGAGGTCATCCCGGCTGAGGCTGAGGCTGAGGCTGCCGCCGTTGCTTCTTAAGTTGCGGACTACATAACTTTCCGTCGAGATCGTCATCTTCGTTCATCCAGCTCATCTCGTCCGGTACTCCCCTCTCACTTCCCGGCTGGATTCCGTTCGCTATCCAGACAAACTGGTGTTGTGTCTACCATTCCGCTTCCCCCTTTTAATGAAGGTTCCGTGCAGATCAGAGCGGTCTGGTTCTGTTTCCTAGTTGTTAGCTTGTGTTGTTGCTCTTTCACGATACGAGCGACTTTTACATGCATTTATAATTATTGTTATGATCATGACGTCTTGCAATGCTCGGATCGATCATTTGATACCTTACTAGCTCACGTTATGTAATGTACAATGGCTGATGAAGAAGACGACTATCTCTCCGACAAGTTTCTGCTCGAGACTTCCTCAGCTCGTACTGCTCCGCAAACATATGCTGAACGACGTAAGGAAGCACAAAGACTTGCGGCCATCAAGAATGAGGAGAATAGGAGGAAGAGCAAACGTCAGCTGGAGCTGGAATCTCGCGAGGAGGGCCTCAGGAAGAGTCTGTTCGAACGGGCGAAGGAGGAGGAGGTTTTTGGGCAGCAGAATAAGGCATTGGCGATGATGAAGAAGATGGGGTACAAGCCGGGGGAGTCTCTAGGGCAGAAACATGACGAGCCAGGACCGTCTGGCAGCGCACCAGCAACAGCAGACAAGGATGTCGATGCGAGAGCATCCTCTGCGGAACTACAAGATGGCTCGAAAGCCGGCATACAGCACATAACAGAGCCGTTACCGTTGCAAGAATGGGCTGGTAAGTCTACATGCATCGCTGAATCTCTTTTACGATGAAACGCTAACCCCCTTCCTCAAGGCCGTAAGGGCATTGGCCTGGGGAAGCGTGCCGCCTCTCCTAGTGCGGCGGAGAGGCTCGCAAAGATGGCAAAAATGGCCGAGGAGACGGACCATGCCACTTTTCGTGACCGGGCCCGTGAGGAGTACGAACAGCGCCGCGCGCACGGTCGTCTCGCGCCTGCTCAGCGTACCTGCATAAATCTAGACGAAAAGGCCGGTATAAAGGTACGTCACTACATCTTATTTTCGCCCTCGCTACTGTCTGACAGTCTGACTGATGATACGTCGTACAGTTCAACGTCTTATGGCTCAACCCAGACAACCCGGAGACATTCCCCGAAGGTCTCTTGGATGCATTGGACAATCCGGTGCTCGTTGATGCGTTGGAGCGGCAACAGGCAGATCGCAGCATCGAGGGCCGTCTGAAGGCTCGTATGCGCGTGGACGCGCTGCGACCGCTCGCGACATCATTGGAGGAGGACGACGGTGCCGAATCGCAGGAGGCAGAGATACCAGAGCTCCTCAAGTCGCCCTATTCGGAAGAAGAGATCCAGGAGGCGACACAGTTTCTGCAGCTGAGCGTGAGTCGCCATGTGTCTCGACGTCTCAAGATCAGACTTATGACTTCATGGTTGCGCAGACGAAAGATAGATTGCAGCTGGTGCTTGACTACCTCCGTCAGAAATATGCCTATTGCTTCTGGTGCGGAACGCAGTATGACGACCGGGAAGATATGGAACGTAACTGTCCTGGGCCTGATGAAGAGGCGCATGATTGACACGACCGCAGCGGGTCGCCGTGCGGAGGCGTAGACTGATTCACGTGTTGTTCTGTGCGGGGAAACGGACTAGCACGGTGGAGTATGTGTATGTATTGTACGAACACGTTTGGCCAGATCAATACATGTTGGTAACGCAGCTGCAACGCTAGTCCGTAGGGAAACGACCGTATCAGCCTGGGAGGCTTGAAGAATGCAGCAACGATCAAAGAGCGTCCTAGGTATCATGCAGTCGAGGCGAGATGAGAATGAGCGTGCCGATATTCACGATGTCCACGGCGAACGAGTCAGACACAAAAAGTCGGGTAGAAGAAGACTCGGAATAAACTATATGAAAGAATGACAGACGATAAAGGCTTGACTCGATCTATATGGGTACAACGGATAGCTTGTTCAGAGAGGAATACAACTCCGGGGAACAGCTCCAAAGTCCAATTGTAGCCTCAGGCCAGGGGAGTAACGATGGGTTGGGCGAAGTTGTTCGCGAGCGATTCGGGACGCGAGAACACCGAGATGCGGATACCGGGATCACTTACTCGAGCGAGCAGTGCGCGTCTCGAGGCTGAGGCATCAGACACCTGCTGAGGTTGCGTGGTAACGGCAGCGTCGCGCATTTCTTCGTCCTCTGTATCAGATGGGGTATATTTGTAGGACGGTGAGGGCGGGAAAATAAATGGGATGGTGGGAAGAGAGACCGGTTGCGTAGGGCTGGTGGACCGCCTACGCCTAGGGTGGGAAAATGTGGGGGACGTCGGTGAATTCTGGGGACTTTTGCGACGGACGAAGGTCGATATGGGAGTGTTGGCAGTGAGGTCAGTCTCGGACAGATTGAGCTTCTGCGGTCGTCGTGGAGGGTTCTTAGCTGCGATGGAGGCCGATCTGCGGCTGATGGTGCATGTAGCTGGTGACAGATACGGAGACGTAGACAGAGGCTAGAATATGGCATGTCATGAGAATTATCAACGAACGGTTCACAGAGGTGACACTCACCCGCATAGGCCGCTCCTCCAGTTCCTCTTTCGTAATAACAGGGACGCTCCTCTTTCGCGAATGAGACTGATCGACGCGTCAGATATGTTTCTTCCGACTGGACGCACTACTCACGATGCTCGCGCCGTATGGAGCGTATCGAGTCGCGCGCGCTCGGCGTCTCTCCATCTCCCAATCCCTATCGGCAGGAGAGCTCTCGCGAGATGCGGTTGTGGCGTCGAACCGAACGCTGGGATTTGATAGTAGAGTACCCGAAGTCGATGAAGAGAAAGAGCTGCAGGATGAGGCGGAGGAAGAGCGTGAATGGTGAAATGCAGGACGGTTTGCACCGGTGTGGCGGGAGTGCAGGCCAGGTTTGGCGGCGTTATCGAGGCCCAGGGAAGCCATGAGCTCGACGAAGGATGGGAGGGCGGTCATCGCGGAGGAGGTGGTAGCCAGAAGGAAACCTCGAGGCAGACATGAGACAATCGGGGTATTATAACCAAGGAGAAATAACGCCTTGGAAACGAGCCGAGTGAATGCGGTTGCTACGGAGGGTGGTGAGCGTCATGAAGCAGGAGGAGAGGTTTCGCTGATTTCGACTGCGTAGGACAACGGTGTGAGACAATCAGCAGGCGGTTGTCGACAAGGCGATGCCGGACGGGGCGCAGTCAGAGCGCAGCGCCCCCACTGGGTGGTACTGCTTCCGCTGCAATTTGTCGGCAAGCCCAAGCTCGCGTCCGACGGCGGGGGCCTGCAAGCGACGAGCACGCCGATGGGGCGTGTCGAGGAAGAAGCAGCTATTAATTGTCAGTATCATGGCGACGTGCACGTTGAGGTCGCTCCGCGACTGATGGCGGAAAACACGATGCCTTGATCAGCCGCTGCACCCAGCGCGCGTGAAGCATCTTCCATTGAAGAGACAAATCAAATACGAATATTCAGAGCGGTGGCGGCCCATGGAAACAACGGCGCCCGCCTGCGTGCACAAAGTCGTCTCATCCAGTGGACCGATAATTATACAAGGAACTTCTCGAGGGCAGTGCGAGGCTGTGCCTGCATTACGGCGTCCATACGTGAAGATCAAATGCGATCGCTATTCTCTGGTTGCCGAGTGCCACACTGCCAAACACGGTTATACACTCTTCTTCTTCCGACTCCCATGAACTCGCAGCCGGCCCCCAATTACAACAACCAAACCGCAGCCGGCGGAGGCGGCACCTACACGATCCAGCCTCGCATGGACATGGAATACCTCTGCGCAGGTGCGTGGCCGTCGTCTGTTCCGAGAAAGCAGTCGCTCACTTTTTTCCACCACAGACTGCGGATCGAAAAATGAGATCAGGCCGCGAGAACCCATCCGTTGTCGAGAGTGTGGGCACCGTATAATGTACAAGAAGAGGACAAAACGAAGTGAGTCTCTTTTGTGGTGTCGAGTCTTACGGAAGCTCACCACAGGCGCGATAGTGGTGCAATTTGAGGCACGATAGTCCCGCATCCCTGGATATCCCCTCATCACCCGCTTCCATCGTCTGCGTCCTGTCTTCGGCATACCATCCTCGTTTCATTACGGCTACATGTATTATACAGGAACCAATGTACAGATAAACCACAACAAGCAAGGCGACGAACTGCAGACACTTCACCAAAAATTCAGCCGCAGCATTCGTATGTTCAGAAAACATGTCACAACGACCCGATCCAAGATACTGTCCGAGCCATCTACTACGCGCAAGGTGGACTGTTCATCTGACCAGGTCGCTACGGTTTTTCCACGGGTGCTGACACACTGTCGACATCGTTATCTTCGTTGGTCATCTGGAAGAGAACAAACCCGACGACCTACGACCAAGTCCCTCCCATTCTGTCCTACCTTCCATTTGTATTCCCCACTGTTGGCCTTAAAGCGGCGAGATCTGGAAGGGGCATTTGTTAATGGCACACGGGGGATTGTGGCGTCAGGTACATACTTGCTCGATGCTTTTTTACGCTTCCGTAATTCCCTGACTGGCACCTGTGTAATCTATGAGCGGAGAAGAGCTATCCAACTGGGTGTGACGGACCCGTTCGGTCCCGAAATACACAGTAGCACTCGTGTTTGACTGCCAATCAATTTGGCCTGCATTATCCCATATTCCGGTTATCGCGTTCATGCGCTGAATTGTCGTGACGCCAGTAGTTGTTCCCGTATTGGGATGATGGAACTGCAATGCGTGCGCGAAGAGTGAGAGAGAAGGCCGCGGGGACGCTTCAGTGAACGAGCACTTTGTACATCTCGCGAGGTTCCGCAGAGCCCTCCAACATTTGCTTCACTTGAAATGTGCGTTGGTCTGCGTCGGAAGACTCGTCAGGAAATATGAATTGGAGGACCAAGTCGATGCTCGGAGTCGTCATGTGCAAGTGAGGCACGCGGTGTGGAGAGGGGTCAGGAGGTGAATTGAATAGTCGAAGCCACAGCGAGGGAGAAGAAAATTATTCATCGCGACTGAATGACCATGTTCTTAAGTGACTCGGTTCGTCGAGGCGTGTCGCCGTGGACGTTTCAGAAATATACTTGGGTTTGTGACACAGGAGCAGATAGCGTGCTTCAGGAGCGGCACTGTTGATCACGCCCGATCTGATTAGGGCCAACGCGAGGTTAAATCGCGTGCTTGGTCGATGACGCCGGCTGATAGTGATAGTGGTGCTGGTGGCGTACGCGGTCCGCCAGATGGGCGCAAGGTGGACGCACATGGTATAGAGCACGTCGGTAAAAGACGTCAGGTAGTCGGCACCAAAAACGCGTGGTGGCCTTCTGGAGTTCCCAGCGATGGCATCAACGGTACGTGAGGGGCCAAGAGGGGGGGACATCCTCGGGGGAGAGCGGCTGATCTCATGGGCCCCGTGTCGGCTCACAGTGCCATTGCCTGTTATCGATAGGTCGGAAAATCCAGTCGTGGCCCGGGTGGCGATCTCCGGACCCTGACAGCGTCATTCAATTCAACGGATTGTATATCCGTAAAAATGTGATGAAACTCACCTGGCGGGGCGTCAACAGAGTAGCCGACAGGCTGCCATATTTTGGCGACCGCCCTCCGGAGCGTTGGACGGCGCTCCGATGGTCCAATGCACAGCCCCTCTGGCTAGTCAGTCGCGGCTTCACTACTATGAGCAAAAGCCTTCCTCTTTAACCATAGAGATATAAGGACGCCGTGATAAATGGCTTCTGCCACATAAAGCTCACTTATAGGAACAATCATCGCGCGATACATTGTCTCCGGGATCCGGAGACCAAAAAGGGACTCCGCTGGATCAATACAAGCCGGAAAGATCACAGAACAGTGCCCCAGGAAAGCATTCATGGTTCAATATATATGTATGCTGCGGTCCGTATGAACGGCGTGACGTACCTGTCAGGTTAAAATGCGCGAGTGCGCATAACGTTCAGTGATCCGTCGACCGCTTACTGGCCGATCCTGCGGGGTTGTTGCTGTAATATAAAGCAGGAAGGCGACGTGGCAGGTACCTCCGCCAGTACGGTAGCTGAGGCGTACGCGTTTGGACGAGGCTAGAAGAAGCGAATCTGGAGGACTGGGCCAGAAGAGCGGCGAAGAAAACAGACTCGTGTTTCCCTCCAATACAGAAACATTCTGTCCAGACCGTGTGTGTCCGGTATCTCTGCACCGGCGACATTTGCGAACTGGAGAGGGTGGCAAGCCCGGGCGAATTACTGGCACTGAATCACGTGCGGAGCTGTGATTGGAGGTTTGATTGGGATGCCTGAAAAGGCAGTCCGGCAAGGTCCGGGAGAGCGCCGGATCCGTTCGTGTCGGACGGCAAGAGCAGCGGCGAAAGGGCGCCAAAAGCAAAGGAGAGTCTGGAGCAACTGGTTCTTGCCACGGCAGAGCGCACGGACGTTGCCCCCTGCGCTCGTCATAGGAAACTCGTGTACAACGCCTGTATATTTATTTCAGTCGTTATGCCCAGCCAAGACAGCAGGGCTCGCAGTATTTCTGGCGACATTGAGGTATCGACGATCGCTCGAACGGCACAGATGCTCCTCTGACACTCCTCGCAGAGTTCGGACGTCGGGTCTCCTCAAGACCTCGGGGATGCCGGCTCGTCCAACCATCCAGGCAAACCGGGGAGGAAGAAAAATCCAAAGTGCGGGTCCTTTCTCAACGTGATCATGCTTACGTCCCTGATGTCCCCAGCTCACAAGCAGCTCGGCGCGATCAGAACCGAATAGCCCAAAGAGAGTTCCGTCTCAGAAAGCAGCAGCGCGTGCGTGCCATGTTCAGCATCATCGCGGATAGTCTGGTATACTCAAACATTCCCAGATCCGAGATCTCGAGGCGAGCGTGGAGATCCTTTCAGGGGGCAAGGATGAGGCCCTCACCCAGATGAGGAAGATCCTGAAGGGTTTGTAGCTCTTTGCTTCGATCCAAACCTATGTTCATCTTTCTGCAGATCTCATGCATGAAAATCAAGTGCTGCGCGATCTGCTCCGTAGCCTCAGCGGATTCATAGGAGAAGGGGCGGGCGGCATCCTACCAAAGCTTGGATGGGACATCAACGACTTCCACAACTTCCTCAACAAAGCAGAGACCGACTCGGCTTGGGAAAGCTACCAGCGGCACAAGCAAGCCACTAGCGAGGCCGCCGGTGCATCAGCTGGCGCAGCAGGTGGCCAAAAGCGACCGCCGGATGAGGACACACTCAGTGCACGGTCGAAGCGATCGCGAGGAATCGACGAATCCAACGGTGAACATGTGGATTCCTTTTCGAACCCCATGTTGGTGCCTTTGAGCTCCGCCGGACCGTCTGTCGCTTCAAACGGCCTCTACTCAGCTTCGACTAGGCCACCTCATGACAATGTCCTGCTAAACGAACTGTTACGTAATAACTCGTCGGGTTCTCCGATGTTCATGTCATCTTCCTCCCCGAATGCCTCTGGCTCCTACGCTACATCAACCTCAGGGAATGTTGGCGGTTCCTATCCAGCGTCGTATATGCAGACATCTCTGGGTGTTCCCGCTGATCCCAGTCTGCCTAGTCTATCTATGGTAGGATCATCCCCCGTGGGTGTGCAACAATCGAGAGTTGGGCCCACCCCCTCTGCGCAAACGTCGACAGAAGACGAAGACATAGAGCCAAAGAAGACTGATGCGTACAAACTCATACAGTAAGCCCCTATTTTGTTGTCGACGCGAGACGCGCTCAATAATGGCGCACGCAGCTACCACTTGGACAACTACAAGCGCAACAGTGCTTACTGTTTACCTTCATCTCTTCGGCCCACTCTGGTCCAGAGGCAAGTACAAGTTGCGAATCACATAATCTCCTGATCCTCATTGTCTGAACCTCTTCAGAACTGTCCCTCATGGTGAGAGCGCACTAGAGATAGGATTGTGCCATTATTGATTATGCTGAAGAGAGTGTCATCGACGCGATCCTTCACCCCGAACTACGTGACCGCATGATTCTGTTGCGAGGTGAGTTCACTCTGTTAATCAGGATGTGTTATATTGACGTCTGCTCAGGTCGTTTCGATCTTGTTGATTGTCTGCACGATTATCGGAGTGCGGTGACCATCCATGGGGATGATGTCCTGGCCCATACCAACTGGGAGATCTCGGAGACATGGCTCCAGCGGTACAAGTAGGTGGCTCTATGCGCATGGAAGGATGTGTTTGGTGATTCACGGTCTCGTCGTCCAGGTTCCTTGTTGATCAAGCTACCCTAAACATCACGAACCGCTGGAGGCGTGAGAGAGGCGAATGCGAGCTGCGGCTGGCAGACTTCCAGGAGCCTCAAGCGACAGTATGAGTAGGTTGTACGGTTATTGGCCAGAATATCAGGAACATTTTTGTCGGTTACGAAGGTTCTGGATACCGCTTTCGTTGGCTATGCTTGTCTGTTATCGCACATGGGGAAATGCCATGGTTTTTTAATGTCAGGATGAACTGGGACAGTCGCGGCGGAGGGATAAGGGAATGATTCAAGTGTACGCAGTCGTGACATTGATATCGATGGTGCAGGATAAAGAGGAGCATATCTCTCGTGAGTAAAAGTGGATGCCTTGGTGTGCAAGTATCGGGAAATCCCACTACCAAGAGGCTTTCCTGACGCCAGCGATTTCCCCCTTCAGTGCCTTCAGCCGGAATTGATACTGGCAAGGGAGTCAGAGTCAACAAAAGCGGCGACTCGTTCAAGATAACAACATACCCTGCACAGCCCAAACTCGCCCATGATGCCTCGTCCACGTCCCGTCTCTATGCACCGGTTTTTCACCGTCGTCGGGCGGGTGTACTTCCCGAACGTGTTCAGCTGGAGCTGCGCCTGGTAGCGCACCTGAGGCGGGAGGCTTTGGTTACGCGCGACGTAGAGGTAGGCTCGTCGGATGATCTCGTTCGCCTTCACACCATTGCGGGCTTTGATATCGCGTAGGACTCGGGCGTTGGGCATGGTGGTGGAGAGAGCGATGGGCAGACGCCCATGAGGCGCGGACCGGCAAATCGTAAGGAGTCGGCGCTCGACTGACCTCATCGACTTGCATTCCTTCTCCTCGAACACATTCACCGCGTATCACAACTGCGGACAGCCGCTCAAGCTCAAGCATTGAACTTGAGGGAATGGGCTATTGAGCTAGGTGCAGATTACATGTCGATTCACTGTTTCCGCGCACACTGACAATTCACTCCAGAATGATCTTCCCAAGAGCACTGAATGTCATCAACCCTCGCCAACGACGAACGGTTGTCTCTATGCTCTTTGGCCTCACCGCATTTGCCTCCATCGTCACCGTGTCCGCATCCAATGTTCTATCATGCCCAGCACATGACCGGGAGCGTTTCGCAGATGGAGTCGCTCAGGAGGGGATGAAGGGACGACGGGCCGTCACGGTAGTGGAAAAGAGACCACGGAGGTGGATCGAAGAGACGCGTCCGACACAGGCATCATCATAATCCATCTCTTAATCTACATGGAATCATGCCACAGTGTCCATTCGGTTGTCCAATTGTACGTCAATCAAGCAGAATCGTATCGTGTCATTTCATTAAGAGTCTAATATGGCCACATTGGGATATATATAGCGGACGTAGCCAGTCAATTTACAACGTCATTAGGCGTCAGACATGCTTCTATCCCTTGTATTTTTGCGTTGTCGATACTGAGCCTCCTGTTCTTCGTGCGTTCCCCTGCAAGCAATGATCAACCTATATCGTTGCCGTGACCTAATAATGCACGCACGGTAAGGGGTTCTCTTGGATTGGTATGCAGCACAAGAGGCACAGGAGATTGGCCGCAGCTTGACAGATGAAGACGATGCGTAAGGCATCGGCATATGAGCTTACAGCTGCCTCACGCAGAGGGGGGCTGAGATCAGGAATGATGCTCGTCGAGTGGCTACGCCGATGTCGTGTGAAGAGAGGTTAAGACGACAATGAGGTTTATGACTCACCGAATCTTCTCGATGATCTGAACAACGGGGGTTCAGACTACCGACATTGCACCTTAGGGGTTACAACTCACCTCGATTGCCCCCGGCCCTGTGATACGCTCTCGCAGCTTTCTGGTCAGAACTGCCTGCAACAGCGCTCCACTTAAACTGACTCCGAGAACCTGCCCGGTAGTCCGGAACAAATAAGTTACTGGAGAATTGTCTCAGCACGCCGCCCATGTGTCTTGTTCAAAGTTGGAACTTACTGCCGGTGGCCACGGCCATATCCTCCTTCGCTACACTAGCAATCATCGCCTAGAAAGATTTCAATCAGTTTGATGAGCGCCGTACAACGGAGTAAAGTCCCCCCTCACAATTAAAGTCGTCGTGATCACACTAGCCATTCCCAACCCTTGCGGTACGATATCAAACCATAAGTGAAACGCAGACGTTTTGTCGTTCCAGAATACAACTAATGTCGTGGCGACGACCGTTAAGAGTCCCGAGATTATGGTCAAGTTGTACAACTTTCCCGTTCTCCTCATGACCCTGTAAGCTGGATCAACCACGGAATCTGCGGGTTGTCGATTCTGATGTACGTACCAGCCGGCGAATACACTTCCTGTTGAAATGGATACCTGTGGTGCACTTCATATCGGAATGGTCCATAGAATGAGGTGGCCGCAACATACCGAATGGGGCAATAAGTGGAGACCTGCATAGATTGATAGATGTGTGAAAACGCGCATAAAGGTGGATTGAAGCTATACTTACCGGCGTCGGTTGAGGAGTTTAGCCTAACAGCAGAGAAATACTGATGATGCACCGTTTCAGAACGATGTTTCTTTCTACTAAATTCTACTTACTAATGGGACATTATACAGCTAGCGGACAAGCTCAATATTGTTCTGCGATTATGGACAGAAATTCCGCTTACCATGGAGAACGCGGCTACGCTGCCGAAGAAACAAGCCAGAGAAACTGCAAGCGGCGTCCGTTGTTTGATGAGCCTTATAGGCATTACCGGGTATGGCGAGTGATATGTCTCGACGAGGATGAACAGAATACACCACACGACGCTAGCAACCAGCAGGCCCCAGATGAGAGGATCCGACCATGGCAGCTCTTCTGTCGACTTGAGACTGAACCCAAGCAAGAGGCAACCTACCGTCCCAACAAGGGTCAAGGAGCCGAAGAAGTCTATCCGACGGATCTTAGCATGCAGACTCTGTGCCTCGATCTCGTCTGGAAGCTTGATCGACACCTTCGCCGTTACTAGGACGAAGGAGAACAACAAGATTGGCATCTGCGATTTGTTCGGCAATTATGTCAGACGAGGTAAATGTGATATACGGTTTGGCTCCACCTGGAAGAGGAACGCAGATCTCCTGTCAAGTTGGCGAAAATTCAGACGGAAAATTCATCATGACAGGACTAGACGTACCATCCAAAGTTGTCATTCATCCAGCCTCCCAATGGCCCACCCAGGCCGGCACCGAGTCCGAAAAGACTGCAGATGCCATAAGCACACCAAGTACGGAATAGGAATGATATTCTACCGCTATAAATCCTCACATGTTCGTCATTCCCTGATACAACCCTCGTTGACGCCTGATAGAAGCTGATCAGAATACGCGCCCGAGGTGGAGGCTCTGTTCAACTCACAGAGGTATCAAATCAGTCACAGCAACGCTGGATACTGGTCAACTGTAAGCGCCTGATGTCACAAAACATTGTACACGAGCCAACCTGTCATGACCCTGTGATATTTCATCGATATGATGAGCGTTTGATGTGTCTAGGTTCTCATGGATGTGACTTTACCCCCCGCCGCCCATGCCTGCAACCGCCCGTGCGATGATAAGAGCGTCCATTGAAGGAGCCAAACCGCACAGGAATGTCCCCGTTCCTACACTTTATCAATAATGTCGAGCTATAGTCTGCAGAAGGCTTAATACGAACCGAAGAGAGACAGAGCTAGCAGCATTGCTCCTTTGCGTCCCAATATGTCTGACAGGCGACCTACATCGCAGGTCTTTCAGTTACACTAGGAATGCGAGATTGATGCTGCACGACCTAACCGTATAGTGGGGTAAAACAGCATACCGACAAGAGATATGATGTTCCAATGTAGGACGACCTGTTCGACTCATTGAAGTAGCTGCCGATGGGAGTCAAGAGCGTTGCAACGATGGTGCCTAGCGACAGTGATATTGTAGATGAGGATGAGACATTGTTCTACTGTTGCATACCGTCGAGAGCGCCCAAGAAGACCGCACTCCATAGTCCGGCCAAGACCCATGCAAGATCGGTCCCGGATGCTTTGTTAAGCGATGCAGACGGCGGCGTCGCGGCTCCTAAATCGTCGGCCGAGCGATAAGACTCGGGCGTAGATTGCTGGAGCAAAGGCCGTGTTTCTGAGGGGTCGCGGCTGGTAGAAGACATGGTAAAGCAGGACGCAGGACCGCGTTCAACTGCCAACCGGTTTATATCTTCTTCGGAGGGGCGATGTCCCACGGGACGGCGAGCAGGAAGTCCGGATAATCTGGAGCTGAATGAGTCGGCGCTGGAAATGAAATGTTGGTGTTTGAGGGCGACGTACCGGACAGCGCCAGGCGAGGATGTTGGATGTCGACAAGTTCGTGTCGGTATGTTCGGGGCGGAGAGGACGAGTTAATGCGCCGACCGCGCAGATTATAAAGTCGGGGCGAACTGTGCCTGCTATAGATCTCGCGCCGTAGATCTCGACCGAGCGATCTGAGGTATCGTCAGCATCCGTGATGCACGGACCATCCTCTTCCAGAATTCCTCCTCGGAACGTGCGCTCTCCGTCCGCCTTGCCCTTGCACACCTTGCGCCATTTGCAGTCCTATTTCTCTACAGAGCGAAACATATTTCTCGCCTTCCATCTTCTGCTTGCAACGGTCACATCCGACATTTCTTCCGCCTCGAGGCTCCCGTCGCTTATCAGTGTTTTTTTCCTCCGACATTGTCGGGACTGCGTCCAGTCGACGTCTCGGTGTTCTGCATGTTGAAACACATGCCTCAATCCTGAGACATGAGCCATGTCGGACTGCTGCCTTGTTTGTCGCAACTTGTGAAACCAAAGGTAACCCTAAATGGACAGACACTGCATACCAACTCCACCCGAGGCGCCACTCTTGCGTCCATTTGCATTTTAAAGACGCGCCGCATCTGTCAGATTGTGTGCCAGACATTACTAGAATCTTTCCTGTACCTGATCAGGGTTTGCTTCCCGATCTGGTGTCCAACTGCCACGTTTCGACGTACCTTTCGACGTCAATACCTAATACACCGTCGCATATTTCATATTTTCATACCCTTGATGCGCATGACGGAAGTCACACCCTCACATAATAGTCGGCATGCGACGGGTACATCTTTGGACCATATATTGGTTATTGATCCGCTATTTATCGGAACTGCGCCGGAGTGGTCCAAACATAACGTTACGGCGAGTGATATGGATGCATCTCATTCTGTTGCATTAACTCACACGACATTTGTCTTCGTTTCGACATGGCCTTCTCTATGTGCAGTTCAGAATACTTCTATTGCAGCATGAGATGCCGTCACAATTGCCCCACCCTGCCAGCGCAGCCTGGACGTTCATGTCAAGTCGTGCATCCCGCGCTCTCGCGGACATTCCTCGAGAACAGCTGCCGTGAGTGAGGTCTCGAAGGCTCATTCCTTCCCCTTTTGCTCATTTCTATACATGCAGAAGCCACGGATGCGGGGCGCTCTGTGTTCAGAATATGTCGCAGGTTTGTCATCCTCCGATTTCCACGATGATCCAGAACGGACGAATCTTCTATTCGATTCTTGCAACGTCCAGTGACGCAGCTGACGACACATGATTCGCACGTATCAGGGTGCGTTTACTCGTCTCAACCTGTCAGAAGCAGCAAGTGTTATAATGTTAGGTGAAGCCCTGCATTCTCTAGCAAGATCGGACGAAGCATTTCAGGTGCGCTGGGGTAGAGCCGTAAGATTGGCGGGGTTGACTGCTAAATCGGTCTGAACCACATAGCGACCGTTTGCTATGGAGCTGGCCGTTCATGGAACTGGCTTCGCGTACACGTCGCTCCGCGAGTTCGGACAATGTAAGCCTTCCAATAGCAAGTCTGACCGAGGCTGACAATGACATGCGCTTCTATCTAGGTGACGAGTGATGAGTTCTGCGACGGAAACTAGCGGTAGAATCGGCATTCAGTTAATCGACCGTACTGACTAGGTTGTGACTAGCCCATTCTTTTCAATGACCGCTTGAACGGCTCATTTTCACCCCTCAGCACGTCAATTCAAAGGCTCGGGATAATGTATAAGATGCTTTGTGAGTTATTCTCGTTACATGTACACTGGTCTACGGAGTTATCCCTCGAGAAGGACATTCATCAGCATCAAAATTTGCGAGGAAAAACGCCAGTATCATACCTCATATGACAGGTTATTCGGATATCACAGATGGAGTTTTCAAACTGAGACTCATTTTATAGGTAGCTAAGCCTGCCAAGCTTGCCGCCTTGACATCAATATAAGTGCCCACGCAACTTCCGTCCGCCTTCGGATACGAAAGTCACGGCTAGGCTCGCTGCTCGGAAGATAATCTGCACTGTTTGCGTTTCCGCACTGCAGCTTCGGTCGCATCAAACAGAACTTTCTGTGTGCAACGAATTCAGGCGCTCAGCGTGCTATTTGTTTCCTTTTCGGATGCCGTTAGCGACTGCTGCACACCGACTAGCATTCTAGGTCGCAATCTCTGCTCAAAGTTGTGCCTCTCGGATATTATCGTCCTCAGTAGAGACCTTGCATCAAGCAGCAGGTCTGTTATTCAGTCCTGCATTCCCAGGTAGGTGCTTCATGTCGTTTACCCCGCTTCTAGGAAGTCCTCGCGTCTTACCGAATGCATCGCACGCAGGATGACAGACCGTTCCTCAGTGTGATTCCTGCGTATCAGCAGGATCGCGGAACACTATCATTGCATATCCGCGAATCGGATGAAGATAGCACGAGATAGCATGCGCACTGAGCCGAGAACTATAGTGCGAATCCGCTTGTGAACCTCCGATCGGACTTCACAGGATGCCTGGATGCTGCATTGACGGTGAGGTCAGGTCGTCAGGTGGACCGCTAGTCGGACATAATGACAAATTCACTCCATCCCGTCCGCTCGCGTGGGGGGGTGTTGCTGTAACTGTCACGTAAGTTCTATCTTTTGTGCCTATGTGCGTGCCGGGCAGTCTCAGTTGTGCTGCTTTTGACCGGTGCTGGTGCTCGTCGAATTTCAAGGGCTGTATCGGGTGACCTATGGGATCTTAAATGTGGTGTTTCAGCTTCCAACTAGTCTTGGAGGAGGATCATCGGGTACCGCATGCTCACCGGCGCTTTGCAGCAAGGCTGATCAAGTCACGTCCATAATCAGCACACATTTTTCTGGATTGGCCCGCCGCCAACTTTCCATGGAATGTCGACGTACGTCTTATTTGGACTGCTCTACCGTCGCATACCCATAACGTGTAGAGCTTTTGCAGCCGAACGGTCTCTCCCGCCTGGCTCATTCAATTAATAACGCGCATGGAGGCCCGCACCATGGCAACATTACTTTGAATACTCAAGGTAAGTGTTCGGATCAGTAGTGTGGTGCCCGAGACGTATGACGCAATGTTGATACGTGCTATTTAGGATGGACATATGTATAGTATCCTTTTATGTCCACCTTGTGGGATTCAACGTCCATCTAGGCCTGTTCATTCTGCGCATTAGTCACAAACACCGGACCCGCGCACCATACAGTACCCTCATTCCCTTTTTCTTGAGGTAAGCGATGATCCTCTGGTGACACTTGAATGTAAGTTCCGAGACTTCAGTCACGTTTTACGAAAGAACTAAATCGGGCACCGACCGCAACCGCTCCTGGCGAGATGAATAAACTCTATATGGAGTGCGTGGCGCCCTAACGTAACAAACGCGCTCCAGAGGGCCCCTGCAGATGACCGCGGTCTCGAGTGATCTGCACGCAGGAAGCGTTTGCGATCGAGCCCGATCGAGACGCGGTAAAACGCGGTGAGACGCGTCGCGGTCACGTGCCCTCACACTTAGTGCCGGTCATGCTCCCCCCAGTCTCGAGTGTTGGAAGAACTCTCCAATCATCTGTGCTGCATTTCTCATTGCATAACTGATTGGAGCTCCTCCAAAAGCTCCCTCAACGCGGCGATGCTCTCCTGACTGAACGTCGACAGGATCGTGAAACGCACGCAAGCAGCCTAACCACTCAGCCTGTTTGCAGCCGGAAGGTTCTTCCACATCCTCGCGATCGTCGACTGCTCCTGTGCCGCGTGCTGCCCTCGAGCCGGTAGCTCGTTCGCAATATCGATATGGGATGCGCAGCATGCTAAGGACGGACGCCCGCTCTTTGGCGCCACCACCTACCTGAACAAGTCCGCCTGGACAAATAGAGCGTCGCGACGACTTTCATCCTGCTTGGCCGACGTTCTCGCTCACCCCCCAACCGACCCATGTGAAGCTCGGACACTGAATAATTGGGACCCTTCCTTTGAGCTGCTCTAGATGATGAGAGACGTGCCATGTATGGTAAAGGCGCTAATGCACTTAGAACGGGACGCCAAATGAACGTAGGATAGGGATCGCCTGGCAAGCGTTCGCCGCTGCGAGTCTCTCGTTGCCGATTTATGGTGTGGTCCATGTCGCCATCGCATCTGTCCCTACGGCCTACATTGGGATGCTGGTGCATTAGCTTGCACCAATCGGTCCTCATAGTCTAATTGTTAGCCTGAGGTGTTCCATTGAAGGCGGCAACGAACCCACAGAGTACTAGTCTACCACCGGTGGATCTTGGCGTCGTTCGCCGCATGAGTCGCTGATCCGATCAATTATGAATGCATAATACTCTTGATTAGCTTTGTGCTCTCCAGTCCACCATCATATTAAGATACCGGCTGACCCGGAGCATTAGGATTCGTTGGCCATGGGGTGGCAGAGTTCTTGCATTGTTCCGTCCCGTTTGTGAAACAGGTACACTTCATTATGAAGCTTCATATTGTCGACCCTGCCACCTCGCCGGGAATATGTCGAATGGCGGAACGGTCGTGAGAAGTAACCACTCTCCGCTTGCGTCGTGAGGGACCGCAGCGCGGTCGCTAAAAGAGGATGATCATCACCGAGAGCCTGGGCTTGTCTGTCAAGACCTGGAGAAGCGAGGGCGTTTGCCGTTGCTGATATAATCTCTCTGTAATTACCTGGCATGAAAACGGGGGAGAGGATTTCAGAAGTCAGAGCTATCGCTGAGACCCACTGCGCGAGGAAACACCGCGCTGCAGTCAACACCGTCCTGCAGTACACCGTCTGCAATCGCGTCCTCTCACAAACGTTTCAGGTCGTCGTCGCTGGCGATCGTCTCTAACGTTTCGGTCATTTCTCGCGCTATGCTACACGCTGACGGCGAAAATATCAGCCCGGCCATAGCAAACCAGCGCGATATGGGTGGTCACAGTTTGTCTTCGGGTCCCATTGCAGGTGGTCCTACGTGGAAAACAATTTTCCGCATAGGAAGTCAATCCTCCAAGAGACTGGGATCCTCGTTGACTGTCGACACCGGCTCATTCCATTCTGAAGCCTCCTCTGCCACGCTCACGCCCAACCCGTCGCTCACTCCCCATTCCATTCGTTCTCCCGACCAGCGGTCCTCATACACCTCGTCGCAGACGTTGTCAAGCGACTCGAATCAGGCCGCGTCATCCAGATCACCTTGCAGAATGCCAAGCATCCCAATCTTGACCAATAGCCGCCATGAAGTCCACACGCCAGAAGGTGAGGACAAGGTGCGATCACGATCCAAGTCAAAGTCAGACAAGCAGCGGATGCACGGTCGCGTAAAGGTGCCTCAGACGGCGGATCCATCGCAGACGTCCTTCTCAACCGTCAGCCCACCACGTACATCACGATCCGGACCACTGTCACCAAAGGCATTCGGTGCCAATGCATCACGTTTCATTCGCCGTGTCGCATCTGCTCCCAACGCGAAGGGCCTCTTCTCCTTGGGCTCGCGGTCAGGATCGCACACACGGAACGGGCTGTTGTCACCAGGAGACAGCCTGCCTCCGATACCTAACGGGACGCAGGAGTCGGATCGCGGCACAAACTCACTAGAGACGATATCTTCAGCGTCGTCAAGAGGCCGTCCGACTCGTCCACAGCCTCAGCGTGCACATAGTACAACATCTGTCAGCGGGAACAAGACGAAGGACAGAGTGTCGAATGCCAACATGACAGTAGACGAGCCAGGCAGAGTAGCGTTCCGGAGAACCTATTCAAGCCATTCTATCAAGGTCAAGTCTGTGAGTGGTGGCATTCTCGCGCGCTGGCACATCACTTAAATACGGCTCGTTGCTAGGTGGAGGTCGGACCGTCCAGTTTTCAGAAGATTAAGATGTTGGGCAGGGGCGATGTAGGGAAGGTGTATCTTGTGCGGGAAAAGAAGTCCGGAAAGCTCTTCGCGATGAAGGGTGCGTCGCCGAGCTCACTATTCGCCACGCATGGTCGGATGCTGATCTTCTGATAGTCTTGTCAAAAAAGGAGATGATTCAGCGGAAGAAAATCAAACGAGCTTTGACGGAGCAGGAGATCCTCGCGACAGCGAATCATCCATTTATCGTCACACTACATCACTCGTTCCAGTCCGAGCAGTATTTGTACTTCTGTATGGAGTACTGCATGGGTGGGGAATTCTTCCGCGCGCTACAATCAAGACCTGGCAAATGTCTCTCCGAAGATGCTGCGCGGTTCTATGCGTCAGAGGTAACTGCTGCTCTCGAGTACCTGCACTTGATGGGGTTTATCTACCGAGATCTCAAGCCAGAAAGTGCATATCTAGCGCTATACGTTGCTTTCGTCGTTCTCACGTTCTCCCATCATAGACATCCTCCTGCACCAGTCTGGCCACATCATGCTTTCCGACTTCGATCTCGCCAAGCAGTCAAGTGAGCCCGGAGGCCGTCCCGCAACGATTCACCAGGAAGAGAATGGGGTGCGTCTTGTCATCAAAGCTTTATATGCGTGCTCATCAGAATCACTCGACCGTCAGATTCCTTTGATTGACACTCGGTCATGCACCGCTGACTTTAGGACGAACTCTTTCGTTGGCACCGAAGGTGAGACAAACCGCTGCTCGTGAGGAAGCAAATGCCATTTGAGCTGACCTGCCATTTAAGAGTACATTGCTCCGGAAGTCATCGAGTCGTCTGGGCATACATCCGCTGTCGACTGGTGGACGTTGGGCATCTTGATATATGAGATGATCGTACGTGACGCGTTCACACGTTGATCGTGACTGGTCGACTGTGGCCGTGTTCTCGACTTGGCATACTAAAATCGTTCCGTTTTCCGTTCCTAGTACGCAACCACACCGTTCAAGGGAAACGAGCGGAATGATACCTTTCATAACATTCTGCATCTTCCCGTGCACTTCCGGGACAGCCCGAAAGTCTCAGCGTGAGTGTTATTGAATGCAAGATTACAATCCATATGCCTGACTGTCATCATTCTTGTGCACGCGAACTTGTCATATGCAGAGCATGCCGAGATGTCGTCGTTCGGCTGCTGGACAAACGAGAGTTGACGCGGCTGGGCAGCAAGAGCGGCGCATCTGAGGTCAAGCAACATAAATGGTTCGCCAAGATAAACTGGGGTCTCCTGCGGAACACCCAGCCTCCGGTGAGCACAATCCTTCCTGATCTCGATAGATGCTATTCTGTATTCGGCAAGAGGCCGGGGGCTATTCTGTATCGCGGAAGACATTCTTCTGCTTCTCGTCTCCTCGGTTGGGTTATTGTAACCCCTTGCGGCGGCGACACCGTCATAAGTCCTCGGTGACTAGCGATTGTGGGCAGTATAAGCCGGATGTCTTCCCACAATTCAGTGAAGCCGAGGATCGCTGATGCGCGGCCATGCCTTTTCAATCCATGTTCTCGAACGCGGCTGGTTTCCCTATTTATATTCATGGCATTGAATGTTCACTTACGCAATGCATTCCTCTTTTCATCCGCGACATTGCCTTGCTCCGAATGTGCATTCCGTCGTGCTGCTCCCTCTTGCGGACATGACCTCACACTCGGCATGCTTTACTGCAACGATCTTTCTGTACACCGTCGCACCCGCATCGCTTCCTCTTCCCCGCCTCCGCACTCTCTCCGCCTATGGTTGCCAACTCTATTGACCCTGCGGCCCAACTCTAACAGATCGTGCCGACGGTCTCGAATGGCGCGGACGCGGTGAACTTTCGGCAGATGCGCGAGTCGCATTCCCTGCACCTGGAGAAGCAGCATTCACGCTCTCCTCAACATTCTCCCCGGCCACCGTCGCAGAAGCTGTCGCATGCAAATCAGCATTTGCCCGTTAAGGGAGTTGCGGGTTCGAGCGTGCCTGGTACGCCGGGGCTTGGCCCAGACGACGGCATGGAGCCTCCACCGGAGGACGTGGACCTCTTCACGGGATTCTCAAGCATCACGCTGCACTACGACGGCGAGGAGAATTGGTGACGTTGTGTCGCTGCTGGTGAGGCTGGCGGGCAGCGAACGCGTTTCCTCCGAGGGTTGGCGTGTGGGATCGATCGAGCACACGCGCTCCGGACCTTCTGCGCTGGATATCCTTGAATCGTTCGCGGGCGGATCTCAAGTGCAGGCGAGGCGGACTCGCTCGGTTCAATACGCGCCCGCGGCGCCTTCTGCTGCCTTGTTGGACGGGTCGTTCTCCTTGGGCCCATGGACGTTGTTCTTCGTTTGGGGATCGGATTTAATGTTCTGCGGTTGGTGATGATAATCGTCCTCCTGGATGGAATTTGCTTCTCTGTGGCTGCGCGTCTGGATGGCCAAAAGATTGCTTTCCTTGTCGTTATCCTCTGTATTCTGATTCCAGTTCACGCGTGGTGATTTGGGCCGCTGGGTTTGCGCGCTCGGCGTTGCCGCGTTCTTGCGTCCCCTGTTCTATTCTCTTCACATCATACGTTCCTGTCACTCGTTCATTTGCTTTCATGAAATCCGCGAGGCTTTGATAATCTCTACATGCACGTTGCCTCTGTCCACTGTACTAGTAGTTATCATACCACACACACCACACACGCTCCCTACCCACAGGCACACTAGCTAGGAAGACTGGTATTTTCTCTGCTAACCTTCATGGACGTCCATAACGTATATACCTCGGCAGCACCACTAGACAGCGCATAGCGTATGACTTATTTACATCGATTGTACACACGATGGACGGACACGGACCGCGGTCAGTGCGTGTGATGGCAGCGATATGCATCTGCCTAGTGCAGCAGCTGCAAGTAGTTTGTCAGACAGAGGACAAGTGTGGGAGAGGAGATAGAGGAAGGGAAGATCAGACGCGATCAACAGAAGGCCCAAGGAAGAGGGCAAGGATGGGAAGCGTGCGCACTGAGTGGATTCGGTGATCAGGACGGTTGATCACAGACCTTGGCCTTGGACTCGGGGACGCGCTCGGCCACATGACGCTGCGGATAAACCAGGCTGAAGGAGGCAAGTGATGAGCCGCTGGAGAGCGGCCTGCTGAGCTCTCATTTGCATACCATGTCCTTTCTCGACGCAGATAACCGCCGGGCTGTCACTGATGGCGTTGCGTGGGGGAGATATCTGGCCGGAGCATGGTATCGCAGCTGCTGGATGTGCATCAGACATCATGATCACCAGCCATTAGCAGCGGCCGGGCATTGCTAGTACCGTCCTTGCTTTGCGTTCTGTCAGCCAGTCTGACGTGGCGAACCCCCAGCGAGCGCACATGTCGGCATTGCCCTAAAGCTTAGCGCAAAGGCGGTCCACAGAAATCAGAAAGATTTCTATCGACCGCGGCGGGTTGCGTGCGAGTCCGTTGCGTAGCATGTCATGTCGATGGAGTATTCGGTGTACCATACCGGTGTGGGCGAGCAAATGCGGATACAGACCCACGTGCGAAGAAGCAGCCGACAACGACGCCAGGGGAAGCGGCATTACGCGACGTTCCACCGTGGCCGTGGGCAGCGGTGCGATGGTCGTGCGAGCAGCCCGACACTGCCTTTCAGTTCGCCGTGCCCGTTCGGTCACTCCGCCAGGACAGAGGCATGATCGCGTCGGGTAAGTACAAGGGGATAGCCGAGCGCACCAGCATGAACATGGGCGCGAGCGTTGCATGTACGTTGAGCCGCGGTGAACGCCGGGCGAGACGATAGGCGGTAGAGCGGCAGGCGCGCGCGCAGCCGGGGCAGGCGGGCTGCTCATGCGGGAGGAGATTTTTATACGTGCAGACGACGGATCCGCTGAGGAGACTGCGCGAGAAGGCGTTGCGGAGGGCAATCGGTTTGTGGCGCAGAAGGCGCACTGCCTCGACGCCGCGCGCGCCTGCATCCCGGCGGCAGACGACGCAGAAGCGGGGCAAGGCAAATTCGGAGTCTCCTTGGACGCCGTACTGATCGCTGCGAAGGCCACCAGCGAGAAGCACCCAGGAATCGTTGCACGTTCGCGTCCCCGCCGTTGGCGCGACTGGCAGCTGCTAGCGCGCTGTATGGGCTCGCTGGGGCCGTTCATTACCGTGAGGAGGACGGAGTCGCGGGAGCGCGGAGGGGTCGCCGGGGTCCGTGTCAGGGTCCGTGGGAGAGAGAGGACGAGGGTGGACCCTCGAATGGGAGCCAATGGTCGACGGAGAACGGAATGAAGTCTAGCCGGAGGCGGAGGAGGGCATGCGCATGCTTCTGGAGCGTTACGGCACGGCGACAGCGAGGCAAGTTCCGAACGTGGTGGGTTTCCATATATGGGCACTGACCTGCACTCGCTGGTTTGCGTCCATGGAATTTTCGCACAGACTCCCCGCGATAACACACCAGACTCCCGCCAGTCCCCGCCTTCCAATCTCGGCAGACGCAGACCCCGCGACGGCCGCCTGATCTGGCGCCCGGATCTGGACGTTTACGTTTGGTCGGTCGACCCGCGTAAGTCCACCGTTGTCCCACAGCTGCTGTCCTATGCCCGTATATTTACAACCAACAGCCACTCGCCCTCTCTCCGCGCCGGCTTCCTCTCTCAGCCAGCCACGCTAAGTACCGCGCTCGCTTCGCCTCTTCTCTCCTCCAGATCTTCGCCTTCTTCCTCGTGCACGCGCCCTCGACGTGCCTCTTCCCTGTCCCGCCATGGCTGATCTCTACCCGCAGACCTACTCCACCCGTCAGGCCTACCACCGACAGGACTCTCAGCCGTACGGGCTCGGCACCACCAATGCTAGTCTTGTCTACCCGCCCCAACTGCTCACCACCTCCCAGCCTACCCTCTCGGACGAACAGCAACAGCAGTCACAACAGCAGCAGCAGCAGCAACAGCAGGCTACTCAGCAGCAGCAGCAACAGCACGATGCGAGCTCGCAGTCTCCCTCGCGCGACTCTCCGTCGCCCAAGCACGAGTCGCCTCCAGCGCAAAAGGCAGAGGGCGCGCCCCAGCAGGCCGCCAAGCCGCAGGCAACGTTCTTGACGAAACTCTACGCGTGAGTGTCCGCGTCCTGTCGATCATCATCACCGCCACTGACGCCCACCACGCAAGTCTGCTCGAGCGCCCTGAAAATCACCACATGATCCGCTGGGACCCGGCGGGCGAGCACATCATCGTCGAGCGGCCAGAGCAGCTTGCGCTGCACGTCCTTCCCAGCGTGTACCGCCAATCGCGTTTTGCTAGCTTCTCTCGGCAACTGAACGTCAGTGCTTCACTTGTCTCCATGTCCGCGCACTCACGCACTTTCGGTCGTTAGATCTACGGTTTTATGCGCAAGGTGAACCTCCGCAATGTCGATCCTGCCATTGATGACCCCGACGCAAGCACCTGGTGTAAGTACCCATCGCCCTAGTGCTTCAGCGGCATCAACTAAATATTTCCACCGCTGCAGCGCACCCGACGCTCAATCGTCACTCCCCTCCGGAGGTCGTCGCCAACTTCAAGCGGCGCGTTCCGCCTCGGCTGCCCAAGCCACGCAAACGTGACAACGAGGTTCCTCCCATCGCTCCTCCACGTTCGGCAATTGGTATGGGTCCAGTCCCGCTTTCTTCCCCTACCCAGACCTTATCACCGAACAAAGGTGCTCCTCGTGCACGGGGGTTCTCTGCGCCAGGCTCATTCTCCCCGCTCAATCAGCCCGGAGCTCCAGGATGGACTTCAGCCTATTCTCGAAGTACGCTTCCTCCTCTCACCGTTCCTTCGGACCCGCCCATGTCGTCACATACCGCCATGTACTCGCATTCGGCTCACCCTATGCATCCCATAACCCCGACGGACGATGCCCCGTCGTCTGCGTCGTTCAGCTCAATGGCGTACGCCAGCTCTGGTCGAGATGCGATGATGCTCCCGTCGCCGTCATCACAGTATCCGTACACGGAGCAAGCAAGCAACTGGTCGTTCTCTCCGACCAGCGCTGCGTCAAGTCACTCGTCAGGCAGTCTGTCGAGTCTGCTGAACCCCAGCAGTAACGTGAACGGCGGCTATTCGAACGCGTCTAGGCCCCAGCCTCCGGCAATTAACACGTACACTTCCTACAACAACATTCAAATGAGCCGGAACCACCATAGCGCCGGTGGTCTGTCACCCGATAGCCGGCCAACGTCGGGATACTCGGTGTCGTCGATGTCGTCGATGCAGGACAACTATGGTGACTCGCAGCACTACTCGCATCACGATTACTCACGTCCGGGCTCGAGCCATCACCAGTCAACAGGCCGGCCACTGACGCCATCGTCATCCCGGCCGCCATCGTCCAAGTCGTATAATTCCGGTTCTTTGAGCATTCGAAGGGCGCGCAGGCACAGTCAAGCGATGCAGCCATACCCTTCGCCTTACGCCGAGCACCCGCCCTTGTCGGCCGGGTCTGAGCGTCCGTCAAGCTCGCCTCAGCCGGACGAACATCCAGGCGGTATCCAGCGAGTGCGCAGCATGATCCAACTGCCTTCGGTCGACACGTACGGCTTCAACCCGTCTCAGGCGGACTTTGCGTACGGCGCGGTGGACGACAGCCACGGACAGCACGGGCATGCTATGTACGGCGTCGCAAGCGGACGCAGCGTGCGACCATCGACATCAGCGTCGTCGCTTTCGACGAGCAGCAGCGCGGCCAACACGCCGGGAGGGGATGGTTTTGGGGCAGGCGCTGGGGAGGCGGACATCAACCGATGTGAGTGAGTCTGTTACTTTCGCTGCGGTCAGGATGCGGCCGCTGCTGCTAGTTGCGGCGGGATGCGCTGGCCTGGACAGAAGTGTCGCTGACCCTTGTGCCTCTATGTGCGCGTTGCTCTTTACCAGTCTCACCCGACTTCGGCTTCGTGCAGATGAACGAACACCTCCCTCAATACGTTAAGACGCCCGGCGACTTGTAGGCCGCGACGCGAACCGACGCGACTGGGGAGTCTGGGTCTAGTCCCGCCGCGGAGGATTGTGGCGGAGAGATTGGTGGGATCCGATCTTGTAGATCGGGCTGAGATGCGGTGGCTGGGGGAACAGAAAAGGCGTCTGATTGGGAGACGCCAAATGGATTTCGCCGACGGAGGTTGTGCGCGAGTCTGGTCAGTTCACTTTCCTGCTTGTGCGTTGGACACTTTTTCCGTTTCTCTTCGCATTCATGCGCACGTTCTTTTGGACCTTCTGACCCATTCGTCATCTCGCACTTCCCATCTTTCCAGCTCATCTTTTCAGTCCACCATCCAATCTTTCATCACGAACACTGGTATGGGTCTCCGCTGATGTCCCACCTGCCAACCGTCGTCTCCCCGCGCGTTCCCTGCTTACGCTTTGTCGCTGTCCTTTCATTGCTTTCCAGTTCCTGCACCGTCTATCTTCGTCTGGTCGTTTGTACAGTGCCCCTTTTCTGCATCGACATGTACGCCCTATACCACGATGCACATGATATCCCCTTTATGTCTTGTGATGGAGAGTCGTGAGATTGTGCAAGCTTAAGTGTGCGATGAGCGTGTCCGTGTGCTCGATCAGTAGATGCAACAGAATGTCATGCATGCCTTCTGTTCACCAGAGTATAGACATGCGGTGATGACGCGCCCGAGTGCTGTGAGAACGATTCTGCTCCGTATCGAGCTAGATTGCGTCGCTTGGTCCCATGTCCGCCGGGGAACGCTGGCGGTAACAACGAAGACGACGACGAGGCCGGTAACTCTCATGAAGTCGTGCGCTAATCGAATAGCCTATGGGTTCGCGGAGCTGATCACGGCCAGCGCTCAATGCCGTTAAGCGCCTAATGGTGGCGTTTGATTGAGAAGTGCGCAACAGCGCGATCGCGCGCGTGTGAGATGCGTCCGCAACCGTGACCACGCCGTTTTGGTTCGCCTACAATTGTCCTCCTCCTTCGCCAAAACATAATATTCTTCGCGTGCCTGCTTGCCGTCAGAAAGCCCCTCCAGATCTGATACGGCCATGGATGACTCCGCGGTGACGCGGCTCATCAATCAGTGCAGCAAGGCAAACGGTTGGTGTCCCGTTGTTGCCCTTGGTGGGCCGATCATGCTCATCTATGGCACCCTGCAGATGTCGATGCGAAGGTGGATGCTGTTACGAAGCTTCAGGCTGAGTTTGAGGCCGGCGCGGAGGTGCGTGTGGGCTCTCGCCCGCGTAGAGTCTTTTGTTGAACGGGTTATTGTGAACCGCATAGATCCCGGACCAAGATGCCCTCATCGCGGTTCTCAAGGCGTGTCTGCGGACAGCAAATCAACATCTGACGACTGCTACTCTGTCTGCCTTGCCGCCGCTTCTCCCTCTCCTTATCGCCCGTAACGACCTCGCCCGTTCGTCCTCCGGTTCGCCAAAGCCGGCTGCTGCCTCCACCTCCTCCGCCACACCGTCTTCCATCGACGCTCATGCGCTGCGCCACGTCCTCACAGCGTTCCTGCCTCCCGGAGGCGTCATCGACCGCCTCGGAGACAGCAGGGAGAAGGCACGGGAGAAGGCGCGAGAAACGCTGGTTGTGCTGGGTGGTCTGGCCTTCCGGAACGGGGGTACTGGCTCGGTCATGAACAGGTCGAGAGATGGAAAGGGCCCAGAGACTCCCCTGATGATATTCGAGAAGCATCTCAGGGAGAATGGGCTTGCCAGTAAGGTTTGGCGGGTGAGAGAGCAGGTGCGTATTGCGGTTCCTCATATCACGACCATTGGTAGCACTAACCGACGCATATATGCTCTTTATTGCCTCCCATTCGCATCTACAGTCAATGATGACGCTCGTACAAGTTCGCCGCATCCATCACCTCTTCCCAATCCGCTCCTACCTCCCTGCACTCGTGGAGGCACTCGAAGACACCGACGGCGCCGTGCGTGAATGCGCACGGCAATCAGTCGTTGAACTATTCACCGGCCCGGGCGTTACAGATGCCGCACGGGCCGATCTCAAGAAGGAAATGGCGAGGAAGGCCGTACGCAAGGGCATCGTCGACAGCGTGCTGTCAAAGGTTCTGTCCGGCAGCGGTGGCGGCACCAGCACGCCAGGCACCATGAGCGAGGCGGGCTCGGAGAACGGTGATGCTAACCCAAGGGAGTATGTGCCGCCCAGCATCGCGCTGATGAGCCGACGGCCGGCTCAGCCGGTAGGTACCAGTGCGGGCGCGAGTGCGAGCGGTAGCGCTCTGCCCCGAACAACGAGCCAGGGGAGTATTCGAGATCTTGCGAGACCCGCGAGCCGGGCTGCCGCGGTGGTCTCACCGCCGCCGATGGAAAGCGCGGGAGCCGGGGGCAGCAGCGGTGCGGACGTTCGACCGATTTACGTGAGTATTGTATCATTCATTTGCTTCTTGAGACAATATTGATGATTTGCCGTTACAGATTGCATCCGCTCATGATCTTGAGAACGAATTCGCTTCCATGCTCAAGCACTTCGAGGCAAGTGTCTTGCCAGAAATGATGTGCATCCCAGGACTCAGGTCCACTTTTGAATTGATATCAGGGTAAAGAGACAGAACACAATTGGGCGCCTCGCGAACAATCTATTCAACGCGTCCGTGGGATGCTAAAAGGAGACGTGCAGGAACGATATGCGGAAGCTTTCTTGTTCGGACTGAAGAATGGATTTATAACAGCGTCGCTCAAAACGGTAACGGACTTCCTTCATTACGGTATCATTACGTACAACTAATTATCATATTGCCCTGGTAGCTGGCCAGTCTGCGGACAACTGTCGCAGGGAACACATGCTTCTTGTATTCTGAGCTTGCGATCACTCTCGGTTTTGCTATCGATCCCTTCTGTGATATATTACTCTCCAATCTGCTGAAGATGGCCAGTCTCACGAAGAAGATTACTGCGCAGCACTCACAAGCAACCGTTACCACAATTCTCTCACATACGTCACCGCAAGTAAGGTTGGTGACGCCACTTCTGTGGAACTCTCTGCAAGACAAGTCGATTCAGATGCGAGGGTATGTGGTCGGCCATGTCAAGACGTATATTCAGGTGCATTGTACGCGCTCAAGACACGCAGTGGAAGCTGCAGGCGGCCAGGAATTGCTTGAAAAATGCATCAAGAAAGCTTTGGTGGATCCCAACGCTGGTGTGAAGGACAGTGCTCGTCAAGCCTTCTGGGTTTTCGAGAGCGTATGGCCGGATAGGGCGAAAGCCTTGCTCGAATCCATGGATTCACTGTCAAGAAAGCAACTCGAGAAGGCGTGTCCCAATCCTGAGCACCTTGCAACGTTACCCAGTGCTTCTGCGCCGGTAACCAAGAAGAGCAGCATCGCAGCTGCGATAGCCGCAAGTAGAGCGAAGGCCAGGGCAATTGCGAATGCACCACCTACATTAATGCATCAGGCGACCTCAACGTCCCATGCAACGCGGGCAACGTCACCTCCTCACAGGCGAGCGGTCTCACCGTCGCTATCGACGGGCAGTGGTTCGGGTGGTAGCCGTTCCATATCGCCTGTAAGCCAATCACCCCACATATCCAAGTCGAGGGGCATGATCGGTACCACATCTCGCTCTGTGAACTCCAGCGTCGTCCCACTCCCTCGTTCGCGTGCGTCCCCAGGTCAACCGCCACCTGACTCACCGCCTTCGCCAACTCCAGGCGCGGGGTCCCCGCGACGGGTTTCGAACATGCTTAGCAGCAGTTCCTCTTCCTCCTTCCGACGAGCATTGCAGACTGCTCTACCGGCATCGCCCCCTACTCATGCAATCACATTCGCCGACTCCAACCCTAGGACCACACGACCTGGGCTGTCGGTTGCAGTTCCTGTTCCCCGCGAGTCTCTGACCTTAGCGGCGCTGAGTGGTATGGGTGGAGCGGATGACGAATCGCTCCTTTTGGCGACGAAGATCCCTATCCCGGAGGATAGTGATTCCGACATGGACGAATCGATGGATCTCGTTTCGTTCTCATCACCATACGAAAGGTACCCACCTGCTCCGAAATCTGATTCCCAGGCTGGATCATTCTCGCCGAAGTCAAGTGGCTCGAGGCCTGGCCCGTCAAACACGCTTTCAACATCCACGAATTCCCCGCCTGCTGGTGTTCCTCGGCCAGTCGTGGAGGATGCTCTGCGAGCACGTGCAGAGCAGGCGGAAAGTGCGGCGGAACGTCTGCTGGAACTTGTGGACCCTGAGGAAGAGAACATGCAGGTCTCACCGCTACCTCCGCCGCTGTTATTGCGAAATATTGAAAGTACCCCTACATCACACAAGAGGCCATCAGCGAGTCCAAGTAGCATTCGGGCCGCTCCAGCTCCGCCGAGGACTCCGAAGAATAAGGACTCGTCTATTCTAAGGCAAGCCGCACTGTTTCAAGATAGTCCCGCGCCGAACGGCAAACCAGGCTCCTTGTTTGATATGGTGGGCGTCAAGGATAATGCAACGGAATGGTGGACAAAGCGGACGTCGCGTAAGCATATTCTTTGAAACCCCTTCTGACCTAGAAAACTGATCTTCTGTTCGATCGGTGCAGTCATCAACATAACTAGTCCGATCTTGGGGCTTCATACCGATGGTCGCGTGCGAGAACTTGAAGAATGCATTTACGCGCTTGAACAAGATTCAGTGGATGTGCCCATACTCAAGAGCTTGACGCTTCTGTGCACCCAAAATCCAGTAGAAGAGCAGGGTTCACTCATTAACTCGGAGTTTTCCGCATCTCCCGCATCGTCACTATTTGGCGGCTCACAATCGCCGTCCCCAAATGCGGATTTGTGGACCCAAGAGAGGAGATTTGATCGACTTTTCAAAGCTCTCATCAAGTCTTTAGATCCCCGAAAGGTCAGCTCAGGCCGCAATGCCGCTGGACTGGTGTAAGCAATTTATCACTGACCTCGCCTATTCAGAAGTCAGAGATCCTCGAGTACGGCTTGATCGTACTATGGGAGATGCTGTCCAATCAGGGCCCTCTGCTTGAGGGTAAGGAGGCTGACATCTTCACGATGCTGTTGGAGATCAGGTATTCCGCTCTCGCAATCGTAAGTGGCAAAGCACCGCCCGAGATCCATATCGATTAATGAGGCTAACTTTATTTCCGCAGGTGATGCAGGCAACCAACATGTTTCGGGATGCTTTGACGAGCCAAATCGAACCCGTGTATGGGCTGACCACTCTCCATGCGAGCCTGCGTGCGTTTAGGGACGCAGCTATACCTGAAATGGCAAACATAGATGTCAGAGACGGAACGTATGCGTTCGGTCTTATCTCGATAGGCAAATTTCTCCTTCGTTTGCCAGCTGAAGTGTTGGAGGAGGAACTACCCCGTCTCCGGACAACTCTAATAACTGTAAGTGCCTCTCTACTTTAGTTGAGCATCGTCATGAACATGGATTCATCATCTTGTAGGCCCTCACAGACGTGTCATCAAGGTCTTCGCTTATGGTGCGCGAGGCCGCGGCAGCTGCCATCATCGCTGCACAACTGGTCCTTCGTGATGAGGCCCATCTGTTTGTCTTGCTGGATGGTCTTCCGGATGACAAGAAGAACCTCTTGACGTACTTGTTTGATAAGCATGGCTCCCGGAGCTCGCACGAATTCAGCGCTCCTTCTGGGATCGAGAAGCTTGAGCGCGAGATGCGGCGTCTAGACAATCGGACAAATACACCGCCGCGTTCGCAGACCGCTTTCGTGATTTGATATGACCCTGTTACGACACCTAGTATTAATTGGCATTAACCTGTATATGTCGAGCTTTCCTGTTGTCGCTTGTCCTCGCAGTTCCGACCAATCATATTCTCACGTGCATTGTCTCCCGATCTCAATTGCGGTACCCTGCAGTTTCTTTCCTACCCTGACCTTCTTAGCCATTCCGTTTGAGAGAGGCCGGCCCTACGGGATGTGATGGTTTTTACGCGTGCATCAGCTGGTCAAATGAATTCAAGCTCATCTGTGCTAATGGCAGTTAATGCTACATCCGCTTGCCCTTGTATCAGTTGATATTCGGTTTGTTTGTTCCCATCAATCGACTTGCAAAAGCTGCCAAGCGTTGTTGAAGTTTACACACATACCATTTCATATTTGCTCTCTGGATCTGCGGGCTCGCGGTGTTTGCACTGCAGACGCGAAAACCCCGAGCACGTGACCGCGTTCTCAAGTGAGCCTGCAAGTTTGACGTCAGGTATAACCTGTAATACCCTCTGGCTAAAGCTTGTGGTTGTACAAGTCGCACACGGAACTATCTATCAAATCTACGACGTGAGCTTCTGGCGGACAATCACACGCGCTAGCACTCTATAGATGTCCAGGCTGTTCTCGCGATCAGGGACTTCCTCTATGATTTCCGCCCAGCAATGGCCGAGCCGCACGGTGCTCAGCACTAGCTCAGCACACGCAAGAAACGGGCAGTCTTGCCTCTCGCGGCTACCCAAGAATTGGGAACGGAAATGTGACTACCAAGCTGCTACGCTTCTCAAGTGATGGCCCAGTTCTCCTCGTCAGCCGAAGGTTTCCCATTGATCCATCAATGATACCTGTGCGCTGGCATAGATAATGCTCACACAATCGCGGAATCTATGGCGGTGGGTGAAAGGTCGATCGCCAGAGTCTTCGGGTTCAGCGTAGATGCAATCAGTAAGGCACCATATCCCTATGATGGATGGTTCACACTACAGACTCCGTAAAGGTTGTTGGCCCGGGCCGTAGTGATCCGCACCTGGGCACAAGAAGTCGACCGCTGCTAGGTAGATCTATTTCTCTGGACGTCAGAAGGTGCTCAGAAGGTGCTCAGAAGGTGGCGACGCTCATACCGTATCCCATGCAGTGACTTCGTTCTGCCTCTTTCATACACCACCGTCGACGCTCCCTTGAACCGGCGAACACACAATGAGCTTCCTTCAAATATCCTCGCCGCGTTTTTCCCCGCCCATGGGCCGTGCTTTCTCCAACGGGCTGCCGTAGCCGGATCTGACCGGGCATACCCAGAATGTTCACCGCTAAGGACGCTGGGTTGTTGGGCGTCCACGCTGGCTGATAGTCATACGGGGATCTCACTGCAAAAGGTATGTAGTTACCAAGCAAGCTCGCGACGCCTTATATGCTGACCAGACCAGTGTGCTCCATGATGATCTCTGTCTAGCAAATTGCGCTAGCATGCCCGATTTCTCCTCGGGTCTATTCGGCGGTAGTTCGAACGTTATATCGCTGATGCTGCCACCAGCATTGTCCACTGAGGGCGTTCAAGGATCTAAGGTTGCCGTTACTTCCAAGTCATGCGGTTTCCAAGTGGTTTCAGCATCCTCCCATGAGCACGTTGCCCAACTTGACGTTGCCGCTATCTCAGACAAGAGCACGACCGGAAGCAGGCTTCATCCGATCGCGAACGTACTTCCGACGATCGAGACATCCCTGAAGCTTCCCTGCATCCTACTCGAGCATTTGAATAGAGAAGTGTTTTGTCCCCTTCTGTGGTCCGTCCTCTGCCAGCACTTGTATTCCGATCATCCACGAGTAAGTGTGCGATTGGATAATGCCAGTGGTATCGATGCACGTTGACTCAAGGGGTGCCTAGGCCTCGAATGGAGTTCGCGCCAGCTTCAGCCATACACGCCTCTTCCGACGCTCGTTTTCAGCCGTAATAAGCCTTGAAGAAATCTAGGCGAGTGAGCACAGATCTATCAATCATTGACAGTATCACCTTGATCATCATCCTCTGACCTGGCTAGGCCTGATTCTTACGTATCTTTTCTCAATGTCCTCGATGAACTGAGCGGCATTCGTAAGGACGTCAAGGACAAGATGTCAAACGTTTGTGACTGTATCAATCACCAGCGTCTCGATTCTAGGGTGCCCACGATGTGAAGGACAGTGCCTCCGTGTTCTGCACCGGATCGCCTTGCAGCGGCTCGACGGTATCTCGCGGCAAGTGCCCTCCTGCTCGGACACTCGTGGGATCCTACCACATTTTCGTGTGAACGTTCCATACCCCCAGGGTAGGCTTGCTATTACGGGTGCTGTGCTGTTCGAGGTCAGAGTTCTAGAAGATACTGTGGTAGTTTCCCCGGAAAGCCAGCTTATGAAGCATTGGGCATTGTTTCCTTTTGCTCGGGCGTGTCTGTGTTCGCTGATAGTGAGGTCCAATATCACGATCTTCTGTGTCCCATTCTACATGCTAACCGACCAACGTTCCGCGGCATGGCTATGGCGTGAAGCTCGCAATGTCCCGGCTCTCTTAGGTAACCCCACACCATGATGCTATCAGCCTTCATAGAACGACCAGCCGATGCCAAGAATGCCATGTCCCCATTTTCCAGATGTTCTGATACGTCCTCTACCTACAAATCTATCATCCATTGAAGGTTACATCACGTTTAGTAAGCGTCGTTGAAGATAAGTCGCGCAGTATCCATGCACACACTGACATGTTCGTTCTCTGTCCAGTTAATACGAGGCACCACGAGGCGTTCCAAGGGCAATCGACGGCGACGGTTCACTTTTCATAGCGTTTCACGTCACCGCAGCCGCGGCGATGGGTTACCGGTACAATGCACGAGGAGACCGCCAGAAATACGCTGCTGGCATCTGTCAGAGCACGTCATCGCGGTTCGCTTAGCGGTAGACCATCCAGATAGAAATGCGTATTTTTACGGTGCCCTGAAGATGCATAACCGGTATTTGCACGCCCCGCGAATATCCGTTCCGAACAAATCAGCATGGTCTCGACAACCTGGACGGATGGGGCTCTCGACTTTGGGAGAGGCCGTCCAACAAGCTCGCGACTAATGGGGCTCTGCCGCGGCAGATCTGCAAAAGCTGCATCAGCGTGGGTGCTTCGCAGCGCCACAAAGGTCTTGCATTTTCCTAATCGAGATGCAGAAAATGATATTGCCGAAGGTGTCAGAGGTCTCTGGTCCGCGCTTCGGGAGCATGCGTATCTGTATCGGCGGACTTCTCTCACTCAGCGGAACAAAGTTAGTGAACCATGAGCGACATATGCGCGCGGCTCTCATCATTTGACCATTTGATCTTAGTGCTGATGAAACTTTTTTTCGTGCCGGCATGGTATGTATTGTCCTTTATGGTTTGATTGCAGTGAATAAATGCACGTACCCGTTTTGGCATGGTTAGATCACTGCATTCATCTGATGAAAGGACCGGGGTACAGCAGCGATGATTCAAGGGCAGTGAATGACCTCGCACAGCTGAGCACAAGACTTTGGAGTTGAGGATGGCGCCATTTCGGAAAGTCACGGTACACGCGTACGACGGATGTCCGCAGGTGGCCGGTTTGCACATTTACAGCAAGAAAGGTCCACCCTTGCGGAAAATTCGCGCAGCGGCGACGAAGCTCTCAATTCATGAAATCGCCATTCATATGGAATTTCATAGGTCGTTCCAGGCAGTGCATTCTTGCTCAAGTAAACGTGCTGACCGGGTCGCAGCTTCTGACTGGTGAGAAGCGCATCTAGTAAGTTTCAAAGCTCGCGAAGGAAGGCTGCGATCTGATTGCATGTTCGCTAAGGCTAACGCATGGCCGGTGAATTTCTCTGTAGTTCCATGATGACCCACATCCACTAGTGAGGAATGCATAGCACTCGAACCATAAGGGAGTAAAAACTGAATGGAATGATCCGTCAAGCTTACATCCATAAGGAGGATAGACTGGATAGGGGCCCAGAGCTGATAGGTGTGAAGGGCAGCCAATAGAAGATAGCGGAGATTGCGTGAAATTATCGTCTAATCCATCCGACATCGTCTGGGACAGAAGCGCTGAACTTCGCGAACTCTACCCTGAGCATAGGGACCGTGAATGCGTGAGTGGCGATACGTGATTGCATCACTGCGACACACCTCTCGGCTATCGGCGCATGACCTCACGGGCTACTTCTCCCGCTAGAGGGGCTGAGAAGCACGAGGTCGATCACTCGACCATAAGTTGGCAGCTGGCGGACGGTGGTATCACGGCCGTGGCACTATCTGAATATGCAATAGCAATGTGTGGTTGGGTATCACCGAAGTACAGTCGCACGTATGCGGGGTATGGGGACGGAGGCAGCCCAGTAACGACATTGATAGTCAGATTGTCCGCACGGCGAACGCAACACATATGCAGATGATGGAATTCTGGGATTTACATGTGGACGTGAAGCGACGCATCTATTGATACAGAAGTAAGAAGCACTCACATTCGCATACATCTCTTGCGCCACGGCATCACTATCTTCCCAATGACACACCATGTCCGCACTGCAGGATGATGCTGTCAAGATTCGCCTGGCGGTCTCACGGCATTCGTACTCACCGGCCACCTTGTCCTAAATTTTCATTAATTTGCGTCATGACGATATACTTGCTGCATCAAGCGCTATATATCAATGGCGAGGCACCGTCTACATGGTGACGTCCACTCACAAGCCTCTCGGCTGAATCTCTACATGCAAGACGAAGATCGTGAGATCGAGGATGCCAGAGTTCGGTACATCACGCACCTATCATCCTCTCCTTGACTCGTTCACCAATCTCCTTCATCCAGCCTTTCACACGATCTCGTTCTCGTGGTTCCGGCCAAGTGGCATTCTGCAGCGTGGTCTGCAGGAGCTTCTTCATATACGCCCGCAGCAGCTCCGAGTCGAACTTCTGACGCGGCGACGGTGCATCCGAGCGAGGAGTGGAGGGAGAGCGCAGGCCTGACATTATGTTCGGGGACGGGAGCGAAGTGGCAGAGGAACCGCTGAACGCGCTGCCAACCACACGCTTCCCGTTCGGGATGTGGCCGTGACCTGCTATAATTCGGGCACGTGGCATGCTACAATGAGGATGCGTAGACGCGCGCCGGGCTATGCTATTACTCGAACACACACCCTAATACTACCTACGCCGACGCGTTGCCCGCCATGTCGTCCATCACGTTCTCCAGCCAACATACCTCAGGCTTCGGGTCGTCTGCGTCCTCCATATCAGATCGCGAACTGCATGACTACTCGTCATCGTTCGATGTCGTCCCCGATGTCTCCTTCCAAACCAACCCTCTGTCCGCCCACCCTCCTCGCTCGTCGCACCACGCCACCGGGAGTACGTCCAGCGTGTATGGAAGGGAGGTGTACAGCAATGCAGAGGAAGTTGTAGAGAAGACGCTTCCGTATGACGCGGACTCTGACTATGGGGACGACAAGGCGCGCGCGGAAGCAGAGAGTAAGGTCAGGAAGGAGGAGGTCTGGAGAGAGTTGCTCAAGACAACTAATGGTCGCGACAAAGCCCTAGTACGTCTGTTGCACGCTATCATACGCACTGCATGTCATACCACGCTTGCAGAAAGCCATGCAATACTCACTCCGGATGTATCTGCTGTTCCACTCTTCGTTCATGATGACTTCTCTGCTTAGAAGTAAGACACGGCGGCCATGGGACATTGAACTAGTGAAACGCTGTGAGTCGACGATAGGTGGCCTATCATTGACCAGGTCGGTGAAACTGCCTACGTTGCGTTTCCTTCGTTCATACTTCCGTCCAGAAAATGCCTTATTCTCTTCAACTGGCTCACTCCTTTGACATCAATATTGGCGCAGCATGATAGCGTGCCATATTCCATAGATTCCTCTGGTGCCAAGTCTAAGAGCAAACCCTTGCTGCATACATTCCTGCACACCCAGCCACCAGTCCTCCTCGAGCTGGTGAACGGCCTTTCAGATGATGTATATACCTTCGCGCGCCTGGGTCTGATCGGAAAGCGGCTAGGAGAGCGTGCAGGGCGGTTCTCCGACTGGTGCTGGTTCGTGGGCACCCTCATCGACCTCGTGGAGAATACTTTGCAGAGAAACGTAGTTAGCGGCCAGCAGCACGAAGGTCTGATACTCTTGAATCTTGATTGCAATCCTTGCGCTGTTTCTGACGGACGAGGGCATTGGGCGATGCATGAACAGTCGAGTCGCGGCTCTATACGGATTCGATGACGGGTGCGACGACCAAGTCAAATCCGAAAGCTTCGAAGATCGATGAGCAGGAGCTCGCGCGGCTTCACAGAGAAGCGTACTGGATACGCGTTTCATTCTTGAAGCTGGTAATGGACTTGATATTTGTCTGTAGGTGCCAGCGTGATGTTCGGTTCTAGCTTTCCGCTCATTGATCGATTGACAGCATACAACGTGTTCAATATGAAACGCGCCAAAAATCAGGTCCAGACATTCACCGGCCTGGCGGCCGCACTGCTCAGGTAACAGATATCTTCGCTCAACTGTTCAGGTGTTCTGACACGCCGAATCATGCAGTACCTCCAAGCTGTACGAGCGGCATAAGATGGCGTTGTTCAAAGCACCTTAGTGACATATGTGCTGCGCATCCTCTGCTTCGCTGCTATCTAGGATTTGCGATTCATCTTTCTCAGCTTCTAGAGCCTGATGTCGGTAATGTAGACTTGCTTAATATACCCACCTCCTTGGCCGGAAGACGCGTGTGAAAGCCAGCTTCATGACTGAAACGCGTTGGGACGGATCTCACTCCGTGCATGAGTGCATCACATCGTGTTCACACAGCACCCCAACCGGGATACTATCAACCGGCCTGTTGAAGCAACATTGCAGCATGTAGCAGTACCGTGTTCTGCACGTTTAGCGCTTGATGAGAAGAAAACAAGGGTGTACGTACATGTATCAGCGCTTTCACAGGGATCAAGAGATAACGCGCGGTACATCAACCCAAAAGCACCAGAATAGCCGCTCCGAAGTTCGACTCTATCGTCCCCAACGGAGCAAACTCCTCTCCGATGACTTGCCGGCGATCTCTGCGCCTTCTTTTGCCTGCTGCGCTCGCTGTAGCGTCTCGACCTCTTCTTCTAGTTGCCTCACACGTTCTCTTGCCTCGTCGAGGTATTTTTCATGCGAAAGGCTCGCTCGCAGGAGGCGTAAACCCTGCCAATGGAATTCATTGCAACCGTGCAGACAAAGATCTGGAATCATACCAGATAGACGGCAGAACCGAGGAGGGCGACGGGGATCATGCCCGGAACAAGATCGGAGTAGAACTGAGCATGGCGCGACGGGCCTGGGTGGTCAGATGCGCCGCCACTAGTGCTGTAGGGGCGCGATTGAGCAGTAAAATGGGAGCGTGATCTAGGGGCGGATGCTCGTCGCCACATGTGCAGCTGTAGACGACACGACATTCTGAGTACAAGTAGCGGTAGGAACACCGTTCCGACGAAAGAGCGCAAACGCGGGAATTCAACGCACGTGCATATGCTGTTCAAATTGTACTTTTATTCCTTAACTTGTTTTGGACCTAACGCGCGTTACTGCCGGATCGTCTGCCACCAACTAGTGAATTCCGCCGTCGTGGGTGCCTCCCAAGTTCATCTGCAACACGGAGTTCACAACATCATGGTTTGTTGTCATGCAAAACGCGTTCTCACGGGCTGATTATGCTGAACGAGGTAGAGACGGAGGTGCGGCGCGACTTCCAAGTGTGACAGCCCGCACCCTGGCTCATGCTTTCCGTGACCCTGCCGCGGACTCCAGAACCAATATCAGTACATCATTCTTCCCTCTGCACACCTCGACGTCAATCCCACCTCTCAAGCCCATTCTCCATGCCGGTCTCAATCTGGTTGACCGCCTACTCCTTGCGCCTCGCGTACGTCGATGACTAGGTTCACATCTCCACGGGCAGCATCCGTGTATCCATTCAATGTTGAAATACTGTGGCAAGTTACACTCTCGAGGCCGGCGTATTCGATGCTTGAGCCATGGCATCTTATTCATGTAAGTCTCCGTCAGGATTCAATAATACGATTGATTGATTTCGTGGATCTATCACAGAGCATGTACAATCTTTCCCACGCAACGAGCTAACTTGTACGTGAAGTTTCTGCTATCCCATGGATCTTCAAAGTAAGAATAAGCGTCGAACGGACTGGGGAGTACCGGCGCCTCCGCCTTGCGTGGGAGGTGTCAATATTTACTGTAGATTAGGCACTGCAATGTACTATTAGCCTTCCATCCAGCGGCAGGCGGACTCAGCAAACGCAGACCACGTCCAATGAGCTCGTCGTCTGTACCATCGACTCCTTCCTTCATAAACGCCTCGTGCGCATCATTATGGTCATCACTGTCGCCGTGCTCTGGATGCTCATTGTCCTCTGAAGATATGTCTTGACTCGTTTATGTAGTATAATAATGATTGGCCGCACCCTCTTTCACAACCATTTTCTTCTTGCCTTTTTTGAATCAGCAGATGGAGCATCCTTGAGCATCTCAGCAGCCTCTCCAGCTGCCCACATCATGTGTACTTGTTGCTTGAGCCATGGCAGGTTTATCATGTAGGTTTCCGTCAGATGATTGAATAGTATGATCGATTGCTATTGCAAGCCTATCAGAGAGCATGTACAACAGTTCCTACATCAAGAGCTCAACCTGTACATGAAGTTCCTGCTATCCCATGGTCCATGGATCCGTAAAGTAAGAATAAGCATCGAATGGACTGGGGGTTCTGGCATCTTTGCCTTCAGTGTGACTGTGGGAGGTGTCAATGGCATGGGCATAACAAATTTGTTGCTGCCAGGCAGTGTCTTGTTCTTTGTCACTGTTGACATTCAAGTCGATCTTCAGTATGATGTTCATATCCTGCTTTCTTGCTTCGCACTCACTCGACAGCAGTTTTGCTGCCATTGTGTCTTTTACTTAATATCCTTAGACAAAATTTCAACTCGTTCATGGAAAAGGCACCAGAAAGTGCCAGAAAGGATTACAATCAGCGCAAAACCCGGAGATCCCCACGCTTTTCGGATATAGTACCTTTCTTGGACGGAAAAAAGCTCTAAAGGGCAGTATTTGAACTTTCCTGATGTGAATAAATTGTTAAGTCCTAAACGCGTTAAGGTCAACGCGCGCGTTAAGTCCGAAACGAGTTAAGATAACGCGTTAAGAATAAAAGTACACTTTGAACAGCATACGTGCATGCCCCGGACAGCTCAACGCGTTTCGCCACCGCCACCACCATCGTTTGGTGCCAGTTGGCGGGGCGCCCTTGCCCCGGCGTGATGTGTCGGACAGAGCCCACGGCATGCACGACAAATTGAGCAGTCGCTTGCGTCTGTCTCTCGGACAACCTGCAAGCGTCAGGAGCGCGCGATGAGTGTGCCAAGCGATAAACTCATTTATAGCGAAGAAGCAGAAGGAATGGCTGTCGTCGATCAGCCTACCAACGGACCCGGCGCAGTCGGGCCTCATCAAGTGCCACAGGGCGCTCATAGACTCACTCCTCCCGTGGGAACGCTGCATGTATATCTACTACTGATCCATTCCATATACCCCCTCTCTAGGCACCCTCTTCCGAGCGTCCTCATCCCCTTCGTTTCTCCCCGTCGGCCGCACATCGCGCCGCCCAGCACGCGCAACGAGACCTCCAATTGGGCTGGTATCCAATGGACGGACCGTACTCATCACAACCTCGCTCTGGGCAATCCTCGCGTGTCCTCAATCTCTCATCAGGCTCTGCGCAAGGCCTCTCTTCATCTCCTGCGCGGCTACCCCATCCTCCATCACGATACGTACCCCTACAAGTGGTCGTCGAGAAACTAGATGAGAAGAGACCGATCGACGTGGTTGGCGCGGCTCAGCCAGCCTGTGTGGAGTGTCTCTCCGCGCTACCGCCAGTCTCCTCGTCAACACCATCATTAACTGGCTACTCCTCCTCATCGCACCACGAGCAAGCGCGGCCAGCAACATCCTACGATGCGAATGCTCACCCTCTTGCTGTCTCCAGCTGGACTGCAATCACGCCTTCGTACACGCGGCCACGAGGATTACGGATAGCTAACCTACTCAGACCCTGGGTCCCAATAATTCTGTACGCATTAACGAGTCTTGGGTTTCTGGCTGCAGTAAGCTTCTGGAAGATCCAGGTGTTTGGAGGTGAGTGTCGACACGTCCATGATGTCAGGACTCAGAAGGCTCATCCACATTCTCTAGGTCTCGATGCTCTCTCGCATTGGCTGCAGTCAGACGTCTGTCTAGGTTACGCTGTAATATTCTTCCTAATCTTCGTCACCACATTCCGTAAGTGCACTTCTCCTGTTTCAATATCTGACGGATACTCACATATCGATCCAGCTCCCGTCCCACTGTATTCCACATTCGTTATCCTATCTGGCTACACTTTCGGTCCCTGGACCGGCGCCATAATCTCCTATTGGTCTTCATTAGCTGGCGCCCTCACTGTATTCGTGCTCTCCCGCGCATTCTTCCGCGGTCATATTACGCGGTGGCTGGCCTGCACGACCACTATCAAGCGTGTAGTCAGGGCGATCGAGAAGCGCCCAAAGCTGCTCTTCCTGATCCGCCTCGCGCCCTACCCGTACAATGTCATGAACTGCCTGCTCGCGGCATCGCCGAGCCTCAGCCTCCGTACATATACCATCTGTACGGCGCTTTCGCTCTTCAAGCTCATCATCCACACCATGATCGGCAGTTCGATACATTCGTTTGCGGAATATCATGTGAAGCCCGGCGCGCAGCAGGAGGAGGAGAACATGCTCGGGCGGTACTCGACCATTGCGGGCATCGCCCTCTGCGTGGCCATCTTTGTTTACATCTCGTACATCACACGCAGAGCGGTCAACGGCGAGCTGGAGGACGAGGATGTGCTTGAATCTGCCAGCAGCGAGGAGCGCGTCGCGTTCCTCGGTGCTCAGGACAGTGAAGACATAGAGGCGCAAATGGTCGAGGTCTCAGGATTGCGCCAGCCAGAGAGCCGATAGGCTCACGGACACCCGAACTCTGGACAGTTGTGTATGATCTGTATTACGGTACATTGCGCCGCTCGTTGCTCGGCGAGCAGGCGGAGATCGGACTTGAGTAATAGCTGAAGTGCGCGGACACTTGTCGCTCTTGTACGTATAAAAGTAGGTATTTTTGTTCCCTTCTGGAAACAGGAGGCTCTTCGTCTCTCGTATGTGTACGCGGTAGATACGGTGACGATACGGGACTTCCATTCTGCACTACCGCCGTTTCTGGCGTTTCTAGGGACTTGCATGCTGCTGTAGCGTCGCAGCTTCAAAATGGAGGGCACCTTTTTTGCTGTCGAACTCTCCGGCCGAGTGAGTGGTAGTTGCCTAGTGTGGTTTAATCATAGATAAGTGAGTACGTCAGGACGAGGAGTCGGCTGCGGAGTCGATAGAATGGTTGTGCGTCTCATGACTTTCGGTGGGAATGCTGAGAACAGCTGAAGTCAGGTGTGCGTAGGGCCAGAAATCTATAGAGGCAAGCTGACCGTCTGTATACATTGGCACCCCCACTAACTCGTATTAGGACATCGAGTTACGTGCGATGACGAGGCGATAATCATCACAAATTACATCGCATTATCGCACAATATGTGATTGAGTTCAGGCCTGTCGCAGAGCAGAGCCGAACAACAGGAAGGCTGTGACAGACGATAAATATGCACGATATGGCACATACTAGGGCCAAACGAGGAAGAGTGGGCAGCGAAGGAGCGGAACAACCGCTGAAAATGTGGTCAATGGAAAACGCGAATCAGAAAGAACCGGCATGGCAGTGAAATAGCCTGATCAAGCCTCTCGGATTGACGCTTCGCGAGAAGACGACTGATTTGCGCTAACACCATGACCGTCGCTGAGAACACCGGAGAAGATGGGACGGGGTTTCTCGGTGTTACAGACTAGGCATGACTCTGTGTTGCAGAACATCTGCGACCGTAGCGCTGGTGCGTCCAACACTAACGATCGGAACGCTGGAGATGTCTTGATGATGAATAGATAGGAAGCAGAGCGGCCACACGTTGACGGAAAGATCGCGCCAAGGAAACATCAATTCCCGGTCGAGCGTTCGCGATCTCAATTCACATCTACAGGGAAGGATATATTAGCACTTCCGATATGCACCCTCGCGCTCACCACACAGCCTTCAGGATGCATCCGATAGGAACGATGGAAATCACCGCCGCGGCGTCTTGGTGGATGATAGAACTTCACAATAAACGCCGCGAGCAATCCAGTCACGAATGTCTTAATGAGAGATACACGGTAGGGATACAACGGTCTTCCACGGGCAATAGCACCAACGCACTCTACTTGTGATCGGAATGTCCCAACGACTTGCCTGGCTGGATCCGGTCGCGAATGCGCTGCTTCTAAAAGACACAACAGCGTTCGTGCGGTCAGTATCGACATTATTCCTCGGGAATCACAGCACTGAAGCGCGGAGACGCACTAGAACCTTCAACTCTGGGAACCCGCCCTCGTCTTTCCTGTCCCATACTAGGATCGGCGGTTGGTCATCCAATATAAGCCACACGCGGAATCGGCCTCCCGTCTCTTCTGAATTCAAAGGGACGAGTGTTATCGCTTTGAGCGCTGGTGTTGGGAATGTCAAGAATAACTCGGTGGAAACCCAAGTGGCTCGGTGAAGCCTATTATGAGTCCGTTCTAAGCATCGCAAACTCCCGAGCCTATGAAGAGCGCCGCTCACCAGCGACACTGTGAGCAAGGCGTGTGATTGCAGCTCAGTACGAAATCTAGGGTCGAGAAGTTGAAAGCATACTCTGTCGCAGAACTCGATAGTGACGTTCGGAGTCGACGGATCCACTGGCAACTTGGGATCCTGCACTTTCGTTGGGGGCGCCTGAGTTGGTTTTGTGGTGCTGTCTACAGGAGCGCAATCTGTGCAGGTCTCCTGGGTAGCCATTCCGCTTGCTAGAGCTTCACCTGCGGACTGGTAGCTTCGTGCAGAAACATATGTCATCTGGATGGAGAGTTGCAAGTGTGGCGCAATAGTTCGCCCTAGGCGCTCGTCGCATTATGGACACGCCCACGTGATCAAAGCGAAAAGCGCGCTCGCATGTGCGATACGCGTCGTTTCCTCCCCCCAGCCGCATCTCCCCTTCAGCTTGCGGCGCGGACGTGTGGCCATCCGTTCTTGACCAACACTCAGGATTTGCATTTTACAATGCTCGCTGTGGGTCCCGGTCAAGAGCAAGACTTCCAAATGGCAACGGATTCGCCCGGTCCTGCAAAGAGTACCATACAATGGCCTGTACACAGTACGTCCGAGCCACCTTTGCTCCGGACTCATCTAACGTGAATTCTATACCGGAAGTCGAAGTACGGGTCTCCCCAACTGCTACGTCGCGCTTTGACACGATCCGTAACACCGTGCATGACTACCTCACCTCCTCCCTCACGCATATCTACTTACCTTCTACCATCCAAGGATGGGAGGATGTGCCCCTCCTTGCATCTTCCGTGACCCGCATTGCTGCCTCAGAGTCTCCGTGTCCTTCACCATCTCTGCCCATAGAAGAGACATCCCTGCAAATTCACGTCTATCAGCCGTCCGATGCCGATGCTTTCGAGGAGTTCGCTAGTGGAAGTAGGGGTGACGGTGAAGAAGTCATGGCGGCTAGTGTATGCGAGCTACCAAGCATGGCGTGGGAAGGCCTGTGGGAGAGCCTGATATATACTGACGACATCAAGTCCAAGCTGCTCGACTACATCTATGCGACAGTCGTCTTCAGTGACGCCGATGTCGACTGTGAGTTAAAGTTTCGTTGCAGCTCAGGTCCAAAAGGTTAACTTTTCATTTTGCAGTCAACGTTGTCTCATGGAACAGAGTGGTTCTGCTACACGGTCCCCCAGGTACCGGCAAAACATCCCTTTGCCGCGCCCTCGCACAAAAGCTCTCAATCCGCTTATCGCATAGGTACATACCTCCAACTGCAAATGCCGGCTACACTAACCTTGCTTCCTACGTTGCGCTCCTCCCAGATACCCGCACTCACGTTTACTCGAAATCAACTCTCATTCACTCTTCTCGCGCTGGTTCTCAGAGTCTGGCAAGCTCGTACAGAGACTATTTAGCAGTGTGATGGAGATGGTTGAAGATGAGGATGCCTTCGTCGTCGTGCTGATTGGTACGTGTTCTGCTTGTGAATGAAGTGTACATCTTATTAACATGCATACTAGACGAAGTAGAATCTTTGACAGCAGCCCGAGCGGGTGCAATGGCTGGAACAGAACCGTCCGATGCTCTTCGTGTGGGTATCCTTCTTCGTCATGAGCACGACATCCATGATATCGAGACGAACACTAATGTCCATATACAATCAGGTCGTCAATGCTTTGCTCACACAGTTGGACAAGCTCAAGCACAAGAAGAATGTCCTCGTCATGTCAACCAGTAATTTAGCGAAGGCAATCGGTACGTATAGATAGTACTGTCCACATAACCCAGCTTGCTCATCAGCACATCGCATACAACAGACTCGGCATTTGTTGACCGGGCAGACATCATCCAATACGTCGACCTTCCACCTAGAGAGGCAATCTACGAGATCCTTAGAACATGCTTGGTGGAATTGACCCGAAAGCATATCGTGTCAAACATCGTGCGCATAATCTCTGCAACTGTTCTCATCTTAGCTCACAGTCTTTGGATGATGGTCATGTTCCTCAGGATGTCCCGAGCTTGGCACAAGCACAGCTCTATGAACGGACAGTTGACTTTCCCCGGACATCAATGCTTGCAGCGGCTCTGCCTCCACATCCATCGGGCAGCCAGTCGAATGCCAAGGCGAACTTTACCCCATCATCTCAGCTTTCGCAGCATCTTTCACAAAGCAGTGGGGCCTTCCAAACATCTGATCCCAGAGAGCGATCACGAAATGTAGCACTACGGCTTCTCGCTTTGTCGGAACGATGTCGGGTGCGTGAATCACAGTAGCGCATATATTAGTTTTCCGACGCTCACGCTGATTCTTCATGCAGATCCAGGGTATGTCAGGTCGCTCTCTCAGACGCCTTCCGGTGCTCGCGCATGCGCGGTATATCGGGGCTCTCCCCATGCTAGCTCCGAAACGTCCAGACCCTCAGGCGAACGGAGCTTCGTCTAAGATAAAGAAAGGCTTAGCGGACGAACGCCAGGCTACAAGCACAGAGGTTGAGGTCTGGCTGGATGCGATGGAGCGTGTCATCGAAACACAGGGTGCAGAGAAGGATCGGTTTCATCATTGACACGCCATAGGCGGAATGATTATGGTGTTAACTTATTTGGGGCCTTTTCTACTGCTCTTGGTCCATTGTACGCTACAGAAAACGGGGTAAATGCGATGCATGTGAGCCATGAAAAGTATGATATGATTGATGGTGGTGGCCCTCGGATACGACACGAGCGCTTAAGACGTGCTTCAGCTTCTCTCCTCAGCCACCACACTAACTGTTGCGCTTGCTGCAGTAATGGCCTACGTCTCGATTGAATCCGATGATGTGAGCTATACCCCGAACTTTTGTTAGTCTAGGTCCTCATTGTATTGACGGTAGTCTCCTCCATAGCGCATGGAAGAGGGTCCGGAAGGACTCCAGTTCCAATGTGTGTTACGACATTGAATTGTGAATGCACGCTTGTGAACTCATATGCGTGCTCGATGTTTTCTGCCAGCGTTTCTTGACTCAGATAATCATGCTGCAAATGAGGGTGGTAGCGGAGGGACCAACACCGGTAGAGGTACGACGTCCTGTAGTCTCATGCACACCGTCGGATGAACGCATACAGGATACATACCAGACCGCGGTTCGTCTGGACGTTCTGGATTTTGGACATTAGAGGCCTACCAGCATCATTTCGATGTGGACACCAAAACTGTTCGTGCGATCCGTCCTCAGCTTTGCAAACCGCCTTGCTGATCTCTATCCGCCATTACAGGTCCTTCAACGCTGTTACATGACGATGTTCCCGCCCGCCGCGCCGTCCTACCTCTCAACATACCTTTCACCCAGCGCAGACCTCTACGGTCCTTTCTGGACGCTAACGACGCTCATCTTCTCCCTTTTCGTGTGCTCATCCCTAGCATCCGCCATCGCTGCATGGCTCTCCAATCCCGACGCGGCCGCATCCATCGCGTACGACTTTGGCCTGATATTCACAGCGACGGCGCTGGTATACGCGTACGGCATTGCCTTGCCGGTGCTGCTATGGTTCGCGCTGAGGTATCTTGGGGTCGGTGAGTGGGGCATTACGGAGGCGGTAGCGGTATGGGGATACGGGCAGTTTGTGTGGATACCCGTGACGGTGGGCTATTATGATGGCAGACGGTGAGCTCGTGCTGAAGTGTTCTTATTGATTATCAGGTGCTGTGTGTCATCCCTGTACCGCTCGTGCGTTGGGTTCTCGTCGGGATTGCATTCCTCCTTTCAGGATACTTCCTAGTGGCGAATGTATACCCAGTACTAGCATCAGTACGTCGGTTGATGCTGTGGTTTTGTTTCAATACTGACACGATTGTTGTGCTCTGCAGGCGGATGCCAAGCCAGTGCGCCTCATAATCATTCTACTCGTCATTCTGCACGCGGGGCTTGCGCTGAGCTTCAAGGTCTTGTTCTTCAGCTACTACGCTGTAAAAGAGATCGGTGTGCCGGATCCCATCCCCGCGTAGAATACACATCTTGTGCCAGTGAGAGGGTGTCAATTACTGTCCATCCTTGCTAAGTTCAAGAGTCCTTCGCACGTTGCTTGTTGACATAGGCATATTGTATTTCAATGGATTGGCATATGTTCAATACTGCGAATTATTCTAAGATATGCCCCCGGTAACTAGACGACCCCTACTCTGTGCCCAGAAGTGCATAGGTATTGTGCACACCAGCAATACAGGATTATGCATAAGTGGCTGCGCATCGATATCATGGGGTAGACAATGCAAACACTGCAGACAATCGCCCACTGTACCCAGATCACCTCCGGAGCATCATCCAGCAATAGTATGCAATCCCACTGAGGATCCCACCCACATGGCCGGCGGTATCCATTTGTCCACCCTGCATTGCATTAGCAGCAGGATATCAGCGAGTGGACGGCCGCATCCACGCTTGAACTCACCGTATGTGTAAGAGTACTGGAGCCATCCCAGAGGAAGATCCCTGTGACGAATAGCCATGCGGGTAAGGGAATCATGCCAAACAAGTAAAGTGTTGCCTTCGGAGCAACACAGGCGAAAAAAGCTATAATGGCGTATATTGCGCCTGCGTAGCAGCAGTAAGTCAAGAGTACCACTGTGGGAAGCCGTGGGATGTACGTACCGCTCGCGCCACGTGAAGCATAATGAGACGGCTTCTTCTCAATGGCATGGTTCCATTGCAGGCTTATAAGACTTGCTAACATACCAGCTATGAAGTGGGGCACATCAGTATTAATCCAGTAAGGTTGGCCGAGATTTACGACCTACCACCCAGGTAGAACACCAGGAATTTGCCGTTGTGAAGTATCCGCAGAACCGCAGGTGCCATGAAGTAGAGCGAGAAGGCGTTCACAAACAAGTGTGTGATGTCTCCATGCGAGAAGCACGCTGTCACTAGCGTCCATCTTGAATGAAGTATCAGCAGAACGGTCATCGATAGCATTACGTAAGACCACGAACAGACGACCGGCACTGAAATTCTCGTAGCTAACGAGAAAGTTCCTAGCCATGTACAAATATTGTCGAGGGTCTCCGGTTGCTTTCTAACGACAGGATGATTTGGTCAGCGATTGAGCACAGCATAAGCGCAAAGAATGAGCGGACACGCACATACTGAGCCACAGCTGCGTTCCACATGACAAAAACAATGCCGTTCAGCCCTAGAATCCCCCACAGGATCCATCGGTGTGGCACGGAGTCTACCATTCGACAGAAGCGCTGCCATGCACTCTCGCGACCTGATGGCCGGCGCGGTCCGCGCGGTTTGCTTCGGCTGAGGAGTTTCGAGTCTCGATGTGTTGCATTCCATGCTCGATTGGCCATGAATTGCAGGACAGATGAAAATGGTTTCCTAAACTCCGGGACAGGGATACGTTGCGCCGTTGCGGGATGCCATGCGCGCGGGGGAAAGCATGCCAATGTTGTTAGATTCACCGACGAGGAAAAAACGCGTGCACTGCAGTTGCGACTGACACCAGCCCTTATTGTGAATGGAGGTGAACGGAAGGCGGCAGAAATGTTTCTCAAAAATAAGCCTGCGTTCATCTCAGAAGGATGGTGGCGGAGCTTGGGAAACAAATTTGTGGCCTCTGACACCACGTGCGGATCGATCACCGAAACGCATCTCGTGGATGTGGCTGAGCCTGCTTGCATTCCTCGCCACCAACCAAGACTCGATACTGCACTTTCTCGGCAACGCACGCGACAATGTCGCACCATCTGTTCCTGCTTTCTCCATCAGATACCCCTCTCTACAGCCTGACACATTATTCATCGAAGCCCGCGCAATCGTCACTGAGTTCACCTTTGGCATCCAATCTACCCAGTTGGTCAACGTCTGCTTTCGCGGGCACCTTGACCGCTCTATCAGGAGCAACTAGTGCGACACAAGCACATCATGCTCAAGGAAGCACTGTCAGAATTGGTGGTGGACAAGATAGGCACGTCATACAAATGATCGCCAACGCGAGCCTAGATGTTATTGAGGAGGTGGTGCGCAAGGAAAACGTGATGTTGGTATCCACCTCGCCTATGCCCATCTGCCTGATTATCACAACACTTGATTCATGGGCAGACGAATCACAGGTACCTGAAGTCCGTGGACAAGTTCAATGAATGGACCGTGTCCGCGTTCGTGACACCAGGAAGTGAGAACTCGCCGTCGCCGGCTTCGAGATGATTCGATGTTGATTTGAGCAGACATGAAGTTTGTGTTGCTGCACGAAGGACGCAACGACGACGGCATCAAAGCATTATTTATCGAGGTCTGGGAGCTGTACGTGAAAGTGAGCATCGCGTGTCATCTAACGGTGTCCGAGGTCGATGTCTTTCGTTGTCAGACCATGCTCAATCCCTTCCATACTGCTCACACACCTATCCGGAGCCCTGTTTTCGACGCAAAGGTCAGAGCCAGCGCGAAGAAATATCTGTGAGCTCGGCGAGGATGGGCTCTGAGGAAAGGCCGTATCTGGACCGCCGGAGACTGTAGCTGACGATAGCGCGAGCGCCTCTGCTCCAATTGTCCTCGGGACCGTCAACGCCAGACGCCAGGAATGCTGCGGCCGTCGCGTTGTGTCTTACAGATCATGGAGGTGTACGGAGTAGATACCTGTTTTCTAGTCAGTGTAATAGATCCACCACGACCATGATGTATGAGCAATAGCGTCTCGAAAATCGAAAAGAGAGTCCGAGGAACGATCAGGCTCTCATGATCTGGAACAGTGTCCGGGGTCTCTGTCAGCCGATGGCGATACTTGGGCGTGGACTCGCTCTTTTGATCTTCGTCGTCTCTCTCTTTATTACCTCTCGGTGGTCCTTTTCCCCTTTGTCTCGGTCTGTCTCTCTCTGTCTGTGTTCGTCTTAGGATATATAGCTCTCTACATCTTATACTCGCAAAATTCCAATCCTCCTCACTTCTTTCCTAATTGCCATCTCGGCATTCCACTTCGCAGACCTCCCCCGCAGCCTTGACAATCATCTCCACCGGTGGCATACCGCTCTAGAGAGGGATTGACGCATCCATTCTACCTCTGATAGTTGCAAGCTCCGTTCTGAGTCCTCATCAGGTGAGAATACCTCATTGTCCATGAGCCGACAGGAGTTGCCTATCTGACACAATCGGAACCACCTTGGTCCCATCTCTACCACTATCTGCAGTTGTATTCATTTTCCCTCCTCTGGATCGACCCGCATCTCGCCCGTAATTTCTTCTCATTCGATACCACCATTCCTGCTTGCTCCGACTGGCATAACCATGGCTACCGCACCTGCTCCCAACCCTCGTGCTTCCCTCCTCTCTGGTCTTCGCACGGGAGGCGTTCGCTCGTCATCAGGCAATGTGCCGCTGACTGCCGCCCCCGGTGCTACGTTCAACGTTCCCCGCGTTATGTCTCCGCCTACCAATCAAGCATACTACCCATCGGAAGAAGAAGACGAATTGACCAACATGATGGCGCAGAACCTGTACATTAGGAACAACGCTGCCCGTGTCCAACGACATCCGATGACCGCTGCCGTGGACGGCGTTGCTGGCAGGTTTGCCCAGCAGCAGGCAATGGGCGTGAACATTGGCATGAACTACCCGATGGCGGCAATTCCGGCCCAGGCTCAGTTGCAAGCTCTGCAGCTGCAGATGGTACAAATGGAGATAGCTAGGCTTCAGGTCAGATAAACATCAAACCTGCCATGTCATTCGTAATACTGATCACAATGCGTAGACTCTACAAGCTCAGCAGACTTTACAGGCGCAGCAGCAGTATCAAGCTGAGCTGCTCGCGCAGGCACAGGCGCAGGCTTTTCGTCAACGCCAGGCTCAGCAACCGTTGCGCCGCAGCACTGCCGGCTTTGTGACACCAGCCTCTGCCGCCCCTGCACAGACTTCTTTTGACTTGCGGGCTGCAACAGCAAGTGCGCAGACGCGTCGTTCCAACCAGGCGGAACAACTGCGTGCTAGGCTCGGAGTTGGGGCTGACAATCATATGCCCATGACTGCTGCTATTGGCGGGAAGTTTGGTAGTAGGATGACGCCTGCTCGTTACGAGTCGGACGAGGACGACTTCGCACCGACCAGCGTGAAGGCACAATCTTCAAATTTCACAACGGTCATCAGTGGTGGAACCCCCCTGGGCAGTCCTGCGCTTAGCAGCCCCAACCCGAACGCCCATGGTTCCGTTCCGTCAAAATCCGACGCTGCTGTGTCATGGAGGCGTGGTGCTGTTAACAACTCGGTCCTAAGCGGCGCCCGTGCAACGTCCTCTCCGTTGGTCAAGATTACTCCTCCCCCAGCTGAGCCGTCGTCTCCTCCCTCGGGACCTGCCACGGCGAGAGCGCGACCGCTCCCCCTGCAGCTGAAGGTTGCTTCACAGCCATTGCCTGGCACCGTCGCCGTCGATAGCTCTGATGGTGTAGATGGTGAAGATTCCTCGTCGGTCTCGTCCAAATCGAATTCGTCTCCTAGCACTCCCCACACCGCCACGTCCAGCGACGGGGTTCCGCTGTCGCCCCGCGAGGAAGCCGTCAAGAAGCTCTACGAGGGCCTTGGTATTGGACGAGGCGGACCTGCTATTGCCGTTGCTGAACCTCAGGACTCTCCAGCCGTCATGCAGAGGCTTGTCAGCCAGCCGACGCGCCAGCCACGCGGACCGCCGTCGAGCCATGACGAGCTACTTCCAAAGAACTTTGCCACTCGGAACAGGAGGAAGGCCATCGGAGCCCTCGGAGCCCTGATGGACGCTCGCGAGAAACGCGAGCTCGTCGAATGCTTTTGAAATGCGCTGCTAGCTAGCGCCATGCGAAACTGTACGATAAGCCTGTTGACGAATACCAGCCCACTTTCCTTTCCGCTCGGCCGTCAATAGCTCAACACCTTCCACACCTTCCACTGCTGCGTCTCAGCCGTTATATATTATTTACGTGCGTATGCTGAATCGGACACATCGTGCTCGCGCAGATACGCCGTATCGTCTCCTTCCTTAACCATCTTCCCCTTTTTCCAGTCCGCTCGCCGTGATTGGCATTCGCTCCTCATACGCCAGGCGCCAATGGCGATCCCATTCACCACTTCTCGTGATACATTACGAGCGAGGTGCAAGACTGTTGCATGATCCTGCGCGGGATCAGCGTAGGGAAGCGGCGCTTCCCCTGGTCGAGAAAAATCCAGGTTGATAATTGCTGAGGAGGGGACATTCTCTCAGTGACAGGAGCTCTACCTCATCAGGATTTGGCGTTGCGTTTGTATCCTGTACACATTCATGCAATTAAGTCGCCTTTGCCCAGGTCAGAACCATTTCACGGTTAAGCGATAAAATCTGATCGGTGATCAATATATCATGGTCTGATCCAAGTTGATCACGCCCTATGTCAGGGAGTTAGGATACGTGATTCTGCTGGCCAGATCAACAGACACGGCCATGATGAGGCTGTCCGTGACGCTGTTTCAGATCTTGCGGCGACCCGTAGTAACCTGGTGCTCTTCGAAGCAAACGCAGACTGCACAACTGCATGTGCAGCAAGAGATAGTTTTCTTATTTGCAACGTTGCCCGACAATAGCCTTGCCGTGTTCCTGTTGGTGCGATGATTATGAGCGTGCTCACTGCAGGAACCAGCATCGAGACCTACCTGCCACTCCTCCTTGCTGATCCATAATTGATGGAACGTGCCCAGACTAGCAAGGATACTGCCGCCCAGCCAGCCGCCGAACCGCCGTTCTGTAGGGTTTCCGGGGGCATGTATCTTGGCCTGAAAATGAAAAAAGAGCAGCGAATAGTTCAGCAAGTTTCAAAAATGCATGCGTGAATGTGGCTTACATGAGGGAATTGTCTTGTCAGCTCGTTCTGTAAGCGATCTACAATACCGGAGAACAAGCTTCCTCCGCCTGTCAGGACAACATTGCCCATGAGCACCTGCCGAATTTCCACGTCGCAAGCGTTGAGGGAGCTGGCTATTAGGGCAGGAATGGTTTTGGGAAGGTTCGGATTTGTGGCCTGAAGATGGATGAGCAATTCCCTGATAGCGAGATGTCAAGACGAGATAGTCAACGCACCATGAGTTGGGGAGAATGCGTGAAGAAATATTCGCCGACACTGTAGCGTTCAATGCCCGTGAAGGAAAAATTGTACCCTGTCGGAAATTCGTAGTGTCTTGCTCCTCGTAGATTCGCCGCTCTGCAGGTTCAGCTGTATCGCATCCTTTTCCTGTAGACGAATAATGAGTAACTCACTGTTCGTTCCAACCCTGGTCGAGCACGCCTGCTACACTCTGCATCCATTCGTCCACTTCCTTCGCTTCGCTCCAGAGCCTCCAGCTTTCCGTCGTGCCTGCTATGCGATCTTGACGAAGCTCGAACTTTGGTGGCAACCCAACGTCCACAGGCTTCGCGCAAACGTTATTGAACTGAACTGAACGATGAAGAACAAATTAATGACTTGCCTGTCTGTTGGCGATGAGTTGATGTGAATATAGTTGAATGGCAGGACGTCCGACTCTGGGGCTCGACGTGGTCAGCAAATGTTTCGCATGCGCGTGGACGAACTGTGGTAATGCTGAATGTGTTAGGCCTGACGTTGCGTGTCAGCATGCACCCGAGGTTAGACATTTGGAAAGGGTACCTCGTCTCATGACGAAACCGTCGATCACAGGTGCCACACTCGCTGTTGAACTGCCTATGTCGATAACAAACGCAGAACCTTTGCCTGCGGCAAAGCTGTAAAACATCTCAATGTTCGCTGGTATGCTGTAAAAGACATTGAGGACACGCACGCATTCAACACGCCCGTGTTTGAGATGTAGAACGCGGGGACGTTGAATTCCTCGAACATGATCTCAGCCATTCGTTCCCGGTTTGCTGGAGTATTCCATGCAGGCTCGGTAACAAGAATCGGGTGTTCGGAAGGGCTACAACGCATCACAACTTCAAGCGCATGGGAAATCAGAGCGGGTATAGGCTCGAAGTCCGTGACTAGCAGCGTGGGGTTAGCAGTACTGCACGGAGTAAGGCTGGTAGTCGAGGCGTACTGAGTCCATTCTGCACGGGATTCGCAACTTGCATATTCTCGCGCCACATAGATGGGCCATTCTGTCCGATATAAAGCTTCGCCTTTTTCTTGGCAGGGTTTCTGTTTGCTGCTTCGCCATTCTCCCCTGCACCGGCTTCTCCCATTGCGACGTCACCGTCTCCAGTCGTACCCTCGGGTTGGGTTTCGCTTGACTCTTCAATGAAGCCATACGCCGTGGGGATTATTGCTTTGGGTGTGTCGTCACCTGCATATCCCGCGCGTACGGAGGACGTTCCGATGTCCACTACGAGTGCAGAGACCTCGTCTACATGCGAAGTTGTCAGGACGCATTAGATACCAGCGGCGATTCCACCAACCTCCACCGTATTGCACCATTTTGCAGGAGGAAGGATACACGTAGGTGAGACTGTTCCGACAGGCAATTGAAGTCGAGCGCGACGCGTCGCTGAGAGTGAAACGCGCGACGTTCAGTACCGATCTGATCTCGCACCACGTGGTCCTTGATCAGGAAATTTCGCCCATGCACATTGCACAAGTCCATTTTCAGTGCCTCTCAGTGCTCACTGCTCTCCAGGTTCCGCTCTGTCTACGGTCTGCTAAGTTGGCCTAGCCTACTTCTCTCTTCCTGCTCTGTTCCATGGGTCCCGCGGAACTGAACAAGAAAAACAAAAAGCGCAAAGCAGCCGAAGACGAGGCTCCGGCGCCGTCCTCATTCCTTCATGACGTTGGTTTGGACATGCACAGTGAGGACGAGGGTGAAGGTGGGGAAGAAGGTAGCACAGATGATGACGAAGCGGATGAGTTTCCAGAGATTGACACCAGAAGCGACAGCGAAGAAGACGCTGACAGTGTTGGGGAGGACGAGGCGGATAGTGAAGACGAGGAGAAAGGTGACGACGATGAGGACGACGACGAGGAAGAGGATGAAGAGGAAGAGCAGTCAGAAATTGATACGGAGGATGATGACTTGCATATATACCCCAAGCCAAAGACTATCATTTCAGACATTACTGGCCAGCCTAAGCGAGTCTACCCCGAGATCGAGCCGGACTACGATTCAGACTCATCCACGGAAGATGTACGTATGCAGTTCACGACATATTGCTTTTACGCTAATATCAACTTTTTTTGCGTGGGCTTATCAGACTCCAAACCGCGTCGGCAACATACCCATGCATTGGTACGACGATCTACCACATGTAGGCTACGATATTAACGGCAAGAAGGTCCTACATCCCGCCCGTGGTGATGAGCTGGACAAGTTCCTCGAGACAGTAGAAGACCCCTCGGCCTGGTATGTTCATTTGCATTCATATCCAAGGCGGCACCTAATGCTCGGGCTCAGGACCACCGCATTTGACAAGAATACTCAGATGGACAAGCCTCTCACACCTGAGGAGTTGGACCTGATCAGGAGACTTCAACAGCACGAGGTGCCAGATGCTGGGTATGATCCGTACGAACCGACCGTGGAATGGTTCACTGGCAAGGGCAAGGAAGAGGTGATGCCGCTCTCAGGTGCCCCAGAACCCAAGCGCAGATGGGTACCCAGTAAATGGGAGAAACAGAAAGTAACTCTATTGTCCCAGAGCATTGATGATCGCTCTGAACTCCACTATGTAGATCATGAAAATTGTTCGTGCCATTCGTCAAGGCCGGATCGTCCCCAACAAGCCCAAGACAGCCTCCAACCAGCCCCAGGTTTACGCAATCTGGGACGACGAGCCGTCGAACCAGCCTGCACCTCTCCCTGCACCCAAGCCCCGTCTTCCCACTCACGCCGAGTCCTATAACCCGCCGGAAGAGTACCTGCCTACCGAAGACGAGCGGAAGCAATGGGAGGAGACTGACAAGGAGGATCGTGAACGCGACTTCCTACCGCAGAAGTACAAGGCTCTGCGCTTGGTCCCGGCCTACGACCAATTCATCCAGGAGCGCTTCAGCCGGCAACTGGATTTGTACTTGGCACCTCGCATTCAGCGAGTGAAGCTGCAGATTGACCCGAACAGCCTCATCCCGAAGCTGCCCAGCCCCAGCAGCCTCAAACCATTCCCGATGTACAAGTCACTGCAGGTGCCGCATGAAAGGCATCGTGTGAGAGCGATCAGTGTCAGCCCGGATGGTGCTTGGGTCGTGAGCGGTGATGAGAGTGGAATCATTCGGCTGTGGGAAATTATCGTTGGCAAGGAGGTCAAGCGATGGAAGTTCCAAGGCAAGGTCGGTGCTGTGGAGTGGTGCCCAAGAACGGACGTCAGCTTCTTCATTGTATCAATGTGAGTTGGGCCGTTTCAGATGTTTGTTGGCATGGTGCTTAATGTATTGTGTCCTGTATGCAGCGAAGAGCAACTGCACTTCCTCATACCGCCCAATCTCCCCGCCACCATTCTCACCGCCACCCAGTCACTGCTTGCCCCCGCCACTCTTCCTCCGGCACCAGTGACACCATCACCTGTCAAATGGACGTCGACTGCGGCCACCGCTTCTTCCTCCGATTCGCCCATCCTCATTATCAGCCTGCCGTCCAACTCGGGAATACCAAAACAAATCGCATTCCACCGCAAGGGAGACTACATGTCTACCGTTGGTGAGTAGACTCATCTATCGTATTTAATTCTTACATCACGTCTAATTGTTCTCCCAGCGAGCGGCGAAGGTGCTGGTGGAGTATGGATACACCAGCTTTCTCGCAGGCACTCGCAAGCGCCCTTCCGAAAAGTCAAAGGTTCTATTCAGCTGGTGCTCTTCCACCCAACGAAGCCGCATTTCTTCGTTGCCGTAAGTCACTGCGAGCACATCAAATTCTAGATAGCCTAACCGAGCGTCTTATCTCTCACAGACCCAGCGTTATGTACGGATGTACAACCTTGCGGAGCAGAAGCTGCTCAAGACGCTATCTCCCGGGATTCAGTGGATCTCTTCGATAGATGTGCACCCATCGGGAGACCACTTGATCGTGGGCGGCTACGATCGAAAACTGTGCTGGTTCGACCTCGAGCTCAGCGACAAGCCGTACAAAATCCTCCGGTAAGTGCAACTGCCTTGCCATTGTCGTCGGAATCAACCGTATCCCCATTGGGCATTGTGCTTTCTGGGATTCCTTTACTCCGTTCTGATGCGCTCATCACATAACTGTCGCCAGGTACCACACGCGGGCGATTCGCTCTGTGCACTTCCATCCGACGTATCCATTGTTCGCTTCCTCCTCGGACGACGGGTCGATACAGGTGTTCCATGCGCGCGTGTACAACGACCTCATGACGAATCCTCTGATTGTGCCCCTGAAAATTCTCCGCGGACACGATGTCAAGGAGGGGCTGGGAGTGCTGCAGGTGAGGTGGTGCCCCCGGCAGCCATGGCTGGTAAGTGCGGGTGCGGATGGGCAGGCTGCAGTCTGGTGCAGTTGATAGGTATGGGTCGTTCTGTGGATGTATGTCGTGTGTGTTTCCACTATACAACCCGTGGCGACGCTGCTGCTTTCTTGAAGACCTCACAGTTTAGTCGTCTGCGAACGTTTGACATGTCAAACGGATCGGTGTGATCATTTCCGCAGCAAATGGAGACAGGCTTCAAGAACTTGCGCTCAAATGGAAGACAATTAAGCGCCACAACTTCTGCGGTTGATTTTCGACCGAGTCACTTCAACCACAGCGCTTACGGTCGGTGCTGTTGACGCTATGCGGCCCGTCGGAAAAAGCATGCGTACGACAGCCGTGCGGAGACAGGGTCGCCGAAACGGGTGCACGTATGGCTTGTTTGGCAGCAACGCGATTAATGCGGCGCAGCACAGCTCGCAAATTGTTTTTATTTCGACCAATAGAGAGAAGCTATTGGCACGGGACAGTTTCAAAGAGTGCAACTATTGCCAACGAGGTGGCGCTTGGTTGTGGCGACTTAGAGTTGTTCGGGTACGCCTTGATGAAACGACGGCGGATCGTGTTCGTGCTCGTGGTTAAGACTCGATCTTTGCTGTGAGTAGTCTGTTCCGTGATCTCTCTGCGCCCACTTACGTACTTGGTAGATAATAAGCTGAATGGGTGCAGATTTCTGCCATGTGCCTGTGTACCCCGGATGAAGATGGCTTCCGTACCAAGGCGCTATATAATACCACACAGCTTATCGCACTGAATGAGCTTCCATGTTCTCGGAACCTTGGCTGCACGGAAAGCGAGCGCATCCGACAGTGGCGGAGGAAGAGTGCGTAGGCGCTGGGTGTATAAGCTTCCGTCACAGCACATGCCCGGCAGCTTAATCGCAGATGAGTCGCGGGCCAAAATCGACGATCAACGTGTTCTGACCCTTAACGCGGCTATTTGTCTCGAGCAGCTGCGCACTCGAACCTACGCAACTCAATCGCGATAGTGGTGAATGCTTCGGGTTCGCATGATGAAAATGCAATAAACATTGCTTCGGCGACATCAGCAGCTGCTCCGACAGGGGCGGAATAGAAGGGAGAAGCAGTGGCGTGTCTCTGCAATTCGTAGGGATGTAACGTAACTAGAGCCTTCTTCTCTCCTCGGCGCCGTCCATATTGGCGGCTTCCACGTGCCGTCTGCCATTAACGCCCTCTTCCAGACATTTATCATTTCACGCTCACGTCTGGTCCGGATGTATTGCTTGTCGTCCTCCCTCTCCCTCGTTGCCATCTTCCGGTCGGCGACGGTTCGCCAATATGGTTTCCTGGAGTTCCCCATCGGTGATCCTGCGCGACGATGGTAAATCCGAGACGATTCATAGTTTGCGTGAATCTCATAGCGACCGCGCAGATGTGTACGGGAACTTGGTGTTCACTCTTTTTGGCCTCTACGTCTGGGAGGTATTCCAGACGAGTGGCTTCGAATGGTCGCTCATTACCAGACAGAGAAAGTTCACATGGCCGTTAGTGAGTAGACGGGTAGCATTTATTTGGATTGCCATCATCCTGACGTGCAATGTCACAGAGTGGGTGACTTTGCGCGCTGCCTCTCTGCGAGGATGATATTTGACGCCCTGGCCTCTAGTTGTCTTCTTCCTCTGCAGATATTGCTTGCTGTTTGCTCTTTGCGGATTGTAAGTCGCCAGCCCACGTTGCGAACTCGGACTCACAATTGCAAAGAATTATGTCTTTGTCAATTCGACACCTGGTATGATCTTCACTTGTTCAGTGTTCGTTCGGCGCTCTCATGGATATCCAGATCAGTTGTCAGGCGCTGTACACGTTCAACTCGGTGAGAAATCGCTCAACCATTTTTTTTGCGCCCGCATTAACCGTAGGTCTGCTCCAGTGGTCAGGAAACATGGCCATTCTGTGTGCATCGACATCGCTGATGCTTAGAACGTAAGAGACGCCAATCATCCCTCCATTGAATCATCGGATGACTTATGCATGCATCAGCATTGCTCTGTGGGAACGCAAAAAGAAAATTGTCCTGCCGCTCGGCATCCTTTGCCTTGCGCATTGGGCTCTTCTGTGGCGGGGGATGTTTGTTCTCAAAGCAGATTACGATCCCACACAAGGCGCCTGCATCCTGACATGGTCAAACCATGTCTTCCTGAATGTATCCTTCTTCATGAGTACGTCTTCCTATGTGAATCTTGTACGTCTTACAGCCTCGATGCTGAACGAATGGTCGTGCGCAGCAATGGGCTTCGACCTGGCTATTCTGCTATTAACACTTGCTGCGCTAATTCCGCATAAATCGCGCTCGGATCTCTGGACACTACTCTTCAGAGATGGCCTTGTGTACTTTGTTATTGCGTTCTGCTTCAACGCCTTGCCTGCGGTATGTACCAGCACATTCCTGACGTATCATATGTGGCTGAAGGATGTGTCGGGCCTCAATCCCGCCAGATACTTAACGTAATGGACCTGAATGGTGAGAGCTTCCCTCATGACAGCTTCGTTCATGTCATTGACAGTTCATTCTATTCCAGTTTCAATGAACGTGTACGTATCCGCCACGATCTGCATTCTTGATGCCTCATCGCCTCACATTAAATCCCACATCTGACAGAATCGCTACAGTACGTCCCATATCTAGCTCAGTCGAGGCCGATTGCTCACTGTTCACTTCCCACAGGTTCCCGCAGCAACGTTCTCGTACGTCTATCTATCATCCACTCACGTTTCCATGTCCTTGAGCAATGTGTCTCTAACGTTCTGCCTGCCAACAGCGCCATTGCAGCATGCCGTTCGGTCATCCGGCTGCAAGAATTCACACACGCGGATGCATATGTACACAGCGCATCGCAGGTCAGTCCAGCCGGCGCCTCAAGGCGATACACTGGCATCCTGCCGACAGGACGCCGTCGATCACTACTGTTCGCCCGTCCGGAGGTGCATGTTACGACGGATCAATTCATCATGGAGGACTTCGTGTACGTGGTTGCTCGTTTTCCAGCCTTCGTGTCGTGGCAGTCAATGACGGATGCTCTCTGTTCAGTGCCTCTCCGCCATCGGCCGTGAGTAAAAGCTCGACGAAAGTCAACCTACAGCGGACGGACATGATGGAAATGGACGACAAAGAGTTCGATGATGCGTCGAAGATGGGGGCGTACTCGGTTGCCACTGCCGTGTAGGGAGTGTCCGTGAGCAACGACTGATCTAAATTGGTGGATGGGCGGAGCGGAGATGCTCGGTGCTTGCAATGTCTAGAACGAGGGTTCTAGCGCTGTACATTAGTCGGTCACGATACTAATGTCCAGGATTGCGGTCATGCTTAATTTTTAAGTCGCGATATTGGTTACACCAACGTCAGAAAGCCTGTGCAGACGCTGCTGAAGACAACGGGCAGGCCAAAAGAACATATCACGTTTACTGATGCTGCATAGCTCGGCGGCTTCGCATCCTCCGTTGCTATTTCAATGATTAAGCAAGGTCGGGGCCTTCAACAGGTCTTCTTATCATGGTCATGCTTCCCCTTCGGCAAGAAGGTCTACACATTAAGCACAAGGGAAGTTTGACTATTCCTAAGCAGGATGATAGAAATGCAGCAGCTCACACTCCAGGCTACTAAGGGGACCAGAGTAGATTACTGCGCCTTTTCTCCTTTCGTGGGCATCCGAACAGGGCCTCTTATCATGACCGTGCTCTCATCCTTCGGCGAGAAGGCCTATGGTTTAAGCACGAGGAAAATTTCACTAATCCTATGCAGGATGACAGGAATGCAGCTGCTCACACGAGTCCTAGGCTACTAAGGGGACCAGAGTAGGTTACTGCGCCTTTTTGCTCCTTTCGTGAGCATCATCCCTTCATCGCTCACCTATCACCTAGCCAAGACAATGCCACAGCAGCTATTCGAACGTTCAATATGTGTGGACCAAGGGACCGTCATCTTGCGGTACGTTCCTGACCAATGCCCATTATGTCGTGAATCAGACATCCGCGTCGTGAACCGCAAAGAAAGTTGCAGATTGCCAAGTACGATTGTTATCGCTAGTCCTGAGGTAGATAGAACATGACAGCTGATACACTACGGGCATAACATAACAATATCTTACACAACAATTATCGTCTGCGATGCGCTCGCCCCGACTTATGCCTTGCGGCAATCCCTCCCTGCCTATTTATGCTTTACGTGACGGACGAGCAGACATGCCCTTCGATGTCCGCCACTCTTCTCGTCGTGATCTACGGAGTCCATGCGTCGAGATTCTTTTAGAGTCCGTGTCAATCTCCATGGCGTCTGGCGGTGTAAGGCGAATGGTGGGGGGTTGCGAGTCGATTGATGAGTGGATGAAGGAATAGGGGTGTATGGTGAAGAATATGATAGGGAAAGAGTCGAACATGAGATGCTGGGCACAATGCTAACGGCACTGGGGAATATACGGACCTGCGCCACCTGCCGCGGATTTCTCCATAGATGTGCCATCTAGAGGGGAAAAAACTCATACGTCAATCATCACTTTCTTGACCAACTTCAGGATGAGGAAGGCCTAGGAAACAGATGATTAAACAGGACGCTGCCGTCGTCTTCCTCGTCGCTCGAGCCCACGCTCGCTGCTCCATTCCTCCGAATGCGCTGCCTCAGCGCACTGCTTCCACTTGATACCGTCCTGCGAACGACATGTTCCAGGGCCTGCATGCTCTCGGGCGTGACATCTGTGGGGTCGAAAAGCCCAAAGTTTGTGAACCAGCACCAACCTGGTTGCGCCGCAGCCTCGTCGCTGAACGAGTCCACAACCTTTTCTGGGACCTCCGCGTCTCCGTTCTTGTCCTTAGTCGTGAGGACCTTGAGTTTTTGGTGCAGACGGTTGAGCCGTGCTGCTTCTGCGGCGGCGTACACGCCCTCTGTCCGCTTCTTTGCACGGAACTGGCGCTTGACCTTCGAGCGCATTGACTTGGCCATGATGAATAGACTGAGATGATCTGGTGGATCGAAGTTGATGATTTATAGTTGAGATGGGGATTCGTGGTGAGAGGCAAATGATTCTGTTAAAGGCGGCAGACGGAAATGCGTGACAAAGAAAAGCGATGCATCGAGAATTGCCAGGAGCACACGTGGAATGTGGCGCAAAGTATTCCTTCCCGTGGCACTGTGGCTTCTTGGGCGCTCGCCCGACGGACGCAGCGGATTGCATGTTCAAACACGAGGACAATGGCGGAATGGAGGACGCCTGTATGCGCTCGGAATGGTCGGGAACCTCGTCATCGGTGTCGTCGTCGCTCGTGAACTCGAACGACGCATTCCCAGCGGCTTCCTCGGCGTCCAGTGCGAGAATGAGCGTGACGGAAGAGTCAAAGCCATACATTGGGGAGTCCCGCCCAGAGATGAAGGAGTCTGAGCTCCTGGCCGAGGAAAATGATCGCTCACCCCAGAACAGCCTGTTCTGGGGCGAGCGGTCATTTTCTGCATGGTTATTCTTTGCCAATCGGATGCTCGTGAATTTCTGTTTGGTCCGTCACGAAATTTTATACAGCAATGGTACGCTATTTAAGATCACCTCGATTTGATACGTCTTCGATTAATTGATATTATAGAGGTGATTTCAAGTTTTCCCCGTTGCTATATCTATCCGTGTCGGACTGTGATGATCTCGTAGTTGTATGGCAAACGTCGTGGCGAGCAATCTGGTCATCACACTCATTGTGGTCATCTCAAACGGTAGGTTCGTATGCTTCATGACGACTCATCACAGCTCAAAATGTAGCAATGGTGCACTTCCTCCCGATCGGGACACATTTTTGATTGACTCACGACAAACTTATTCCGAGAATTCAAACAAGCACCATATTCTGTGGTCACATCGAATAGGACAGCCATATGCAGTAAGTCCGTCACTTCAAGTTCTGCGCAAGATATCACTATTGAAAGTGTGTAAGCCAGTATCATCGATAAATCCGTACTAGCTGATATGTTTCTCAATTGATGTGAGTTTGAACTCAAGAATGCTATCCTCCACACTTCTTTGACAATCCCGCTGCAGTGGGAACAGCCAGTAAAGCCTTTTCTATAGCCACCGGCGTCGTGGTGCTCGCAATTCTCTGGCGCAAGCTATATGTTCACCATAGACCGACCACCGCGGACCTCCTGTCTACGAGGAATCCGTCGCTCGCAGCGCTATTACTCAGAGACGGTATGACTATTGGACAGTGACTATGGACTTCTGAGCTCAAATAGCATTTGCGTCCACCATTTCATAGGTACAATTCAACTGATGTGAGAAATAGAATCGGAAACAGTTTAACAACATCTGAAGCATATTATCTAGAGCACTACTACTACTGAACTTATTACAGACCGCATTGGGTTTCGTGATCTCCGTAAGTGCACGTTCTTTCCGCCCACGCCACATCTTCTGCAAGATGTGCGGTATGCATGTGGCAGACTGCGCAATATGTCATCGGATATTTGTAATAATCGTGAAGCAATCCTCTTACATTTTCTCTACCAATGACACACTGACAATTGCACAGACTCACTTCCATTCTGATCTCTCGTGTCCTCCTCAACGTCCGAGCCGCAGTGCGGTCCACGCGCGGAGAGCAGTCCCAAACGCCCTTTTTCTCCCGGTCGCGGCGTGGAGTCCGGACACAAGCTGATGTCGAAAACATGTCGTTCGAATTAAACGTCCTCAGCTGCACCGAACAAGCCCCGGAGAGCGATCGCTCTCACTCGCAAGACTCTATGTGTTGCTGAACTGCGAAGCATGGCAAACCGTGTCGTTACTGCCGGCGATAAGGCTCACCAGGATGTGAATGAGGAAGAGAGCATGCACGAAGTCGAGGAAGAGATGCTATCGGATTGGGAGAACGATGTTTGAGGGGAGAGAATGGGTGTTCGAGCCGTGCTGTCACACTCACGGTGATTGTACTTTTGCTTGCTATTTGTGAGTGCGGCGTCAGCGTTCGTACACTCCATCTGATACAGCTGCATCTCGCAGATCTTCTATGCAAGCTTTTTTCTCTCTTTGCTCCGTACGATATGGCCGTTGGCGTTTCAAGTTTTGTGACAGGGCTTCACAGCCAACCTCAACAGATACAGTCGCATTATACTAGATCTCGTGTAATATCCTTCTTTTTCACTGAGGGAAGCACTCGAATCGGTAAATTGCACGACACGCAGACGGTGTATCTCTATTGTGCAACGGGTCCATATGCTATGAACCAATTTCTCATGCATGATACACAGCTGAAGAATACTGTTGGGGCGAGCATCCCCGTGCTGAGGCCAGAGGGAGCGCTCTCACGGTGAGAGCCATTTCCACAGCATCACCATGCAATTCAATTTATTACGGGGAAGCGGCGTACACAGGACGCCTCAACTTGCTCAGCATATTACATTGACTGGACAGTCCGAACGTCGAAGAGACTGCGGGATGTAAAAATGATGCCCTCACCCATGACGCAGGAAATGACCGGCTCTTCGCGACCATGCAAGTTTCACCTAGAGCATCATGTTCTGACGATGGCGATGTGACTGGATAATCAAGGTACAACGGGGAGATGCGAGGTTTCATCGAAGTGAGCTCCCTGCACCATTCGCCTGTGGTGCTGGTCTCCACCAAACCAGCGCAGATATACAGAGAAGGTGAGATCGTGTAGGAATCAAAGGCGCAATCGAGTAGGGTGGAATCGAATACGAAATGCAGCTTGAGAGATATAATTAAATAGTCACATCCTGGCGCCTAGGACCTGTCTGTCTGACACGAATATGTCAGCATCAAGCGGTCTGTGGCCAAAAAAACATTACTTACATTTCTGGAAGAGGCTTGAATTGAATACGCTCTTCGTGTCAGTGGTCAAATGGAGTTGGATGTTCTGGTAGAGTCCTTGCTACTATTCATGAGGAGGCCGCATTTCACGGACTCATACTTCGATAGTTGAACGTTGATTCATTGCCCGAACGCGACAGTGACTCATCGCCGCCTAAAATGCAGTATTCGCTGTTCGTGTTCCAATGCAGATTGTCGTTGGCGTGTGGATATGTGGATGGTCACCGAGTCGCAGTGTGCGTGGCGGCCCGGGCGAGCCCATTCGCGGTCACTTGACCGCGATGGCCAACCCCGCATTGCTGCATCCCCACACTCTTCAGCTCAGTCTATCATCTCTTGCAGCCAGCACGACTCCCCGGACAGACGTCTTGAACGATGGCATATACTCTCTCTTTCCCATCTGACAGACCGTTGGTCACTGTAACACATCGTATGCGAGTATCGTTCAGATTGTGTGGCCAGCTCATTCACTGTGTCACTCTGTATCAGCGACGACTACTGCATGGGTCATTGAAATGCATCACGGCGAGGACAACCGCTTCACCGAGGCATTCGTAAGCAACGCGCTTATGCCTGCGCTGGATGCCGTAGAGCGTGACTGGCGCGAAGGGTGGCGCTCGGCCAGGGCGGCCAAAGACAAGGAGGGCGGCAAGGGCTTCCTCGTCATCACAGGAAAGCGTAACCAGAACAAGTTCTTCAGCAATGGTGCGCCACCCTCTTACCATGGCACCTCGCCATTTTTATCACAATATTACTGACAGGACTGGACTTCGACAATCTCGCCAAGGATCCCAATTTTCCTATCAATTTCTTCCCTCGTAAGTATAAGTATACCATGATCACTGAATTGACAGTTTCAATAAAATTATGGATCAGTTGTGATGAATCCATTCTACCGCCGAGTCTTGACATTCCCCAGTAAGCTGCATAATTGACTCAGCAGTTCAATGACAAGCAAACGAAGCTCGCAGTTCCAACGGTGGCCGCCATCAATGGACATTGCTTCGCAGCTGCAATGATCCTCTCATTGTGCTGTGACTACCGCGTCATGACAGATGGCAGCAGTCGGAATGCGTGGGTCTGCATGAATGAGGTCTGTCCGTATCACCTCATGCTCAGCAAGCACTGAGTGAGCAACCCTTCTTAGGTGCACTTTGGCGCTGGTTGGCCTTTAGCTATTGCCGCAGTCGTGCGCGCCAAGGTGTCTGATGCGCGCACACACCGCAAGATCGCTCTGGAAGGATATCGGTTCACTCCACAGGAAGCTGTCGAAGCAGGTTTCATTGACCACTTGGTCAAGGGCGATAGTGAGGCCATTATTGCTAAGGCAATGGAGGTAGGCGACTCCGCTAGCGGTATGGCCAGGATGGGCGCATGGGGTGTCATCAAGGTGAGTGTTCTAGCGACGCTCTATTTGTGGTTGATGTTAAGACGCACCGGCTCATCAGCGGGACTTGTATCGGGATGTGCTGGAGGCGAGTGCTCGGGACATACTCCAAGCCAATGTTTTGTCAGAGGATGCTGCAGCGAAGGCGAAGCTGTAACGCTACGATCTCCTTGATGGAGCTATACAAACGTATGCCGTGATTGACGCGAACTATATCCCTGGATGCTCACTGGCTTGCGGAGCCTGACTTCGTGGCGCAAGTTGGCCATGTTCTGCATGCAGTACAATACCGAACATCCTCAACAAAGCGCGTCCACACATTCAATCTGCATAATCACGCCGCGAATGATCATCGCGCACCTTGAGCGCGCGAGCGGTGTTGCTGATATTTGCACCGAAAGAGTATCCGGAGTAAAGCTCGCACTTGTGAGATCTCTCATTGTTCCGGGAAGCATGACCAGACCATTTCGACTCTGCCGGTGATGGAGACTCTGTTTGTATTAAATAAATGCACATATCAGTGTACAATCGTGACTGATTCGTCGAGAGCTTCGGCTTCATTCAAGTGCTTAAGGCGAGCCGTATGAGTATCACAGTGGATTGCAGATAAAGGATTGCACCAGGCTGTAATGCAGCATAAAATCTGTTGAAAGAACGGATGGTTTAACATAACACTGACAACATCATGGTGGAATAGCAGCACTCACCTCTACGCCTTAGACTCTTTATCCTTCTTCAGCATCTCCCGTATCCTATCGCCTTCTTCCTCCAAAACCTCCAGCCCAGGGTCCTGCCCCTGCTCCGTCCCATACAGCGCCCTCCTAACCATATGTTCCCGGGCCGTCCTCGTCGAGCTCCACTGCTCCCCCTCGTCCGCTTCCGCAAGCACCGTGCTCGTATCCCCAATCTTCGACCGCTGCCGTCGCGCGTTCACCCGGTCATCCAGCGTCCAGTAGCTGTCCTCGTCGCTCTTGATGAGGTTCCGCGTCAGCGGTGCGGTAGCGAACTCGTAGTCGATCACCTCGGAGAGCTTCTCTGGGGTTATGAATTTGCTCGATTCATGGTAGAGAGATACGAGCGCGCGCATTTTCTCCCGGGGAACGGAGGTGCCGGCCTGCGACGAGCTAGCGCGCGCGTTGGTTGGGGCGAGTCGCCTTGAGCTAAGGAGACGGCGAAGAGGCGTATGGAGGGCGGCAGGGTGCATGGCGGAGACTTCGAGAGTTTCACTTGTTCGAGGAGGCGCATGAAACACAAACGAGCGCCTGGTGTGGCTTGAGCAGGATTCCTTTTTAGGGTTAGGATTTCAATTGGAGGAACTCTCAGCGTCGGACTCGGTCCTCGGATCCTTTCCTTTTGCTCTCTGTAGAGGTGGACAACCATCCTGTACATTGAGAGGCTATAGTGGGTGATTGCTTAGGAGAAGCTCCCTTGATGTTGTACAAAAATCCGAGTCCAAACTTGATGGCAGGTTGGCCGCACTACGCATACTAGCACGATGCACAACATCGCAAACAACCTGACATCGCACAACCTCACAGTGAAGCTTTCAATCCATGCTTCTCGAACAACGCCTTTTCCCTCTTCTTCACCTCAGCCATCTGCTTAGCAATATCGGGAGCACGCTTCAGCTCTCTTTGTCCGATTTGCTGAATATGTACCTGGAAAGAGCGGAAGTTAGCACGCCATTCAGCTGGATGAAATCGAGACGTACCGCGTCAGGGCCCTGGAGGCACCTAGTCAGCATCTGGATGGGCAGTGAAGAGACGTGGCACGTACATCGGCGATGCGCAGCGTGCGCAAATTTGCATACATCAACGCCAGCGGCGTGTCTTGACTTAGACCTTCCGCGCCATATGCTTGTATGGCGCGATCCACTACTCGGAGCGCCATAGACGGGACGACGAACTATGTTATATGAGCGTCAGTCCTGACTCAGGTGAGTCAAGGTGAAACACTCACTTTAGCGATGCCAATCTCCTTGAGCGCACCTTTCGCCTTGGCTTTGTCAATCTATATCCCATAAGAAACATTTCATATAAGAAGCTTTCCATTTATGCTCATAGGCTTACCTGCAGAGCCGCACTCAATACAAGGAGTCTAGCCGACTCGATCTCGGCACGGGAATGTGCAATCTCGGAAATCACAGTTCCTACATGACCCATAAAAGCTTGCGCCTGCTGCGTTGCGTGAATTCACTTACCATGCTCGTACAAATACTTGCCGAAGGTCTTCTTGGCCGGATTTGTCACGCGCTCAATCATTAAATCAAGCGCGTATTGAGCGGCTCCGATGGACCGCATGCAATGATGGATACGACCGGGTCTGGTGTCCAGTCAGTGACACTACATGCGGGCTAGTGAACGGCCCAGCATACCCCAGACGGCCTTGAATGATCTGTGCTACTATTAGATACGTCCTGTACTGTGCCGGTGAGCGAACCACGCACCTCAAAGCCCCTGCCCCATCCCAAGACCAGGTTCTCCAGCGGGACGCGGACATTCTCGTATATGATCTCACAATGCCCTTCCGGCGCGTCATCGTACCCCAACACATGCATCGCGCGAACGACCTTGACACCAGGAGCATTGGCTGGGACGATGACGATACTTTGCTGGCGATAGCGGTCTTTGTTGTCAGGGTCGCTCTTACCCAGCACAAGATGCAGAGCACATCTGGGGTCACCAGCGCCACTGATGTACCTGCAGCCACATTAGCCAGGAGTGCATGCGTGGCCGCGAAGGAGAGAACGTACCATTTGTGTCCATCGATAACAATCTCGTCGCCCTCTTGACGTATTGTTGTGCGAATATTAGTGGCGTCCGACGATGCGACTACCTAGCGCATCAGGGAAGGATCACTCGTCCCGAACAACGGATTTGCGCACCGAAGCGTTCTGTCATGGAAAAGGCTGACCGCGTCTCCCCATTCAAAATAGGCAAGAGCCACTTCTTCTGCTGTTCCGGTGAGCCGTAGCGGGCCAAGACCTCTGTAATGGGGCGTTCATACATTAAAAGAGGGCTTTAGAGCACCGCAACAGCGCCCGCTCACCCATGTTACCGGTATCAGGCGCAGAACAGTTCACGGCTTCCGACGCCATCTGACCCCCACGCCCCAATATTTCCGCCATGAGGGCATACTAGAAGTAATATTGGTCACGTCGTGGCAGCCGTAGCAAAGCTGCGCACCTCGAGGTTCGTGAGGGGCACCCCAAATGCAGGGTAGTGCTGGCTGCTAAGAAAGAGGTTCCACAAGCCGAGCTGGCGCGCCTTGGCTTTCAGTTCTGCGACAGTGGGGATGACCGTCTTCCATCGCTTCTCCGGGTCAGCGGGTAGCTGGGCGTGCGCAACTTTCGTAGCTGGTATCACATCCTCCTGCAGCAGACAGATATGGGGGACTTAGCGCTGGTGGAGGTGGAGTGTGACTTACGTGGACGAAGGTGATAAGCTTCGCGAGAACCTCCTTCGCATAGGGCGAGAACTTGTCCTCGACCTATTCTCGGGTGAACACAGCAGTCATACGGGGTTCGAGATGCGCACCATGGCCCATGCCGACGGCGAAGTCAATTCAGCGACAGGATGAGACGCCATGGTTGAGAGTCAAGGAAGACACCCGCATCTTTGGGGCCTGTTCCTGATATACATGCAGGATGTGAGCTGATCAGTTGACCAGGCCTTCTGCGACGATATCACCGGCCGCTGGGCAGCTGATTTCTCCGTCTCGATGATTCCGTAACCCGGCCAAAGCGGAGGTTGTGGCTGAGACGTTCAAGCGAGCATGAATGCATTGAGGAAAGCGGACAGTACTAATATAATGATAGCGAATATAACAGTGGTAGGACAGCATACAGATAGAGTACGAGCACACATGGCTAGTGATACAGGGTCGTAATACAAGAGCAACGGACTTTCCAGGACGTACGCAACAATGTCTTTACGTCGGTCATTAGTAATGTAGCACGTAAAACGGCATTCATATCCACGACACAAGCAGGCGTACGCCGCGAACTATTGTCCATTCTGCCACTGCTGCCCATCCATCGCAGGCTCGCCTAGCGTGAAGGGAATTTCAGGGTCATATCCGAACGCAGTAGGGTCGAACGTGTGCCATTCCTGGTCGCCGCCGACGGGGAAGCCAGACGGATTGTAATTCCTGATGAAGTCAAGACCTCGGAAAGGAAGCCCCGGCGCAACGAACCCATTCGTGGAGGGTGGCGACGAGCCCGGCAGGCCAAACATTGACGGGTCTGTCCCGACACCGTCGTAACCGATATACGCATGCTCGAGGCCGGAGGATTGCTGAGGGCCAAAGCTAGTCGGAGAATATGGTGGCTGGGACTGGCCCTGTTGAGATTGCGAGCCGGAAGGGAAGAGCCTCAGACCGTTGCTCTGCCCTTCCAGAGCAGCCCACTTCTCCGACGGACTCTGCGACAATCCAAAGTCGTAATCAAATCGTGAAGAGGGGATCGCCATAGCAGGCGACTGGGGAATGTTCATTTGCGCGTACGTGGAAGCCGGCATCATGCGGGGGCTCCTTTCGGTGGGGAAATCCAATGTAGGCTGACTCGGAGAGGGCTGACTGTTCACAGACACGGGAGAGCTGTGGGTGCTGAGCGGGGATCGCCCGGGGTACGAACTCGACAAGATCCCGAACGACTGGCTGCCTGCGTCTTGGAAAGTATCATCATCGTGGGGACGTTTCCGGGACGTAGATCGCGCTCTTTGGGCTACAGAGGAAATAGAGTTATATCAGAGATTATCAACTCCGGATCAGATATACTCACAGTCAGGGCGGAACTGCATGCCAGCGACCGCCTGGTGTGGTGAGAAACGCGGATCACGCGAACTGTTCCGTCTTGGCTTAGACTTGATGAGACGTTCGGACATAGGCATGGGTATCGCGGAAGACACGCGTCCTTCAGGAAGCGCAGAAGCCGGAGAATCGAACCTCACAGGGGACGAATTCGCACCGCCTCTCCGCTGGCCGCTCACGGACGCCCTGATCGCCTCCCGTGCAGTTGCCATGAGGTCCTCCAACAGTTCCTTACACTTGCGCGCTCCGGGCCAGTGCCCCTCCCACGACTCGAGCACGGATAGGCAGCTGGTCGCTTCGTCCATTGCCGCCTGGGATGCGCTCGGGTCACGTGCATGCATCGCGTATAGGAGGATGATCACGGCAGAGCTGAAGAGATTCTGGATGAAAAACGCGAGGTGGTGGCAAGGAGGAACCACGTCTTTGATAGCCGGGGCGAGGCGAATGCATGCATGTGCAGTTTGGACAGCCTTTGCTGTCGACCGCGGGGAAACCGGCTGGTCATATTTGAGCGGGAGGAAGTTCCGATGAAGTGTGGTGAGAATTGAATAGTAATGACTGCAGAGCACGGCGCCCATCGACGCCTGCTGGTCGGTGATGGGGCGAGACTTGAATACCGCGGGAAGATCGTCGCACCACTTCGTAAGTGCCTGATCAAGCGACTCCACCGCATGCCGCAGCTCAGCACGCTTTTCGGGCTCGAGATGATCTCGGCACTTGTCAAGTGCATATACCTGCCGCAAGACATGACCAGCGATCTTGTATAGGAGCGTGAGCTCGACGAAGCCTTTCATGAGCGACGGACTCTGCTGAGGTACCGTGGCACCGCCGAAGTAAGCCTGCAGGTACTCGTCGTCCACGTCAACCGGAAGCTCAACATCGCAGTCCGCATCCTCAGTTGCGAGCGGGCGTCCAAGGGCAAGAGCAAGCATCCGGTCTAGCGTGTAGACGCCCCACCAGACCTTGCGCCGAGTCTCCTTTTCGATTGCTGTAATGAGCAACCGTCGAGGTGATCGCTATTGGCCGGATAAGCGACTACGTGGGATGGAAAAGGAGATTCCTACTCACGTGGAGCCCGATATCCTGCGCAGTCCGTACGGCTTGGCCGACAAGCAACCAGGCTTGTGGCAGACAGTTCACAGAACACAAGAATGAAGACATCAGCAGGAAACACTGTACATGTTCCAGCTGGGTGGAAGCATGACTGATGTAGTGCAGTATCAATGCTCTGCAGTTGGGAACCAATCAATGAGGATAGATCATGAAATGCCGCAGAATCTTACCGCTCGTAAAAGACCATGCCCATCCCTCCATCATCCAAGTTCTCAGCCTTGGATAGGCGGATGTCGTTGACGAACCTCGAGGCAACGGCGAACACTGCGCATACAAGCGCGATAAAAGCAGTCTGGTTTCTGGCCAGGTCGACGTCATGAGTATGATCCATTAAATATGCGTATCGTCGTAGAAATGACGGCTTGTCGAGCACGGGCATGAGGAAATGAAACTTGGTGAAGTATGCATCGACCTTTGACCACCATCAGCTACATGTCGCCTATCAGCAACATGGCAGACTCACCAGCTTGTCTGCAAGATCACGATCGGGGTATTCTACCTCCTCCGGGCGAGGCAAGGCATGAACCTTTCCAAAGAATACGGACGCAGGGAAGTACAGTTTGTCGACGCTCGGTCCAGGCACGGAAGGATCCTCATCCACCGGTGAAATACGGTGAAGAGGGGAGGTAGTCATAGCGCGGAACGATTGTATGAGGGACATCGTGGATGAACCACCGATCCAGTGCATATGCCCATGCTCGTCAAGTGCCAACTGTCCGAACGATTCCGAAACGTCATCCTCCACCTTGATTGGAGTGCCTCCATCCGTCCTAGAGCCGTCGGAGCTGCTCGATCTTGAGGCATTCTTGATCTGAGGCAGCACTGTCTGAAGGACGTTTGCAGGGCTGGCGCCTGGCAGTGGTGGCGCAGAAGATGTGACACCAGGCATATCGACAGCGTTGACACCAACTTGTTCGAGAATGGGAGCGACCTGCTGGAAGAGAGCCTCCATATGCAAAAGACGTGCCTCGAGCTCTTGAACATAGCTGGCGAGCTGAGTCAGCGGGAAGAGGGCAGTGAACAAGCAGGCGCTGCTTACTGTCTGCTGAGCGCCGCCCTGTCTTTAGTCTGGAGCCACGTACACTGCGACTTGGAGGCAGCGCATTGAGAGCAGGTTGGCTCGTTGCCGTCGCACTTGATCTTCTTGCGTCTGGATACAATAGCGGTGAGGTCACGATCAAGCACGGCGGCATTCGAACGAACCTGCAAGATTCACATGCTCTCCATACCCGTCTTCTTTGTAACTGGACAGGCTTGAGGCCGATGTCGGCGGGGAGCTGGTCCTCAACGCGTTTCTTCTTAGACTGGTGAGGATGGGTAACCATGGCTGATGGATCGTCTGTGGAGG